GGCACGAATAGAAAATGAACAGCGGAGTCACCAATAGAAACGAATAACTGCAGAACGAGAATGTTCATTTAACAATAGGATGCATAAAACAACATTTTTGCTAGAAAAAAAAACATCTTAATTGGCGGTACACAGACGTACTGCAACCAAGAGTTTTCGAATAACCCAAAATCTAGGAAAATTTTTCGCAGAAACAACTTTATTTCTTAAATTTTGTGGGGGGCTGGCCCCCCACAGCCCCCCTCTAATCGGAGTCCCTGGATGAAATGAAAAGACCGTACTTCACAATGAAAGCTAATTAGAATAACTTGAGACAACTTCAAACTATTTTTCCCATACTAAGTTATATTTGGCCTAAGTATTCGTCATCTAGAATACTTATAAATGTGTTAGTCTGACAAATGCATAGATGACAAATTCTTTCATTGCTGCACTTGATAATGTGCTTGAATTCATCAAAAAATTGGAACTTAATTTCACAAAGATCTAGCCGCATTTTCTCTTGCAATATCTCACTCATGAAAACAATTATCCTAGTTTCTATAGTTGAGAGTTTGAAACGAATACGAATTATTCGAAATTTATTTACCTATATAATCATTCTGTCCGAAGGTTGATGCTTCTAAAGTCCATTCTTGTGGATCGATGAATGGAGGTAAATAATTAGGTGGATCTTTCAAATGAGCTACTCGTGGAAGATAACCTTTAAAGGCAAATAAAAACAGCATTTAAGTTTTCTGCGAGAAAACAAAAACTAAAATAATATACCTCCTTGATAATATTTTGGTTCATGACCATAACCTTTGACATATTCACCAAAACGCTTAAATGTTCGAATTGAAATAGTTAATGAACAATTCGAATTTGTTCTTGGAACGAAAGATCGAATGAACATATCTTTAACATAAATAAAGCAAACGTAATTATCACAACAATTTTGTTTCGGCGTTTTAGAATATCAAGATTTAGTAATATTAATAAAATAATAACAAAAAAGAAAAAGAAAAAGAAAATTTATTGTTACAATCCTACAAAAAGTGTGTCTAGTTTTATTTTAAACTGGCAATGTTGTTGAGACCGTTTTTGAGACAAATGTATAAAAAAGTTTCGAGAAAAATTTCAAACCATGTGCACCACCGGGTATGTACGACACAATATACCTAAAAGAATATTCGATTATATTTAAATGAAAATTATTATTTACCAGATGAGAGAAATAACTTGCAATAGAACAAAAATAAGTGTAAAGAAATAACTTTTGACCTAGAATAAAAAAAAAGAAATTTAAAAAAACGAGCCAGGTGGCGGGTGCTAGCCGCCATGCCTTGCCTGGTGTTGTCGTATAGGTCCGAAGACCTTCCGTCCTTGTCAAGGGGAGTGCTAACCGTCTCTCCTTTTCTACGACACAACTCTTTGCTGTCCATAATTTTTGTTTTATAGTGAAATCAGTTTATAGAAAAAATGCGGTGAATGTCTGTTAGCTAATTGAGAGACGATGACTGGTGACATCTTGTTAGATGAGAAAAACAATATTTACCCATACAGAATAATATACTGTGCAAATAAGAGTAATCATATAAGTTATAGAAAATGGGAGACGATCAATATTTGTTAAATGTTTAAGATGATTTGTTGGTCCCCATAACATTGAAAAACTAAATAAATAAATGGGACAAAAAAACGCACAAAATCTACATATATTTAAGAAACTCTGCGCTTACCTCGATAGGAAAAACAGACTACCAAATGAAAATAGTAAAGCAAATTTTCGTGCTTTGAATACAATAACGGGAATATAAAGTGTAGCCAATGACATACAAAATATACCCATAACAAGACATAGCATAAAACCCACGATTCGTTGCTTACGACTCTAAATAAACAATAATAAGAAAAAACAAATTAAAAGATAGAAGTAATAATCTTTTATATAAGCCAAATGCGAAAACACATGTATTCCAACAATTTATTATACGTATGTGTCAACCAGTGCAAAGGAATAGTGCACAGCGATGTTGCTACTTAAAACGTTCAAATCATAATAGAAAATGTACGAGATCAAATTTCATTTCGGCTATTACTCACAAGAAACAATCAAGTGAAACTGGAATAACCAGAAGAAAAAAAAGTTCAATTAAATGTACCTGAAGATTATTGTTGACTAGTATGCGATTTTGAGCTATTTATCTCATGAATCAAATTTAATGGCAAGAAAAGATTTGATCAGTAAAGTAGATTAAATGATCAGTGAAATGATTAAATGATCAGTCCTCTACCCACAGAATAGAAGCCCACTTCGGAAATTGGTACTGTTTGAATTCCATGAATTCGGAATCTATGGAAAATCCATATGAGCCCATCAAAATCCAATTCAGCAAAGTTAAACTGTGAGTAGAACCGCTATAAGTTGTGTCCGATACGACTGGGCTGATGCGACCCCACTGTGCTTCAGAACAGCTTATAATTTAAGACCATATGGATTCCCCATGAATTATGAATCCATGGAATTCAGATAGAACCAATTTTTGGAGTAGACTTCTATTATGTGGGTACTTACTCCGACAAGAGTTGAATATAACGACGTTTTTATGCTTTAAAAGCGCACGTTTTGGCGCGTTAAAACGATTTTTTTATGATAGAAAACGTGTCTTGGCACACTGAAATGTGTGTTGTTGATGCACTAAAACGTCGCTATTTTCAACACTTGTCTGGCTGAGTAGAGGACTGATAATTTAATCATTTTACTGATCATTTTTATACTTTTTACTGCTCATTTATCTTACTGAACATTTCATCTATTTAACTGATCATTTAATCTTTTCTACTGATCATGTAAATCCATGCCAAATTTAATTAAGAACATAATTTGATAAGGATATAATTTTTAAATAGTGTCTTGTCTAGAGTGAATCTGAAATCATCGTAGATTTAGGAAAATTGTGTGAGAAACCATTTCAATATCTTCAAAGATTTATCAATATACTATTGCTACCGAGATCGTGACCACAGCTGATGCGAAAAGCTGATCTTGATCGAAATGTAAAACTAATATAATCTCGAATGTCTGTACAGAATATAGATTCATTTCTCAATATTCTTTTGAAATACATTGCACAAATCTATTAGTATTGATCTGTTATTTGAGGAAAAAAAAGCTATGATATTGAACACATCCAAAAGCGCGTTCAAAATCAAAAAATATAATCTTACCAATGCTGGTAAGATAGGATCGTTGTCACCTTTTTGTAATAATATTTGCATATCATCTGCACTTGATGATGATGATGATGATGATGATGTTGATGAACCATCTGAACGTTTGTTAAAAAAGCTTTGTACACGATCTATATTTGTTTGAAATAAGTCTCGTGAGAAAACTGCTCGAGACCATGATTGAATATTGTCATCATTATTACTATTAGATTCGTTAACAAAACTTTGTAAACGTGAAAATTTTGAATCCATCTACAAAAATTGATTAGGTTATTGAATCGTTCTGATTTTTGAGATAATCCTTTATTTTTCTACTCTTAAAAATTTTTATTGAAAAGATAGGTGTAAGAGAAGCGGAAAAATAAGAAGAAAAAAAATGAGAGAGAGAGAGAAAGAGAGAAGTTCATTAACATATACATAAAATATTGGTCGTATAAATATGAACAACTGAATTCCACACATAAGAAAAAAAACAAAAAGGAAAAAAAATATAATCCCACGAAATTAGTATTTGATATATGTGTCTCTTCATTTCTTCGTCTAAATTTTTATAACTCGGTAGCACATCTGTAGGAATGCAACACATATATAGTTAATAGAACTGTTTTAATATTTTAATTAGGTTACCCATTGACTGTGTTCAGATCGCTTTCGTTTTGCTTTATAATAGACTAGAAATTTAAAAGAAGAAAAGAAACAAAATAGAGGCACATTAAAAATGAGTAAGAGACCGATACTGTTTGACTAACAAAGTGACTATTTTGATTTTGTCAGCTCACAAATATTAATAAAAATAGTCCATCACCAACGATAAATATATATATATATATATATGTGTATAATACATACAAACACACTGTTTAAACAAAAATAAAAATAAGAAGACAACACTGAAGAAAAAGTCACCGAAGAACATAAGGAAAAATAGTAATTCAGAAGCAATAACGTACAAGTAAAATTAAGCAGATATCAGTGAAAGGTGATAGAACAATCAAAATAAATCGAATGGCTATTTCTGTTATTTTTTTGGTTTTTGACTATTATTATACAGATGATGATGGAAATCGAGCATTTGGTGTTTCATCTTGGTAATTGATACTGTATTCAAGCATCTATATTAAACAAAAATAAAAATAAGAAATTAGCTTCTGTTATAGTTGAGTATATTTGCATACTGTTAGGATAAGAATAAGTAAGCTATTATTATTATTATTATTTCTATTTTTAGCAAATGCGTAATTCGTAGTTAGAACAACAGAGAGCCAAAATAGCTGCCGTGTAAACAGCGATACGTAAGATAAGTTTTGTCTATTCTAATTCTAGGGAAAATTTGTTGGTTGATGCTTTTAGGCATCTTTTCTTTTCCAAACTTAGATTATTAAAACTACGTAAATACTTCTTCATACTTTTATTTTTACTTATCTAGACAATAGATAATTCATTATACCGATCACAACATTGTTTTTCTAATGAAAATTGTAAAAAATGATCTAAAAGAAGTGCTGAAGTGTCTGAATAGATGTTTTGTCATGCTTCTCCTATTTTCCTCCAGTCATGAGACGTGACACGCATGTTAGCAACATCTTGTATGTTTTGATGTATAGCTTTACAATGTTTCTTCCTTGTCACAAGACGTGACAGATGTACTTCAGTATTACCATTGTCGTCCGATAGAATATAACTGGCATGCCATAAGACGTCAAAATCTCCTACGGGATTAGTCTAACACATGATTGAATTTTAGATATCTATTCATTGCCATTCTCGTATACTGACTATAATAAATTACGACTAACTTCTATAATCATTAACACAGATTATCAGTAGGAAGCCATGCAAAAACTGAAACCTGCTGATAAATCCCGTCGATTCACATGTCAGCGACTCAATGATGTTTTATAGTTTAATCCCGCAGAGATTGCATCAAAAACTTTTTTTTCTTCTTTACTTGATGAAATATATATCAAGAAAAAGGTTGTTAGTTGCTTTTAATTATTTCATTAAACTACGGACATCTTGAGATGTGTCAGTTTCTGCTTATAATTCTATAGAATATCGAAGTGAATCATTAAATTTTACCATATGACAATAATTCTATAGTTTATCTTTCTATAGAACAGAAACAAACAAGAAACTAGGGTCGAGTATTTTGTTTCTGTGTTTAATTCAAGAAGAAAAATTTTCTGAAAAGAAACAACTGTACATGTATATAATATATACCTTGTCGATTTCATTCATAAGTGCAGTCTTTTGTATTTCATGTGATTTTGTTAGATTTTCTTTTTCCCGATCTTGTTTCATCATTTGTCGTTTTCGTTCTTCTAAAAATTTCTTTGTATTATTTGATTTTAATTCCCGTACACGACGATCTAAATCTGATTTATTTCTAATATTTTTCTCCGAGCCAAGTCGTTTACTATCTTCAATATTTTGTCGTACTTGACTTAATTCAAGATCTTTTTTCTCTCTAGAAAAAAAAAGAAAAAGAAATTAAAATCTATTATTTAGATTCTATACCTCGAATGTCTTTCAGTTATTTCTTTAATCTGCGTTTTTTGGGATTCATCAAGTAAAGATATTAATAAATCACATTGTTCTTTCGTATGTTGTCGGCGAAGAACATTTAATTCTGTTAATTGCCGTTGTACAAGTGATGTCCATTCGACATTTTGTTCGTTGATTAAATCCATTAACTAGTAAAGAAAATTTATTTGCAGTAAAATAAATCAATAAATTTTAATGTTACCTTAGGATCATTTTTTCCTTCACTTGAACTACCACCATTACTAAAAACAAATAACAATAACGCAAAGTTAATTAAAATATGAATACGATAGAATGAAAATGAATTAGTAAAATTAGTATCTAGTTTTTTTTTTTGAGCAATTAAACAATACCTTGTCACCAAGAATTTAAATGAGCAATGACAAAAAGTACTTAAGAAAACCATATTTATCGTTCGATTTTTCTACTAGTTTTATTTTTAGTTTATTACCTTAATTCTTTTTTGGAACTTCCACTACTCATCATCGGTGATCTTGATATTTTTTCATAATCCGTTTTTGCTTTACTCATCATTTTTGATTGTTGTTCACCAAGTAGATTTTGCTCTTTTGCATGCTTCTTTTTCATTAAACTTAATTCTTTATCTTGTTTAGTTTTTATTTTACAGAAAGTTTTATGGTCACGTAAATAATCTGATGTTATAGGGGTGGCTGCATCATTTTGGCTTTTCGATTTTATTGATGTTGATATAGAAGTATTCGTTTCAACTGTTCCATATGTACTAATCGATGCGCTGCTAGGCACAGTTGTTAGGGTTGCTTTTGTGTCGTGTGAAGTTGCTGATACTGAGCCAGAATCATTTACACGAGATCGCCGTAAAGATGAACTTGTAGATGTTGAGCAGTTTTCAAATGAGCTATTAGATGTTGCATTAAGTAATTCTTCAGTTCGTTTCATTAATAATGGTTTATTTAATTGATCAACAAATGCACTTAAACCATCAGGGACATAAGATTTTAGTATAATTTGGCAAAATATTGTTGGCAATGATAACGGAAAGTTTCCTTCGGTACGCAATGATATGTGTCTATAACCAGCTTGCAAACCATCTAATGGTAAAACACGTTGTCCTATAAGTTTTCCTGTTTCTTCATAAACAGCAATACGTAATATAGCTAGGTCCGGAAGAACAATCTAAAGTTAAATTTGATTAATTTTAAAACAAAAGTTTATTTTGAATTTTTTCAGTTTTATTGATTACTTTTCGAAATTCGAAGACGCTTTCATCGTATTTTGGATTAAGACCATTAGCTGGGATTGTTTTAGTACGATATTCTTTACGAATTGTGTCGGCTGGTAAACCATACATATCAACTTCAACGTATGTACCAATCTTTTTATCTGATAAGAATTGACCTGATATAACACGTACACTACAAAATGCTGCTATAACACCATCTACTGGACTTTCAGCATATGGATCAAATGTACGATCAGGTCGACGCATAAAATCCGGTTTTAATAAATAGCTAAATAAGAAAGAGAGAAATATTTTGTTTTTGTTTTTGTTTTCGAGTTTAGTTTCGTTTCGTTAATTTTTATTTCAATATCTATCGACATCTTTCATGTTATTTTCTTTGTTAATTTTATTATGATCGTCGAGTGATTTCGTGCTCAAAAGAAATATGTCAATAGTGTAATATAATTGATCAATCATTTTTTCTTCGGGATTAGATTCTTTCAAGTAGCTTCTATTTCTTATGGAAATAGGAATATTATCAAGTCTGATTATTAACATTGACATCGCGAGTCATCATAACTGTCTTTTTTTCTTTAAAAGAACAAGAAAAGAAAAGAATAGAATAGAGGAATCTAGACTCTTAAGATATCGTTTAATGTTTGCATCAAAATCAATATGGTGAGAAAAGAAAATGTTTTTGTCACCATTCTTGCTTTGGTTGTGTGTGAATGCGTACATTTGCACACGTACTTTCATTTCATCTCATTGACTATTCTAACGACGACAGCAATAAATCATGCAAAATCAAGACAAGTTTCATCAAAATAATGAAACAGAAATAGTGTCATCACCATATTGCTTTCCTCATAGATCAACTATTGACGGAAATATGAGCTTCTTAAAAAAACAGAAGAACAAAGCAAAAACAAATATTTTTTGTTTTTCTTCTTCATATGCATTAAGAAAACGCTGAATACAGCATTATGCTCATGGGAAGCAATGAGTATCTAGAATAAACATCGTCGAGTCATTGAGCTTCATTGGTATATTGTTCTAGACAATTGATATGCCGATATTAATTGACTACCAGAGCAAGTGAATGGAGTGGAGGATAGAATAAGTTTCCACAGAATCATTTTGATATTTTCATTTATGATACCCTATTGTGATCGACTATTTTATATCACAAGGATGGTTACATGTCCTTCATCGAAATGAAATAGCATATGCTCATGAAATCATTCGTAATATATTATTATCAATAGAATCTAATAGTGGAAAATACTATGGTATACCGAAAGATGGGTAAAATCAGGCAAAACGGGACATACCCCTCCCCCTCTTTGATTTGTCTTGTATTCTTTCTCAGTAAGTTCTTTTATCATAGACATATGTAAAAATGTTCGCTCTTTCAGATGCTAATTAATTAAGAAGTAACTAGTGAATATCTCTCTAACAATGCATCGAAAAAGCCTAAAACTTTCAGGATAAACTCTAGAACCTGAGTCACATCTATGTTAAAATTTTCAGCAAGATCAGACCTGAAAAATTTTCCTTAAAAAAAACGACTCTCTAGAGATCCCGTCAAATTCAGAAAAAAAATTGTTTTATTATCAGCTCAAAATACTGAGGAAGAATTTATACCTTTTTGAATTTTTTCAAAACTTTTCATTAAGTTATAAGAGCATTTTTTCGTTTGTACATTCGTACTGCATCATGTCGCTAACGAAAATGTCACGTCATCAACGAAAAGTAAATCACATTTTTAGAAAAATCTAGACATGCTCACAAAATCTTTCGGATAACGTTTTGTAGTTTCAAGAATTCTCTACAGAATGTTTTGTTTAGTTTTCAAAAATGTTGTATTAATTCGGAGTTTTTTAAAAGTGAAAATTGATGTTCTTTTTTGTGTCACGTCACTAAAGTCAGTGTTTTATCGATAGCTGCTCTGAACGAAGTGCTCTACGGGTGATCTTTTCAGGGTATCTAGAATAATTTAATATACATATAACATATAAAAATGAGATCGTGGGCAGCTCACAGTCTCAAGGTATATGCGCTGCAATTTTGCGAAGTCACGTCTCTAGCAAATGATTTTGCCCATATATATATAAATATATATTAATGTAATTTTGTGGAAGCGCACGTAGAAATAAATAATTAATACATGAGTATAACACTGCGACGAAGATTATATTTCAATTTTCATTAAAAATTCTTATTTACTTCGAGTTTTCGACAATTATCAATTGTCATCATCAGGAAATGGTGACACACAAAAAAACAAGTACAACTATATATAGCAATACATAAAAGGAATATACATGTGGTAGTTAATTAATTTCAATGTGTTTCAATTTGTAAAAGTGTTATCTTTGATCTATAAACTACCACATGTATATTCCTTTTATGTATTGCTATATATAGTTGTACTTGTTTTTTTGTGTGTCACTATTTCCTGATGATGACAATTGATAATTGTCGAAAACTCGAAGTAAATAAGAATTTTCAATGAAAATTGAAATATGATGTTCGTTTCAGTGTTACATTCATGCATTAATTATATATTAATGTATTTATCTGTTTCTTTATCACACTGATGATAAAGAATAAGCAGCTGTAAAGATTTTCAACGATCTGCTGCTAGAGATAGCACCAAACGCTATTTTTCACAATGAGAAAACTTAGTCGAGCATTAAACTATTTAACATTATGTCATCCCAATAAAAAAGTTCACTAATGTAATAGAAGAAAATTTAAATCAAAATAAAACTAATCGATTGAGTCATCTCTATAAATCATCAAAAGTTCTACTCGTAGTCATATATATTTAAAAAAATCTTCATTCTATATTGATTTTAGCTAAGATATAAACAATGTTATTTATTGATGAAAATGATTTATCACAAATTCAGTTTATGTATATACCGTAAAGTAATTCTCAGCATCCGCAATGTTGACTTGATTATTGTCTTTCATCCACAAACGAAATTACGCGGTACATATGAAACAAGTCTTCAATTAGCAAATCTAATGGTTTGTTCACATGCTATGAATGACTGTCTTCAAGGGCAATTCTATGTTATTACAACTAATCATGTTACCGTATCTCATTTAGCATCGAAAAATACAATCTATACTAAACGACAAACATTTATTGAAAAGAATATATTTCGTCTATCATCATCACCGTTGCCTGTCATTATTAATTCATCTAGTTCTATCTCAGAAAGGTAGCGGGCACAATCAATAACGGTTATAATTGCACAGCATTAAAAAGAAATGCAATCGATGGTAAATACGACTATTGCTTGAAGCTAAATGTTATTTCATTCTGTTCTTTATCTCATCTATTTTTTTTCTTTATTCTTTGTAAATAAATGAGACAAGCAGATTAGACGCTATTTCCATTAATATGTCAGCATATAAACAATAAACAGATGCAAAGAATATATGACCTTCAGAATAAAACAAAAAAATCTCATATAAAATATTTGCCACCTGCTTCTCTTTCCCTACGAATATATATATATATTTTTTTATGAGACTAATTAGATATAATCTTTTCCTTATGATAAAATATGATTGTATAACTTACCCACAATTGCCATTATATTCAAATTTCCCTAAGTTTAACTGCATTGGAAGATCAGGTGTTTGAAAATTTAATGAAACCATTTGGCATCCAGCATTCCAAAAAATTTGTGGCATATAATTTGATGAATCAACACGCCCACCTTTAGGATAGACACGTGACAATTGTCGTTTATTATAATTAACAAATTCAATTGGATTTTGTCTTAAATGTTGTAAGGCAACATTTTCCGAAAACGATGACATATGATAATGTATATTGCGTTCTTCAGCTTTAGAAAAACCTGGAAATTTAATTGGTTGAGTATAATTAACACGTGATGATAATAATGGATGAATATTTGTTGTTGCACCCTTATGTTGATAGCCATTATAAAATGCTTCTTCTTCTTCACGAGATAAATTTGCTGATGGTTTCAATTTCATTATTTGGCCAAGTATAGTACGTCGACTACCATCATCATTGATATCAACATTCAATTCAGGATGAGCCTCATCATCATCATCATCACGTAATTTAAGATTATCAACATAAGCTGTTGGACCATCTTCACCTTCGACATTAGCTGCTGAATCTAGATCGTTATCATTATTGATTTCACTGTCGCAACCCTCGAGAAATAAATCGAGTTGATCTATAGAAAACAAAGAAAAACAACAATAGAATGATTGATGATAATTTAGATATTACGTTTTTCAACTTCTGGTTTTAATCGTTTATTTTTTATGAGAATTTTCTTTTTCAATAAATTCGGCGATGGTAAAGGCACACCAGGTTCAAGCTAGAATTGAGAGAAAAGAAACAGAAATTATTATTATTATATTTTAATTTTAATTGAATTAAGTACGATAAGCAAAAAAAAGGAAAGAAAATACGGTTAGTTCATCAAAATAGAAAAGAAAAGAAATCGAGAAAAGAAGAAATTCCATTCCAATAGATTACTCTTTTATTTTTCTATATTATAGCTCTAACAATTAAAAGAAATAAAAATAAAACGAAAAATCTAATTAAACGAGAAAAATGAATCTTTTTTTGTTTTTGTTTTACTTACTGGATGAGTATCTAATGGTTTTGTTAATAGAAGATCACCAAGTATTTCCTCACAATAGTGTGCTAGTTTATATTGTTGTAGTCTTGAACAATGATTTTCAAATGAGAGTATAACCGGATAATCACTTGTTACGAATGCCGTATCTCGTATAGCAAAAATAACTTCTTTAAAATTAATATCTGAACACATTGCTTTTCCATGTGTTATTATTGGTTCGGAATCATTTTTTCCATCCCAACAATCTAATTCAATACAACGACAGCCAGCCAATAAAACTTGTCTATACATTTCAACGGATGATCGACCACCGAACTGTCGTCCTTGTAAATAAGTATTATGTGATGAATTAATTAAATAATGACATAACGGTTGTTCCATATCGTGATAAACTTCTAATCGATCAAGAAAAACAGGTGCATTTTCATCCGACATCAAATATCGTGTTAATCCGTCACACGATAAATGACCACGATCTCGATAATTAGCACGTAGTTCATATCGATCAATAATACGCAGTGCACTATTGGTATCATAGAATGGGAAAAGAATTTCATTTAAACGGGGGTCACGTTGCGTTTCATTCAACCATTCGACAAATTGTTTTGTTGTTATATAATCTTTGCCACCTGATAATTCAACAAATAATACAGCTATGTCAGTGCGAGGACAAATTTTATGGTAAAGATCACAAAACTTCTCAAATGTAAAATCATTTGGATTGATTTCATCATTCTAATGTTAACGAAAAACGAAAAGATTGAATAAATAAAATTAAAAAATTTTTCTTTCATTTTTATGATCTTACCTTTCCACTTGGTAGACCCAGTTCTTTTAAAATTTCAAAGATACGTTTTTCTGTTTTGCCAGATGCAAAGGTTTTACTTATACTAAAAAAAACATCCACCGTTAAATAATGGCAGATGTCTTCAATGATAATATCTCTTACCTTCTGACAGGAATTTTCTGATTAACATTTAACATGAAGGATATTTTCATCCAACTAAAAAACAATATCGACAAAATTCCATCATTAATTAAAATTTTCCTAAACTCTTACTGTTTTCTCAATATTGTTGTGGGACATATATTGTTTGCTTTATGATTATGTGTTATTTTCCTTAGGCCCTCAATCCATGCCTAAGGGAGAAAAGTTAAAAATTAATCTTTCATTCCAATACATGTTTTTGCTATTATTACTTTTGCTGTAGGTGGATCGGCACCGGTTATATTTGTATGACTTATTTGTACAAAATCAATACCACTACATATAGTTACGGTTCGTTCATCGATATTACCTCGGCCATATATAAGTGCATTCGCCATAAGATCAGCACCGATTTTCGGATCGGTAGGAGCTAATATAAATAAATAGTGGTGAGATCGAAAGAAAAAAACAAGGAATAATTTCCAAAATTCCTAAATACCTTTGCCTGGTCGAATATCACTAACTTGTGACAGTTCAATAACTTGTCCATCGCGTCCTTCACTCTGCCAATAAATAAAAAATCCATAAGTATCAACACGAAATAAACAATTTTGCTCTAGTGTTGCATTTTCTTCATCCCAACGATCGAAATAATCGCCTTTCAATAGGCGAGGTGAAACTTCGATTTGCCAATCGAAATTATATGCTTTCGACATTAGTTATATATATTTCGATTAGTTGACGATGACAAAGATGGTTGAATACCATCAATCATTGTCGGTGATAGATCTAAAAACTAAAATAATATTATTTGTATCAATTTTTTTCTTAATTTTTTGACAAAAAAAACATCAATTAATTCAACATATTAATACTCTATGCAGATAGTCTAATAGATACAATGGAATCTGTAGAGTAGATGTTGTTGACCCGTTTTGACATTTCTTCGGTTGGTTGATCCGACTGCCATAATGATGTGTTTGATGATGGATCAACAACAAATTCGCTGATATATAGCGGCATCTTTTGAAAACCACTTCATTTTGATCAGTATTTTAGAAAAAAACTCAATTTTCTCTGTTAATTAAGTTTATTTGTTAGACTTTTGATAATAAAATAAATATTAGGGAAAATAAAAAGTAAAAATAGAACAAGAAGTATTTTCCCGACTTCTTCTTGTTGTTTAATGAAGAAAGTTTTCATGCAAGGTAAAAGATGTGATCGAAACCTAAAAAATAAAATAGGTATAACACTTATATACAGTGCCTTAATAGTTTATTTTCTTTTAGATATTACGATAGATTATAAATGAGTCGATTTATCGTCGTTTTTCATGTTGTCATTTATGTTTTTTTCCCCCTTAACTTACGTTCATAGTCAGAAGATTGATCGCTGGATATGTATTGAAAGAGGTAAGCTAATGTAGATGATGAATCGTTTTATAATTGAATGTATACTTGTTTTGAGTGATGTTATTTGAGGTAACATACATTCTGAGTTGTGAACCTTGTACTCAAGGTTCTTTTGATAATCAGAGAGTACTTCATTATTTAACTGATTTTATTTTTATATCTATTATAAAGCTGAGACGAAAGTAAATAATAATCAGATCATAGATAGTAGTCATATATTCTATATAGAATAAATACTTATTCGGTCAATTGAATAAAAATTTTCATTCTCATCTATCTAATATTATTTAGTTCTGTTAAAAAATGGATTATATGATAATCATTGGTTAATTTTTACCCATCAATAATTATTTGATGATAGAGGTAATTAAAATTGTTTAGCTATATTTCATCGAATAAAATAGAAATATAGCTTGCTGATTGTTAACATAAGTGAAGCTAGTTGATTAATGAATAGAATTTATTTCAAAATTAAGAAAATCAAATTTATTTATTTTTAGAGATCAATAATTAGCAATCTATATGCACTATCTAGCAAAACGGAAAAGTCAATGGGTCATATATATTTAGATGTAAGAATTTGTAAATCAATAGAATTCAAATCATCATATATATTCTAATGCACATAAAGAAAAATACATTAAAACATAATCCAATCAGAAAACTAGTAGCAGTTGAAATAAGAACACACAAGAGACATTCGTTAGTCGAACAATCAAAGAGTATTTCTCTCAATATTATTGTTTGCGATATTAGAGTCTAACTATCGACCTCTTAAAGAACGACTGACAAGAACTCGATGTTTCCGTACTTGTTTGCTATATAGTCGACATAGATCCACCCTACAGCAAGTCAAAGAAGAAAAAAAAGTCGTTTTCTTATCTACTCCATGCAGTGTATAGGTTAATATCTGGTAATATATGCTGCCAATGTCAATTATATTCTTGACTGATTCTGAGCGACAACTAGTTAATTATTGTTTTGAATCTGTCAGTTATCATTTGGATTTAAAAATCTATCGATTTACAAAATTAAGCAACCTCCATGTTTTTCTTTAATCAATCTCTAAGTTTTCCGATTGGTATACTGCCCATGGAAAAAAAAGATGAAAAAAGAACGAACAAGAGCGTGTTGTCAAACTAAAAAAATATGTTTGTAAGACGCTTTTAGCGCTCTTTTCAAACGTGCTTTTGCTATGAAAAACACATTCTGATATGTTTCGAACGCTGCATTAGAAAAACAGCTTTTGAGTGAAAAATCGCATTGATAGGAACGTGCTATTCTTTTGATGAAAAAGAGTTTCTTTTCAAGTCTACGAGTATCTTGAACGCGTTTCTTCAATATTCTCATATGTTTTCAGGAAACTGGTTCATTCAACAGTACATTTTCGCTCTTACTGAACGCGTTCGAACCCGTTTTTTAATTACCATAGAGTACAATCGACCAGATGAATTTGAAGTTACGAAACAGTGAATATTCCATTACGCCAGACTTACGTTTATCTGAACTATTGGATTTTCCACTTGTATTAAACGAAAGTTGTATGTATTCTGACCGCTACGAAAATTCGTAATAAGGTTGATCAAGTTACATTTACAAAAAATTAATGCGTCCAAAATTAAATTTTAAGAAAACTCAACGTTTAAGATTTCAATTATTTTTAAATTTAAATTTTGAAAAACTCTATGGAACTATTTTTTTCTGACTTCAGTTTAATAAAAATTGAATTTAAATCTATTTAATGTACTAAAGTGCATGGGTTATGCGATTTTAATCCATGTACAGTAATTTTTAAGAGAATTGTAGATAATTTTCAAGCTCGATTTAACTAAACGTAAAATTTAAAAAAGTTGGTTTCAAAATAAATTTAAATCTACAAGTTTTTATGTAATATAAATTAACTAGAATTTGATAACTATCATGTGCACAATGAGTAAAAGCAAATAATGAATTATGGCAAATAAAAACATGATTATTAAACTTGAGGCAGGTACCAGTTTTTTTTTCGAAGCACATTTTTAGTACTCCTAGTCAGCTACCACTCCTAGAAGAATCCCCAGGGAGCACCCTGGCAGATCCCGGGAAGTCGTCGGGGGAGAGCGGATTAGGGATTTCAAAACTATCAAAATTTTTGAAATTACTATTTTATACATTTTTTATAAAGATAAGAAAGAAAATGAGATTAGAGAGTGTATAAAAAATCATTTTCGAAAAAGCTTTTCATAACGACACTTTCTGAGCTAACAATATGAAACTTCAACATGTTCATCAGCATGATTTAGCCAACACAAAGTCCGTGAATTAAATAGTTTCTGGTACGCTATAATTACGTTTCAAAATACTTAGTTAACTACCAGAATAATGATCCATCCTATTAATTCCTGCATTTGTAAAAGAGACCTCTTCCTTTTTTCTTTCTTCAGATGTTCTATTTCTATTTTTTTGCCACTATATACTCTGCAGTTGCCATTTTCTATTTAAGTTTTCTTCATCGACACTTTTTATTTCATGAATCCTGAATAAAAGGGGCAATAAAACTCTTCCAAATATTTGCTTCAAGAAAATTAGAACTGAATAATTTTTTCGATTTTCCTTTAGGGGAAATTGAAATTCCTGTTTTTCGTGCAGGAAAATTTATAATTTTCCTTAGTAGAAAATGAGTTTTCAATAACTTCTGGAAGAATTTTGCTCGAGATGAAAACGCATATTTTCGTATCAAAATATGGAAACATCTCCATTGGCGTCGATTTTTAATGCAGGAGTTTCGATAGATATTCAGGAATCAGTTCTAAACGATTTGGAACGCGTTCATACAGAACGATAGAAACGAGTTCTGAACCTGTATGAATGCGTTCTTTTTTTAATCGTTTTGGCTCATTTCTAAAATGACCGCTTTTCAGTTGCACGAACGTGTTTTTCGTCAATGCGTTGTAATGAGTTTCTTCACAGAGCGTTCTTTTCGATTTAAATCCGTTTGTTACTAACGCATTCTCTATGAAAAGAACGCGTTTTGTTCATCGGTAAAACGTGTTCGAACAGTTCAATTTACACAGAATGCGTTCTGAGTCAATAAAATGAGTTCCAATTCATCAAAGACGCGTTCTTACTCGTTTTTTTCTGTCAATATTTTTCCATGGGTGTTAAATGAATTATATTTACAAGAATAAATCAAATTATTTCGTGTTTTTTTCTTTTACAAATATCATTAGTCAATCAATCTGTACAAGTTAATAAATTTCATTACAAATAATTGTATAATGTAGGGATAAAATTGATTATTATGACAGTTCACATTCAATTTGTTTAATATAAACATCCAATAATTTATAATCTACGATATTTCTATGTTATTGAATACATCATTTCAAATTCGAAGTAGAACATTGTACATACTTTTATTTGAATCAATCTATTTTCTTATGTTACACGTCTCATACCAGAGATATTCAAAGGCATAGAATGGTATCGAGAGAACACTTCTTGAACGGCTATGCTGGAAAGAAAAAAACGTAAAAACTTTTTACGAGCAATAACAATACTCGTTGTCATTAAGAGCTCTTTTTATTTATCGATAAAAAATTTTCCTATGAATGCATTTTATTTTCTTCTTCGATAACACTTGACGTAGAAATTATGTAACAGAGTAAAACTATTTATCTGGGATTGATTTCTTTCTACAAAAAAAATTCATTTTTAAACGAAATTCATATCTCTTGAAGTGATGCTATAATCAATCAAAATGAAATTCAACGAATTACAAAAATTACTGCTGAAGTTTTGATCTATTTTTTTAAATAATTGCTGAATTATTTATGTTATTTTATCATTTATCCACCGTAACTGAATGCACAAAAAGAAAACTAATAGTATATCACAAAGATTAAAGATTTACTTTTTCAGTAGGCTACATCATGCGACTTATTTTTCTTCTCATGATAAGTTAAAACTGTGATTCAAAACAAGAAAACAAACCTTTATCAATTGAAAATACGATATATTGTTACTTTCTCGGGTAAAATATATTGTAAAGACTTCTGATTACCACCGGTTATAATGATTCTTTTTACGACATGAATTCTATTCCGATTATAATCCTGAATGACATATATGACGTATTTATCGTTTTCTGTGGCGTTGCTCATTAAAAAAAGAATAGTTACAATTCTGTAACGATCGATTTACTTGTTTCAAATCATATTTTCTATTTCCTATTGAATGTAAAACCTAGAATCCTAATTAATTTGGAGTTTTTTGTTACTAACTTTAAAAAATAACGTTCAGAAAAATAATCTACTTGTTCATAATTTATTTAGCATGAATAAATGTGTATTCAGTTTGCTTTCTCTGTCTTTTGTCATAAAATAATTAGATCTGTTTTTAGTAACTTTGCTTACTTATAATGATGGAACTTTTATGTTTTTGTTAGTTCGACTATATGTTCACTTTTAGGCTTCGTCTTTTTGTCTATCTTTTTTAATTTCTAAAAGAAGAGGGAAACCTTTTCATATCTGGAGGTTGCCATTAAAATAAATTGACATGAGCAGGTGTCATGAGTAGATTAATAAATATTTATTGTCAATGAAATTAATGATGTTTTTAACTAACAAGAGAAAAAATATATAAAGATTTTTATTCACCATTGGTGTGTTTAACTATTCTTGACCATCTATTAATAGACTTGTTTTCTGACTACAAATGATGGGATAACATCTAAAAAGACTTATTTGTTGTATCTTATGTGCAACATGAATGAAAATAACATTTTTGTCAAAGTAGCTGGTGTTTGACTCTATCTAACAGAGTTTGAAATTGTTTTTCTTGCTATTGCTTTTATAAAGCCCCGTATGAGAAATTTTACTAAAAATAAATTCTTTCTAAAGCGAATCTCAAGCAAATAGAACCGCAGGAGTATTTTCAATATCACACTGATCTAGAAATGCCTACATAATCGATCGTTCGCGAGACATTTCAACGGATAAGTTTTAGCTTCCAGGACCATCGTAAAAATAAAATCAAGATTTTTGCTCAACAGCGACATCATTTTGAGTCTTCAAAATAAATCGAACATATACAGAAAAAAATATCTGAATACATGTATTCACAATCAACTTTAAATGAAATTCATTAATTGATATGGAGTATTTTTCAGCAATGGAAATCATGTTTCTTAATTAGCAGAAAGAGAGTACGATGAAGATTGTTGATGGGATTTGTTTGTGTTGGTAATTTTAAATGAAAATAAAAACTAAGAGTGGTCATTTAAGTAAAAAACCTTTTGCATGTCTCAAACTGAAAGAAAAAAAAGCTTTGCTTGAATTCTAGATGACACGTATGACATGTACCAAGTAACTGATTGGTACAATAAAGTTAGGATAACAACAGTAGAGAACATTTTTGTTCAAAGATTGAAAACGAACGAATATATTTTTGAGTATATTTTTCTCCAACTAGCTGACGAATTTCAATTTTATTTTAGTATATGACTTTAGTTAATGTCGAAATTCAACTATCTCAATTGAATATAAAAAACGAAATTTAACTCACCGCGACTGATATTTGAATAAGGTCACTTCCATTGCAACACAAAAAGTAATTTTTTCAGTATGTCTCTTTTTCTTTATTGATCCAAATTTTAATCGATTTCGAGTAGTTAAAATATACGCCAGAATCAGGTAGTATTATTTTGGTTGGTTTCCTTATGGTGATTGCTTGAATGAATTTTTGATGAATATCGAGAGGTCTAAACTGATTGGAGGAATCGAAAATAAGTGCTCGATAAGATATTGTTTTTGAATGTTTGAGACTAAATAGTTGCAAAAGATTTTATAATTAAAACAGAACGAAAAGAAACCTATAATTCAAATTTTGCATGGCTCATCGCATCGTGTACTTAGGCAAATCTTGTGATTCAGAATGTAAAACTCAAAACAAATTTTCTTCTGACTTTACGGAGCAATAGAACAGCGAATTTTGTACGAGTTCAGGAACCCATAAGCTCTCTACAATCAAAAGGAATTTTCACATTTGATTTCTACATGGTGAAAAACTAGATCTTAAAATATCTCGGTACTCTAAATTTTAGCAATACTGTGGCGTTGATTTTTCTTGGAATATTTACTGAAATTATTTTCCTATATTCAATTGATCAATTATTGAAATTTCTATAATAATAAAACATCATCGATTATGAAAAATAACTGGAACGTTTTAATGTAATAATTAATCGAAAATTTGAATGCAAATTTCGTAAAACGGAAAGACTATAAAAAACTCTAACAGTCACTAGGAAATGTGAGTCATACATTTGATTTTAATCTATAACTTATGGTAGTAATAAAAACTTTTCATCTATAAAATTATACTTGAAAAAGTTTAATAGCCAAAAGCGTAGCTTCTCAAAAGAGATACTTTTAAAAAAATAATAGCTATTTAATACTTTCATCGCTACTCATTGGTTTCCTATACCTAATGAATAATTTCTTATAGCTACTTAATGATTTCATAGCTACTTGATTATTGTACAGCTGCTTCCAACTTTACTATAATTATTTAGAGATCGCGTATTTATTCAAAGTTCCTGTACCTCTTTAAAGTTTCTACATCAATTAAAAACAATCTCAACCATATTACAAACGAGAGACAACCTTATTAATATGTTTTCACACATTGTTCCAAAAATCCTATAAGGTACCTCTTCCTCTTTTATATCATAAATACCCCCAATATCATAAATATTTGAATATTCTAATGAATCAAATACAGATTCACATTATGAACACAAATTGTTTTATTTGAATTTGTCTGAGAAACACTATGCTAAATCTCAATAATAAAAAAACAACATCAAATCATGAACATGTGGAAGTAATCAGAAATGTAATAGAAATTCAAATTTCAAACATTTCGATTATTTCGTCGTCAACTAAATATGAAGACTTACAAGTTTCACTTTCTCTTTCTTACATCCCTTCCAGCCCTCGTACTTCTTTGTATCACTAATAATGTTCGTATTATAAATATTTGATTATTCTCATGAACTCTATATAGATTCACATTATGAATAGAAAATGTTTTGTTTGAATTTTGCTTTAGAAACAATATAATGATATCCATTCAGTAGCTATACGAAAGCATTAAGTAGTTATACTTAAGAAAGTGCAGCAGACTATAGTAAAAATAGTATCTCTTTTGAGAATGAGCCATTAAAGGATGTCCTTTTGTCATTCTTGATCCCTTGTATATAAGCAATCTTCATGTAAATGAATGTCATTGTAAGAAGAGAAAAACTGTATGCAATTGAAAAAAACCAGTCGTGTTCGTTGATAGGTGTCACGGATCACTGCACTTCTTTATAACCAATACTATGCAAAATTTTGTCGATAAAAACTCAAATATGAGCATCCACTCCTATCGTTACCCCAATCGACGAAGATATTTATATGCAATATGTTTTCTATTCGTTGGATACGTATTTGTTATTTTTCGTACTGATATTTTACCATTTCTAAAATTCAAATTCAAAGGAATTAACAATGAAGCGCATTATGTCCCTGTAACACTTAAAGCATTGAATGTTTCAGAAGTAAAATCAACGGATCCGTTTGAGTTAAAATTATTGCCACCGTCAGCAATGGAATCATTGCATTTGTTGGAAATAAACAAAACTTATAGTTATGAACATTTTACTAAATGGAACCGATCATTATGTAGTAATGAATCAGACCGTCGTGGACCACATCAAAAAGTAATCAGCATTTCAATTTATGGATCAACATCTAAATATACCGATAATCCAATGTTTAGCTGGGATAAATCTATATTACCATTTTTAATACCACTTGCTGCCGAAGTTCAAACACTGTTACCATCATGGATTATTCGTCTCTATATTGATTATGCTGGTAGTTTAAAATCTCAACGAGAATCTCTTAGTAATTTCTCAAATGTTGATCTATGTGATATACATAATATACCTATGTTTGGTTCATCACTATCGGTATATTTACCGGGTAAAATGTGGCGTTTTCTACCAGTATTTGATCCATTTGTTGATTTTTTTCTATCACGCGATCTTGATTCACCAGTTATGAAACGTGAAACGGAAACAATTGAATTATGGGAATCTAATGAAGAGAGAAATAGTATCTTTCATATTGCACGTGATCATAGATATCATGATATACCGATATTAGGTGGACTTTGGGGTGCAGCTCCTATGCGTGCTCGGCATTATTTATTTTATACTTTTCGACCAATGCTTGTACCATCCATTGCTCGTCGATATAATGGCTCGGGTGATCAACTATTTCTCTCAGAAATTATTTGGGCGAAAGTTAAAGCGCATTCATTGATATTTGATAGCTACTCGTGTAAGGCATTTGGTGGTCGACCATTTCTTTCTCAGCGACTACCGTCTACAACTAATTGTTTTCTCGGATGCATACGACCATGCTGTCTCAATATAACCAGTGCAGCTTTCGATGCAAAATATTTTATTTGTCCGAAAATTTGTCGGCCAAAAGATCATCAGGATTGGATCTATTGTTAAACATTTTCTACATCATAACTGTATTTTGTGTCAAATTTTTGCAAGTAATTTAGAAAAAAACTTTTAATAAATCGCAAGTAAGGAATTTAGCGTGATTTATAATATTCCTCATGAGAAGAAAAAAACATTTATTAACTCTCGCATACTTCATTATGGGTTCGGTCAGATTGAAAATTTTTTTTTTCTTTTTCTGATAGTTTGATGTTTATCATTTTCTACTCGTTAGTCATTTGATGTTGCACAAAAACCATAAGTAATGTCCTGAGTAGATCAACAAAGAAAAACAATCGAACGGTAAGTTGGCACTGATGCCATGATAAGCTTAGTGCAATTTACAAGGTTTTCATTTCTATTTATTTCATATGAGATTCGTTGTTCCATCACTACCAATTGTAAATCATCACATTTGCTTATTTCTGTCTCACAGAGACGTTGTTATGTTTTGTTTGAAAGGATACGAATAGAGGCGTTAGCCGAGGTGCTCATCGCCGGCGGCTTTAAAAATTTTGATTTATTTTTTAATGCTCAGCGGCGGCTGACTCGAATGTTTTGACTGCACGGCGGCGGCGGCGGCGGTGGTGGCGGTGGCGGCTGGAACGTTAAAAAAGCACTAGTTTTGTGAACAAGAACAGTCTGCCTATTGCAATATCCTACCGTTAGTATTTTCAAACAAATATGTGAAACAACTTTATTTTACATCTTGACATAATAAATAAAGTACATATAAATAAATTAGGGATACACCAATTCCTAGTACATGGTCCGACAGATGATATTTTTACCTGATGAAGAACGCAGTTATCCGCTTATTTCATAGATCAATCAAGATTAGGTTTTTTCGCTGTATCCGAAGCTGCAGTCGGAATTTATGAAAGATTTTAACAAGGCTTCGGATTTTACCTGGACTTTACATAAAATTAGAATTTGTAAGTTTTGGGTACTTAAATTCTGCGAAATCCAACTCAATTTCAGACTTGCCATTTGTACTAGGCAAAATTTAAGAATATATTTGAAGAGAGCATTCAAAACTGAACAGAAGTAATATGAAAAAAGATGCTCGGTCGACAAATCTCAATACTGAAAACAAGCAAACATTAGATCAAAAATTCCAGGAATTTTTTTTTCCCGTGTATAAAAAGAACATGCTTGTCATTCGCAGTTATCAACCGAGCATCTTTTTTCATATTATTTCTGTTCAGTTTTGAACGCTCTCTTCAAATCTATTCCTAGAGTTTGTTAGTGGCGGAGCCAGGATTTTGCACTGGGAGGGGTTCATGGGCGGCTAAAAATTACCTGAAGGAACGAAATCCCCCTCAGCCACCCCGTGGATCCGCCACTAGATTTTGTCTAATACAAACTGCAAGTCTGAAATTGAGTTAGATTTCACAGCATTTGACCCAGCAAAATTTGAAAATTCTAATTTTGTGTAATTAAAATTCACGTAAAATCCGAAGCATTTTTTTAAATCTTTCATAAATTCCGACTATGGTTTCAGAGAAGGCGAAAAAACTGATCTTGACTGCTCTATGGAATCAGCGGATAACTGTGTTCTTAATCACGCAAAAATGTCATCTATCAGACCATGTACTAGGAATTGGTGCATCTCGATATATCATATTGAGATGAAAAATGAATAAAAACATCGAAATTCATTAAAAAATAAAAATATAATTAAAAAAATTGTCGATATCAATGATAGGGGTCGGCGGCGGTTAATAAATTTTAAAATTTCGCACGTCATCGGCGACGCGGCGGCTGTAATAAAAGCGCCTCAGTGGCGGCGGCTCAGCCGCACGGCTAACACCTCTAGATACGAAGATATCGTTTCTGTTCCAAAAGACCACATTTGGATTTTTCTCGCTCAATACTATCTCAATCAAAACTAAAATAATCAAACTTCAAAAGGAGTCGAGAGGCATCCATTACAAATCACGCTGATGCATTTGAAAAGATTTCTGAGGATAAGACATTTCTTTATAAATTATCAAAACAGGAAAACTGTCAAGTCTTCATGTCATGATGTTGTTCTGTTATATCTAAAACAACTGATTCAAAACTTTCACATGACCCTGTATAAAATTATATGACACAAATAATTTATGATTCTGTTTTGGTTTTTTTTTGAAACAAATATAAAATCAATAGATTCATTGGTTTCGTATTTACCTATAGAAAAATAAACAAATAGATTTCAATCCAGATAAGGATACTTTTCCAGTTGTATTTACTTATAATCAATTTCTGTACGATGGATGGAACATTCCTTTTGCTTAAATATTAAGTTTCTTTTCATAACATAAAGAATTTTATATTTTATCTAGATTTTCATTGATGTATATCTTCTATATTTTCGTTCACAGAAACAAAAAGCACATACAATACTAAGCAAACAACATGAGAAAAGAATACATATTTCAGCTGAATTAAATGTATTAGTGGAAAAAGATGATTTATCAAAACGAACGTTTAAATTCCTTTGACAAAGAACAACTAAGAAAAGAAAAGATCGTCAACTATGATTAATATAGCATCGAAATTTACAATTAGATGTTTTCTTTTTCTTTTTCTTTTTCGTCTATTTCATTGAACTGGCAACAGTAAATGAATGTCCCTAAAATAAAAATTAATATAAAGAATACAATTATTAATGACGAAATTTTTTAATTACCATCCAATGTGCAACTAATATAGCAGCCAAAAAACTTAAAAATTGAGCAATAGCCATGAATGTAAACGAATAGCCCGTAGTATTTTTTGCACTGGTATAGGCATAAAGTGATGCAGCAATAAGAATACCACTTGAAAAAAGTAAAATAACTGATAGAATACCACAGAGACGAGCCATATTGTTGCCTGAATCTGATTTATCTCGTGCTAAACCACTGAAAATAGCCAAGAGAGCAGCTAAACTCATAGCAATGACAGCCTAGAAAAACAAGAAATGAATTCAAGTGTTGACAACGAAATATTTCCATCATACAGTAAGAGCGAAAAATGCTGGTCGTCCACCATCACTTTTTGTACAAATTGAACCAACGCAATTTTGCCAAAGACCTAAGCCATTTTAAACAACTTTTTCAATGTTGAACTATTTGTTTATCTCTTACCCATATGTGCACCAAGTGAACTTGAGAACCAATAAGTAGTTGATACACCTACAACTGCCAAAGCGACGGCAGTAATAGAAATGAATGCACCAATAAATGGAAAAACTCGAAGAGCAGTCATGATAATTTTTATCTTATTGTAAATGTAAATAAAAAAAACGAATGTAAATCTAAAATAAACGACAGAATTGTAATAGCTAGTTATATTTGAAAAATATAATCCCTCACAATTCGTATATTTCTTCTCTTTATATAAAATAGAAAATAAGAGAAACAGAGAGAGCGAGAGAGATGGAGCGACAGAAAGAGAAAGAGAGTGATAGCATAGTGAAATCATAGCGTCCGACTGGAACAACATTATTGATACGTGCTAGTCAGTTCGAAGTATGCAAGAAAGAAAATTAATGGCATGCTGATTGGGTAGAATAGAAAAGGAAAATACACTCATTGCCCCCTATCTCTCTCTCTCTCTCTCTCTCTCTCACTTTTTATCTTAAAGATACAAACTAAAATGATCATATCTAGAAGATGCCATGGGTTAGTCATCGAAACGAATGCAGAAACTGTACAAATTAGTAGACAAAAAAAGTAACAACCATCTTGTTTTTGTGCATTCCATTAGTATTGAAACAATATGTTTCCTGATTGTTTTTTGTTTGCCTCTATTATATTTTGATTGGCAGAACTATTTTGAATCTTGCAAGCTGTACTATGTAAATGATTAGCGTCGAATGATAGTGAATAGTAGAGTTCAACAACATGCACGAGCCAAAAGCTCTTGATAGGAAAATAAAATAAAAGATGTATGCTATAGAGATTAGATCAGCGTGTTATTCGTTCAAACAACAGAGTCAAATTTGTAAAAAGTAGTGGTTAATTTAAGGCACATGTGATTATATCATACGAGTACACATGCTTGCAACGTGGAAAAGAACGCTCTATCGCTAGTATTCGGCTGATCCTCGTCTGAAGATTTTTAATACCGTATGTCTCGGCTTCATACATATTATATCTATGAGGAATAAAAAGTTGGCATAGCTAATCAATATGTTTCTTTTGCTGTCTCTCATTATCATTCATAGGAAAATCATACTATTATTAATTCTATTCTTTCTTTTTCGTCCACAAAGAATATGGGTCTATGACTAATAGGAGAAAGCAAATAGTTAATAGAGAATAATTATGATACAAGCCACGTTTTATCTAACTAAATAACTGCGAATTTTCCATGGCTCATTATTTTTCATAGCAGCAACAGAAACAATCGGCTTACTGAGTATGAAAAGGAATAGTAAACATATTTCAATGAGATTCTTTCCTTGGACGATTGCAATTTAAAATAAAAAGAGCGAACGACGTGGCTATCAATTCTCAACTATTAATATTTGTTTCATGAATAAGATCCCCAAATGAAACATATTTGTTGAGTACGTTCTACTTGATGTTGCAAATTAAAAAGACAGTCGTAATTCTTTGCTTTCCAATAGTATTCGATTCATATCGTCTATTTTTAATACCCTACAGAATTAGCTATCATATGAATAATTTGCATCTATTCAATTTGGATACGAGTTCATCATGTTTTGTTCTCTACTGTTTTTTGGCATTGTCAAAAAAGACTACAGAGAGAATAAATCACATCCATGCGAAAGTTATCTTATCTCTGACTGTTTTCTTTAGATTTGACGACTCCGCGATTTACACAAAAGCAGAACAGACCTTTGTTCTTTCCCATCGATCTATCATCGAACGTTTGCTTTTATATCTCTCTAAAGAAGATCATCAATCATCTTCGTCTTATTTATCCGATTACCGGTATGAGTATGGTAACTAAAGAACGTAAATATGAAGAAATAATTATGCTACCATCATATTTCGATGTGCTGCTTTTCATCAATGAAAAGAACAAGCAGAAAGTTTTCGTGTTATTCTGCAATAGATAACAGTATATGAATTATTATAAGCGCAGAAATAGTTATAAATACGTCAAAATTTACACAGGATTAAAACACATTACAAGAGAATATATGTTCAGAGAGTTTTATTCTATATGACGTTGGATATTTAATATATTATGATGTCGACACATTAGGTGATTTCACTCTTTTTTCATAGTTATACTTAAACGTGCAGAATCATTATGCTATCATTAATGGTGACAGATAGAATGCTGCCTTGAAGTAATTATCTGTATATTATTCATTGACTCATCTTGCAAATAATAAATAACAGCAAGTAAAGACGTATCTGCAAAGATCTATTTGTAGAGCATTGAAATGTTTACTATGCATATGTGTAAATAGACAAATATTCACTAGAACAGTTTTGATATTTTAATCAAAACTATCATTATTAAAGAGTGTAGTAGATTTCATTTATCAGCCTATGATTAATCATAGTTTTGATATTTTAATCAAAATTATCATTATTAAAGAGTGTAGTAGATTTCATTTATTAGCCTATGATTAATCACATCTTTATTTCCTTTGTATCTAATGTTACTTGTCAAGTATGTTTCTATTGTTTCCCAACGAAATTAACTCATGTAAAACATACTTCTATTTTTGTTGTATGATTAATTACTTTTTTTTAATGTTACTACTGAGACTTACAAGTCGATAGTCACATAGTAGAGAACTCGTTCATTTATTAAAAAACTCATATGAGATCCTTAGCCAACTTTCATTTTATTGAAGCGATAATATTATTAAAAAATTTTGATTCAGAGTTGAAAACATAATCGGTTTCGAATCTCTAATTGGTTTGATATTCACAAATTGTGCCAATGAAAAAAACGACTTGAGTAAATAATTTACCAAGATCAGCAGCAATCTTTAAATACACATAGACAAGTGGCGCAAAAGTCGGCATAGAAAAAACTGCAGGAAGATATTTTTTTTGAAATACTTTCTCATGTGAATATTGAATGTGCTTTTATCGGGTGTGTATTAAACGTTCATCTTTAGTATTATCAAATCGTATTTGTAAGCTACCATTAACATTGATAAATTTCCTTGCTATAGAAATTTTGAAAAAAAATACAAATCATTCTCATAAATTTACAAACAGTGTATCTCAGAAATTATGTCAATAGATTTATCTGCAAGTATACACTGTTCGAAAAGTTGAACTTTGGAAAATGTGGGATGTATGAGAGATATTGTTTTGATGCTGTACGTTTATGTATTATCAAAGACACCAAAGCAGCTGTGTATTGACTAATAATGAATCTGGTCCTGATCACAGTATAAATGGATGTTTCATAAGAAACAGGATACATTTAAGTATAAACAACCACAATAATAATAGTAATACGCAATGATGATATTAGAAAACGTATACAATAGCATTCACATAATAACATTTGCATGCACAAGTGATATCCTTGAATGTTGCTGACGACTAAATTCGAAGGAAAATATTGAAAACTCCAATGTTAAATGTAAAACTAAAATACAGAGCACTGCTATTATTTATTTCTTAGACTCATACCTTAGTGGAATGATGTCCGAAAACGAAATTTCTTGATTGTGTCTCTCTTTATACAAATTGTCTTTTTTCTGTTTATTTCTTTTAGGGAAAAAAATTACATACAAATATCTTTTAGCACGCGTACCACAGATGTGCACTTCACTCGAGTAGGTTTTTTTCTCATCTCGATATGAAAACTAATAATGTAGGCACGAAAAAAAATAGTAGAAAAAAACATAAGTATCAAAGTAGCGACTGTTCACAGTCGATCGAAAGAAAAACATGAATGAAAAAAAAGACACGCCGTATATATCAACAATACATATAAAAAATTGATAGTATCAATATGCATGCTCATTCATAAATACACCGGAGTTCGGCTTTTTTTTATACATAACTATGATATGAATACATTAATCAGTTCCGACCAATGTTGATTGTGATGATGACGATGATGATGATGATGGTTGATTATGACTATCATTGAGTTCCATACATTCACCAGTCGATGCATTATGATGAATATTTTTATTTAATACGGTTGTTTGTTGCAGAAGAGATTGAGCTTGTTCTAAGGTAAATTGTGCGCTACGTGTACGTTGAAATGAACGTGTATCAGTATCTTCATTGGATATATTTTGTGCTGGTGACCATTGCCATGATGTTTGCATTTGTTGTTTCAGCCAATTAATAGCTGCTTCCCATTGAGTGGCAGTTGAAGAAAAATAATCTTTGGAAGCATCATTTCTAAAAGAAAAAGATGTATGATACAAAATGAAATATACAAATAAAACGAATGAATAAGAACATCCTTTCAACGTACTGGTTCGATAGAGTAGTAAGAAATTTGACAGTTTGATAAGCTCGCCGTTGTTCAGTTTCAATACTGGTTCGAATAAGTGCATAGAGTCCGTTAAAAGTTTGACAATTGTCAGTACTAGAAGATTCATTAACACCTTCAAATGCTAATTGAAGACGTTTTCTTTGAAATGCATCTTCAATTGACTAAAAATAAATAATAAATTTTAGATCTTTAATAAATTTGAATTTATATCATCGTTTATTTTCATTTAATATCTACGTATTCTTTGTTTCTACCGAAATGATTTCATTTGTTATGTAATAGCCTTTAGCAAAAAACAATTCTATTAACAAAAACCTAGTCATTGTATAGAAAAATTATTCATGATCATCAATACAATATGTTGTAAAGATTAAAAGATGTATGTCTTCAATAGAAACTGTCTACTATCGTAATCATAAGCTTATACTACAGCAGAAGCAGGTTTTCTTTCTACAAGTGTTTTAGAAAGAAAATATCAAAGAGTAGGCCACAAATATATTAAATAACAAATTACATGGTTGCAAAGTATCTAAATTCTATAGGATTATTATAAAAGAAATTTTTAATTCTCGCTCACAGTTTGTAAAGCCTGAAATTTTTCTTTCTATATTTTCTATGAATGACGCGACAAAGTCCACTAGCAACAATATGAAATACATCATTCTTTCTTAACGGGTATTTTTGATGAATTCAATCCACCTTAAGATAGAAAAAGCAAAATGTCTATAAGCTATTACGTTCATTTGTAAAGTGTACGAGAGTATAACCAATATTAACGTTTCCAATGCTAAAAACTTGATTCACATAAAAATTCAAATGAGAATATACAGTCGTTTTTTTTGACATTTGAACATCATGCAGGCATGATCTACAAACAGTCGTACACTCAAGATTTAAAAATGAGACTCTAATTTAACAATTTCCTCCGTTGAAAAACATCTTAATAAACTTACCAAAATGCGACTTAATAATTTAAATAATGATTTTAAATCATTAGTATGAGCTTGTACAATCGATTGTAAAATAATTCTTATTAATTGTTCAGAAAATTTTTCATTATTCGTTGACAATATTTCCATTAATTCCAAAGTATGTGTTAATTTAGCTGATGATACTTCTTGAAACGCATAACATATCTCTTTTAAATATCTATTTGACCATGGTCCAGAAAAATAAGTTTCCATTTGTGGAATGATTTCATCATGTTTTTTTCGACTATTATCATCCGATGAATAACAAAATAAAGCTAAAATTGAAATAATTTCATGTATAATACCAAATTCTTTAGCTTGTCCACAATGCCATCGTCTATTATCGATATTTTCTCCTAATAGGAAATTCATTAGACGTATGAATGTATTTAACTTTAATAAATATTCGATCGATATTTTATTCATGTTTGCATATGTGTAAATTAATTGAAAGTAAGCTTGCGAATGTTTAACTTGTTCAACAACAGATTTGTCTAATAGAATAATTAATTGTTCAATAAATATGTCAATGTATTTTTTAATACTATATTTATAACTTGATTCTAAAACACACTCACAGATCTGTTTAAATATTTGTCGAATATCATCAATTGGACACTCAAGTAAATATAATTTTAGAATATCGTCATTTTTTTCAAACAGCAGTTGATAAAGAACGTAACATGACGGAGAATTTTTCGAAAATAAATTCCCTAATAGATCAACCCATTGTTGTAGATTATCTTTGCGTAAACGACGATGTGTTCGTAAATACGTATTAAATAAATAATTCAAGGCTAAATTTGTACATAATTCGTATGATAATGAGATGTTATTAGGCTCGATATCATTGAATGAAATACTGTCATCCAAACATGTACTGGCTAATTTATATATAAATTGAAAGTAATCATCACAATATGTATCACGATTTTTTAAAAATTCTAAATTTTCATCTTTAACACAAGCTAAAACGCTTGATGATATTAAAGGTTTTTTTATTTTAAATAAATCATTATGTTCACTTTGAACAACTAAATCGGTTAATTGTGATAATGAATCACGTTGGTTTGGACGTTGCAAGCGATTAGCACGACTTGCTAAACGGTTTGTATTTGGGGAAGAGGGTATGGCTGGTGGTGGAAGTAGTTTAGTTGGCTCGATACATTGATAAATGAGCATGTATGCATTCCAAAAACGAATGCGTTCTTCACTTGAACTATTATTATTAGTATCTTTTTGAACACGAAATGTTCCACCAAAACATTCTTCTTCGAGCATTTGTTCTGTCAATTGAATTTCTTCAACGGTTGTATCATTAAAACGATACCATTGATTATTATTATTTGAATAACGACATCGAGTATCTTTTATATATGAATAATAATGACCGGCATTGGCTTGACCAGAATGGATAACAATACCGATTAGTTCATAATTGATTGTTGGCATTGGATTGGAAGCATGAGCTAATGATGAAGGTGTACGTTGTAATGATTTACTGTTACCTAGAAGACAAATGTTTTTTCATCATAGAAGAGAATTCAAATGAATTCCAACAATGTATATGGAATTTGATGAACGCTCATTCTTACATAGTGTCAATCGTGTTTTAATAACAGATTTCTAGTGACATGTTGCAACGAAATTTAAATCGTAAACATAGAAATTATCTTTAGATCTAACTCTTGTTAGAGAATCGGTTCATTAGGGTAAATTTTCATCAAATGCTTTCAGTACTTAGACTTAAAAGATTTAAATTTCTTCAAATCAACTGAAAAGTAAAAGTAACCTTTAAATTACCTATTGTTGTTGATGGCGAACTAATAGAAATGCCATTAGTTGAATGTCCATTTGCATTCGTAACTAAGTCATCGTGCTCAAGAAAACTTTCACGTTTATTAACACCTTCTATTGTGTATGGTTCCATATTGAGTATGAAAGGAAATTTAAAATAGTCATCAAATTTTAATGCACGATTATTCTCCCAATCGAAACCGAAACGCTTCATTTGTATACATAGTAAAGGAGGTAGTTTTTTAATGCATAGACGTTTAATTGTTGTTCGTTTTTCTTGACATTTAGCACAGAAATACTATGAGAAAAAGAAGCACCATAATAAACAGGATTTATAATCAAAAAGAACAAGAAAAAGAAGTTTTGTAACTTACAGCATTATTGCCATCGAGAACTTCACCTTTAACAAATTGATTTAATGATTCATTAAGTGATTCAACTTTAACAGCAACATTTAATGCCATAAATTTTTCTTCACCCTCATAACGATGATTACAACCATTTGTACATATCATTTGATTACAAAAAATGCCTTCAAATTGTTTATGAAAAATTTCTTCTTGTTTTATACTTTTTAAATATTCATCAATTTGATCGGTTAGAGCTGTAAAAAAATCAAATGCATCTTGTTGTTCGCGTACATTTATTTCTTGACCCCATAAGCGAAATACTTTCCATAGAGATTCAGGTGAATAATATTGCATTTTACTTGCCATTAAATGACCAAATACTTGTTGAATTTGATAAAATAAACTTGAATCGCTATTTTTATTTTCTCCATTCATATTTTCACCATCATCATTTACACTTAAAATGTATTCCGATATTTGATGTAACATATATAATTGTTGAAGAATAGAATTCATATAACAAGTTGCACCGCCTAGAAACAGAATCAGCGATATGTATTGTAGTACTACTGTATGAATGATAATCGCAATTGTTTTTTGTGTGTGAAACAATGCAGCGGATTTCTACAGATGATAAATGTCTTTGATTCAAATAGATTAGGATTTAAAATTGGTCTACGATGAGAATTGGTACTTTACTAAGACTGCAATGGAGTTCATAGCGAAGCAATTCAACAACTGTAAATGAATAACCTATCGATTTACCTCACTTATCGTCATAAAAGAAGACTTCTATCTACGCGAGCACGTTATGAGAATTAATAAGTCTGAATACGATCACTCAGTGATCAATTTCATTGTTCGCCAGTTAGAAAAAGAAAAAGTTACAGAAACCATTCTAACTAAAAATGTTGTTAGTAGATTAAATCTAAATAGCATCTCTCAACATACCATTATAAAGACCAACTAATCCGCATGATGCACGAGGACTAACTTGTGGCATAAACTAGAAAAAATACATAATTAATTAATACAAATTTATTTTCTTGTATATTCTAATGAAAAACTTACTTCCCATTCGCTTTGTTTTTCAAGTATAGGTCTATGATGAAGATTAATAAGATCATCAACAACGATTTTTAAATTGATTTGACTATGTCGAACTAATTCTACAAGTACATCATATGCTGCAAGTCGACTTTCGCTTGTTGAACATTTTGGTTCAAATGCAGAATCATCATTCGAATCAATTTCATTGTTGGCTGATTCGATTGGTAATGACATATGTTTTGATGCTGGAAATAAAAATTGATCAACAAGTAAACGAATTAATTCTCGTCCAATTTTATTCTTATTTATATTTTCACATGTTAATAATGTACGAATAAATTTTAAATGACCAATAAATAGAATATTATCAATGCTACGCAATCCATTTGCTATCGACGATATAGTATACGTAGATAACCATGAAAATTCACCGGATAGTAATTCTCTTGCTTCAATACCAAGCATATCCTGTTTTTCTTTTGTTAAATTTTCCATTAATTGACAACGTAAATCAAAGTATTCAATGGATTGTGCAAGTAATTTTTGATTTGAACTGCGTGTACCAGCACCTGACGATGACCATAAAGGTAATCGAGCTTTGATTAAAATTTGATGAATGATCAAACGTATATCACATGTTGATATTTCGATTTTACATAGACGATTTACATTACGTAATGTACATTGACGAACTTCACGAGATGTTGTACCAATTAAAATTTCCAATAGGAAATCAGCAAAAAATGGTTGAACAAGAAAAGTAGCTATAATAAAACAAAAGAGAAAAAAAGATTTTGAAATCATTCTTATTCGAGTAGAATGAACTGGATAGAATTTAGAATATTTTTAACAAGTTAAACGCATCAAGAGTTAAATCATATGGTCATGAGTAAATTTAGGTACGAATCAAATGTTAAACATTCAATTTTAAATTTTACTTAGAGATTGATCTAACTTTTTTATTTGAGACTATTGCCATTAGATTGATTAAAATGACAACCAGAAGAGTTGGGTTTTACTGTCATTGTTAGGTTTTCTTTTATAGATGGCTGAGGATTTGAATTCATCTTTTAAAATGTATCTACAGTCACCAATAGCCTGAATGATTGAAATTCGTCTATATATGATCTATAAAGTGAGTAGAAATCCTGCATCATTGAAGTCAAGAAACAGATATATTTGTCAAGATACTTGTTTTGTTTATGAAAATATTTCAAAAGTAAAACGATGCGTCTAGTCAGTGTTTAAATTATGAATAGCAAGTCGTAGCTATGAATATAATTTCGATCATACAGTTTCTCAACGATATAAAATCCATCGAGTTAGAATCAAATGTAGTATGCATAAGTCAATAAGTGAAGTCTGGCGAGTTAAATATAGGCAGCTTCTTTTTGTGTACTCAAAAAAGTGAGTACACTCTAGAATCGGTCAGTGTGTCCGGCCGGCCGGCCGTTTACACGATAACTCTCGAAAGGAGAGTTAGATCATGATGAAATTTTCTACACAGTTCAGCCTCATCAATGTCTCAGTCGAGTTCGAAGATGAGAAGGATCCGCCGAGAAATGGTTGAGTTATCGAAAAAATTGTCATTATTGACCAATCCAACCCTGAGGGGAGGTACAGGGATTTTTCAAAAAAACAATTTTTCTTAGAATTATTCACAACACATATAAATCGACTCAGTTTTTAACGCTGATTCCGAATCTGATATTAATTTTGAACCAAATCGTAGCTTTCTAACAAAATATCGCCTGAAAAAGGTCCCAAAAATGCACAAAAACTGCATCCAGAAACCAAATTGGCTAAATATATTTCAGATGACCAGTAGTTTTGGGGTTTCTCAAATGCCTGGTTTTGTAGCTAGTCAAAAGGACTATCGAAAGGTAAAAACCCGAACTCGATAGCTATTAATATTGGTGATTTATTAGGAGAATACTGATGCCTGTATCTATCATATATCTCTTATAGATTCATGAGGTTCCTTACGATCGTAATTCCGCTAGATACAAGCGCAAATCCATTCAAAAATAACTCTTCTTGCCCAGTTTTCCAAGCTAAACACGAATCTGAACTTAATTTCTGTGATTTCTAAAGATATTATATCACTCTAAGAGTAGAGTCAGTGGTCACCGGATATGGTCGCATACAGTGTGGTCCATGCTAACTTAGCACGCCTGTATTTTCTCCTTGCAATTTAGTGACAAGGGATTATCTTGACGAGATCTATGTCTTATAGAAAAAAAAAGTGAATATACCTTTTCACTTTTTGAAGTACACGCAACACTCGGATTTAAATCTGAGGTTTTCGCATTTATTTACTAGTGATCCTAAGTAATAGCTTAGCCATAGCGTCATGTGAATATTGATTTGATATTTTGGGAATTATTTCTGGATATATAATTTAGGATATTTCGAAAGTTATAGATATGCCTGAAAAAAAAAGAACTCTAAAAAATATTCAATATCAAACTGAATCGAATTTCCAAATTTTAAATTCCAACTAGACAATCGAACCATAGTTTGACATTCTCTATATATGCCCACCTCTAAGATTTATCTTTAGAATTTCTCAGTTCGAATAGTTGCACTTACCAATAAATTCTGGTCGTTTTTCAAAGCAAAATGTAATAATTTCAATTACTTTTTCTGCTATTTCACTATCTAACGGTGAAATCGACTCTTTTTTCACACAGATACCAAAATGTACAGTTTTTTGTGTATCATTGTTCATAGATGATTCATTCGATAGAGAACTTCGACTATTATTTCGATTGAATACATTAGCATTAATTTGCTGTAATAATGTATAACGATCTAGTCTAACTTGTTCTGCTATTGTTAAATTTTGACCATGTAATTTTATATTTCCAGCTGCAGCAGCCCAACATAGAAAAATTAATTGTTTTATTTGTTCAACAAATTCTTCAAATTGTAAATGTTCAACAGTCGCTTGTATATCTAAATCAATTGTATCACTCATACTATCATCGGCTAATTGTGCCATTTGCAATAATGGTGATGATGGTGGTGAAATTTTCGTCGACATTACCGACGATGTTAATTCATCTTGTTGATTATTACCACAAATAAGTAATTGTATAAGTTGTAAAATAAGTCTTGTCATTTCCTGATATAATGAATATTGATAATCATCGTGAATGAAATCATTCAATGAATTAAGTAATTGAAACAAAAATTTAATACCAGATTGTTCAATGAAATCTTGTCGAAATAATTTTGAACTTTGTTGTATACCATTGTTCGTTGATAAAGGTAAAACTTTACTTGATAAAATTTCAAGATTATATAACAACTGTATTAGACTATAATTATTGATATCAAATACATGTCCAATAGCTTGTTGAGGGTTTATTGAATTATTATTAGAACTCTCTGTTGATTGTCGTCGTTCACCTGTACATGCATTTGCTGCTCGTATAGATATTAAATCGAGATAATCATGTACACGTATATCCGATGGCATTAAATAAAGAAGATTTCTTATACGTTTATGAATATTTTTATTATTTAAATAGGATAATTTATAGAGTATATCATAGATTTTTGAATTTTCTGCTAACATATTTGATGGTGATAAACGTGTTATATCATCATTTGTATTCATACTATTACTATTATTATTATTATTATTACGTGATATTGTTGGTAATATAGATGCACTATTCAATCTAATACGCATTGGTTCACTATTGACTGATTTTACTGGTTGATTAAATGAACCACCTAAGATTTTTATATAAATTGTTGTGCCCGATGTTATATGAAGTTGGTAGAGATATTTTGTATTTAATGATGAACCAAGAACACTAGTGTTGTTTGATTGATTATTCAACGAAGATGATAATGGAATTGTAATATTATTTATGCCTGTATGATCATAGGATTGTGGTAACGGACGAGTATTTTGTATTGATATATGTATATCATGTGATGGAACTTTATAAAATTGTCCAAGACAAATACGTAACATTTCAAGTGTATCATTTGAATGAACGGTTACGATGTCATACAAAGAATTTGTTTTACCTATTTCACCAAGAATAGTTCTAATTTGATATTCTAAACCATGAAATAGTGTTATATGTGCTGTTGGTGAATTTTCATGTTCAACCATATGTATATATTCTTCTATTATCATTAAAAGACGTTCAATTTTCTGTAACCATAACGTATGAGCTATTTCTGTTGTTGGTATTGTTGAAGTATGAGATGTTGTTGATAACTGTTTACCATAGGTCTTTAAACATTCATAAAATTGTTCAGGTTCTTTCGTCGACGATGTTGATGGTGGCATAGCTGTACTTAGTAAATTACCTAGACGTTGATATACTTCTTTAAGAAAATATTCATGTAATAATTGAGGTGTTAAACGACGTGTACGATTTGGTTGTTTTAAATAATATAGATCAAGTAGAAAACGAGTAGCATCATCAGCAATGTCATCATCGCCAACACATAAGATTATATTCCATAATTCATCGACACCATGATATTCTAACATTTCGTTCTAGTTAAGCAAAACATAAAGAGAAAATGTTATTTATTGTTTTATTTAATTTTTTCTTCTCTCTTCCGTTCGATGAAAATATGCAATGCATATTTCGTAGGCTATTCATCAATAGAACAGTTTTAGGTCAATGATATAAAAGAATTATCTAGCATAGTCTACACGGTGAAACACTTGATACAAAATATTCACTCATTTTTCAGCTACAGACAGTTAGTATCAAATAAGTACGAAAGCATTCATAACTATAATCACAGTGTTGCCAAAAGTTCAAAATAGTGATTGTACATATTTTAAAGTAGCTCATATGTTGAGTACATCGTCTAATTCAATATCGTTTTAGCTCTGATTAGAGAATATTTTTGCTGTATAGATTTTGTTCTGCAATCATCTTACGCTGAATATAGAAACTTACATAGCTTGATGTGGACGTATTTGAATTGTAATTAGATGTTCTCGATTGATTGCTTCGTTCTGAATTACATCGTTCAAAATATAATTTAAAACATGTATAACCTATATAGTTTGCGATAGAACAAAAATTAATATTATTATAATTCAATAAAACAAAAAAAGCGTTTTATTGTAACCTTTCGATGTTAACTGAATTGGATTCAACTTTGATACGCGTTTTTCAAATAGAGCTATTTGTGATTCACGATTAAGATCTTCTGAACATGTTATAAACCAGTTGAAACCAAGTTCATGATCGAATGAACCAACATGTTCATTTGTTATTAATGTATCCCATAATTCTTCGCTACGTTTCAATATGAGATAAAGATTTCCTTTTTTCAATAAAAATGATAATAAATCTAAATGAGTTTTAATTGACTCTTCATGTGTATAACGACCATCAACTAATGTATCAATTGTTACATGTCCAAGAGTTTTATTCCAAACATCTGATTGACATGTTGATAAACTTTGAATTAATGCTGATATTAGATCATGTTTATGGACCAATAATGATATAAGATCTTCATCGGTGCGTTTAAATGTATTCGTCGAATCGTGATGTAATAAATCATATAAATGTTTTATAGCGGGCACAAGCCAACCTTGTTTACGCTGCAAATCTGACATACATTTAAGACAATAATCACGTTTAAGAACATCATACGGTGAACGACCTTCACTAAATATACGTAAATGATAATATAGTATATGATCCAACATTGGACGACTAAGACGTTCAGAATGTGCCATATCCCAAAGAATTTCTAAAACACGTGCAGCAGATTCCTTTGGACATTCTCTTCCTATGGTGCCAAGTAACTCAACAAGTTTCTCTTGAATAAGAATTGTTTCGGTTTTCCATGACTTTTAAATAATAATAAAAATATTTATGGTCAGTACAAATTGAAAAGTAAGAAATCTTAACTTACGCTACAAATAAATTCGATTAGATAATTAAGTTGTTGCAAATTAAATTTCGCAGCTGCTGATGCGATGATGGTAAATAAATGATCAACAGCAACTAATGAACGTCCATGCTAAATTGAAATTAATAATAGATACTCTATTCTTTTGATTATTTTAATTAAATCAATCTTCTCAAAGTCTGATTGAAATTCTCGACATCAATCAGGATTCATTTTCTAACAATAGGCTCGAAACAATATGTCAACAGGTTCCTTTCACTAATTTATGATAAAATATTAATTTTAGATTGCAGATATTATTGTGTTGTTCATTTCTATCAAAAACTTTGTAATAGGAATGGTGAATTCACGTTGTGATCCGAGAAAGAGAAAACGCATCACTGCTTCAATGAAAAGCATGAGCACAAATGAACCTATATCCGATGAAGTAGGATATACGTTCTTGCTCAGTTTCGAAATATGAATGTACCTGCACTATTTTTTTACAACTTTTGTCTTTTTATCTGTTGTGAGATGTAAACGATGGGTAAGTAGATTATATCGATGATTTCATTATGATATTGATGAAGGAAAATAGTAACTTTATCGGGGAGGATAGAACTAATCATCCGATTAGAATTAATATTCATTGATTTTAATATTAATTCAAAAGCAATGAGGTGAACAACAGTGACAGAGAATATACAGTATTAGTAAGCTTTTAAACCAGTCTTTGTCTTCATTGCGCTTCATTTTGAATTAGTACAGCTTCGCTGAATCTTTTTTTCGCCGACTCCAACTTAGCCGAATAAAAATCTTGACCGAAAAATATCGAATCAAATTTGATCCATTCTAGATATAGAATTTTATCATAACTAACTACTTTAATAGTGACTTGATTAATTAACCCCATCTGACTTGGTAACCATCTGAGTTGGTAACCAAGTGACTTGGTAACCATCTGAGTTAGTAACCATCTGTGTGGATAACCCACGCACACACCCACACCCACACCCTAGGCAACTGACTTGGTAGCCATCTGAGTTGACAACCCACGCACACACCCACACCCACACTCACATCTACACCTGTTGGCACCTGTTTAAACAAGGCAGCAAATATAATTGACTTGGTTACCAAGTCACTTGGTTACCAACTCAGATGGTTACCAAGTCACTTGGTTACCAAGTCAGATGGTTACCAAGTCAGATGGTTACCAAGTCACTTGGTTACCAACTCAGATGGTTACCAAGTCAGATGGGGTTAATTAATCAAGTCACTATTAAAGTAGTTAGTTAGGATAAAATTCTATATCTAGAATGGATCAAATTTGATTCGATATTTTTCGGTCAAGACTTTTATTCGGCGAAGTTGGAGTCGGCGAAAATAATCGTCGGCGAAAAAAATATTCGGCGAAGCTGGAATTTACCTTCATTTTTATTTAAATAGTGGAGAGAAAAAATTAATCAATTCTTTTTATCTATAGAGGAAATGATAAGTAGTTTAGTAGCTATTTAACTTCGGTGCATCTTAAATCCAAGGAAAATTTGTTCTTCTCTTGAATTTTACCCTGCAACAACTCTTTATTAAAATTTTCATGTATTTCTAGTTTTATTAAAAGAAAAAGAGTATAAGAATGTTCTTAACATCCAGCTATATTATATATGAGAAATTTAAGTAAAAATAGTTTCAAGAAGAAATGCAGAGAGAATGTTTTTTCAAAAGCTCAACATCCGGTAAAACCAAGATTTTTACACGTTTCACCAGAAGAATATGAAATAGAGACAATCAAAGAAATTGAAAATAAATGAGAATATCTTGACTGATTTTGTTTTTGTTAGTCAAAAACTGTTTTTAATTATATCATATTTAGAAATCGATTCTTAGCTGTGTAAAAAACTATTCTGAACAACTGAAGTGTAAAATTGACGTTCAAAATTTGAATACCTGCATTTTCCATATAGTTGTAATATCTTGTTTTAGAATTTTTGGTGCAATAAAATCCATTAATGTTCGAACTTTTTCAACATACTGATTTTGATCAATATTTCCTTTTCATATTTTAATTAAAACCATAGATTAGACAAGACATAGATTATATTTTTCTATTACCTTCAAGTGCTTTTGAAAGTATAGAATTGTCAATAATCCATTCACTGATAATCTCACGTCGAATCGATGCTTTCGTCATACTGGGTATATTCGATGTTGCATTTTCAATCATCTTTGCTAACTAAAATAAATTATTTCTTTTTGGTTTAATCGATATTTTTTTTTCGTTTTTCATTTACTTCTTTCAATGAATTCATTTTTGAATTAAAATTCGATAATGCAATCATTTTAAGCAATAAATTAAGATGCAATTGTTCGATCTGTTCAATACGATTAGGCCATACAGCTGAGCATATTTTTCGTAGTGTTGATAATAATTCAAATATTGAGTTTGTCGACTAAAATTCGAAGAGAACTCATTTTTTTTGAAAACTCTTATTTAGAACACAAACTTTAGCTTTAAAATCTTGTTCTTTTAAATTCTTAATATAATCTAACGCTTGTTCAATGTGTTCACTAAATAATTGTCGATATTTATCCATGAATATATAATCCATACAATTAACAAATGGCGAAAGTAAACCATTATGTTCCTAAAAAGAATATGAACTGGTAAAGTTGTCGTTTTTCTCTCTTTCTTACAATAGCTGTTAATGTTTTTTCATTATGAAATTGTGATTTTAAATTTACGATGCCATCTTTTAATACGAAACGATTTATTATTTGGCATAGCCAACCATAGGTTTCATTTCGATTATAAACAGAAAAGGCCGAAGCTGATGGTGGATTAGCTAATATGCGGTCATCTAATTGTTTATCATACAATGAACGATCATATGCTTTCGTTTTATTTTTTCGTTGAAAAACAGAATCATGATCGAATAATATTGATAATGTTTCGAGTAATTTAACTGGTACAGGCGGATACGATAAACGTGCAGCGATTAAATCTATCAATAATTCAACCATATCAAATACACCGGATTGAATTTCGAATCCCCAGTTATTAACAGGATGAGAACATTGTAACTAAAGGAAAAAAGAACAGAAAAAACTTGATGAAATGATTTTAGTGTATGCGTACTTTTCGAAAAGCCTCCGGAATTAATTCTTCCATGAATTTAACACAATGTCTATCTTGATCGGCAGTACCTGAACGAGCACAATATTTTTTTTTAAGTCAAAAATTAAAATTATATATGTTGTAATTTTACCGGCAAGAGCAAGTTTTGTTGCTGACAGAAGACATTGACCAAGAGCTTCTTCACCTAAAGAATTAAATTAAAATGTTTTTCATTGAATTTAACTTACACACGACATGCTACGCAACGATAGATACATGATACTTTTGATTTAACTCACAACCGACTTACGTATGTCTCTCATGATATTGTTGCAATCTACTATATCGAACTCGATTTATTATTCGGCATTGCTTTTCATCTCAATCTATATCTATTCTGTTGTTTATGAATTATTGCATACAAGTAACGATTAGATCGCTTCTGGCCAGCACAAATAAAGATTTTATCTTTGCTGTAAGTTAGTGTTATACTGTGGTATCTGATGATTGAAAAAATGATTCTAAATGACTTTTTCAATATTCATGAAATCTTCATATTTTTTCTTTATCGTAGGCTATTCTTTAAAAAAAAATATTTTCTACAGTTTACTTACACTCAGTTCATTCAACAGTTCTTTTTCAATACGATCACTCTATCAAAAGATAGAACAAAAAATGTATTGATCGAGTATTAGATATATATTCATGAGTCTACGAGGGAGCCAAGCTAACAATCGAGCGAGATATCCAGGTTTGCAACTCTTCAAATAGTTTGCATTTGTATACTGTAATCGTATAAGGACTGACCCCCAGTCATTTTCCATTAGGTACTTGGGCGATATCGCTTAAGCAATCTTTCCACGTCTGTAATTCATCAAAAGCTATGAGGAAATTTTTCGATTTTTTTTTCTTCAAAATTAACCGAGTCCTTCACGCTTACAAAACAAAGAAATCGAACTCTTATGCAAATATAAATAACCAAAAACCAATAGTTAGATTTTAAATATTCTTCTTTGGTAAAAGAATGATTTGGTAATCAGAAACAGCATGTGTGCGTTATTCTTGAATTCATATACATAAGCATATTTGTTGATCAATGACAGGAAGTTCCATCTTTAGTTCGTTTTATTTTCTTCGTAACAACAATTTGTATTTATAATGAAGTAATTCTAGATCATTAATATACAACTGATTAAAGAAGTATAGAATAGTTTATTCCCTATGCTATAACATTACTTTACTGATCATCGATTCATATTTCTTTTTATCTTAATCAATATTATATCAAGTAAGGTGTTTTATTCGTTTGCTCTATATTGGTTTTGATAACTTAATGTGTTTGTTTTCAATAGTAAAGAAGAGAGAATACTCGAAAGTGCTTGTTCTTTCTAAGAAAGTAATAAATTCGTTTTGTATTATAAATAAATGAGTTTCACATTCTTTCACATACATTTATATTAGAAATATATGTATATATATCACCGTTACTTTCATTTTTTACACACACACACATGCACACTTTTTTCTTCTTTTATTAAGCAAGAAAAATGTACCGAAAGCATCCTATTAATCATTAAGAAATACAATGCCCGATGGATTTAATAGAAACGTTTGAAAAAATCCTGAGCATGAAATGCGATTTTCGTCCCTTAAGTTAACAGTTCATGACTTTCCAATTTACGTTCTGAGTCGATGAAAGAATTTGTCATAAACATCAATAATGACTCATGAGAAAAACAATTTTTAAATAATTTATGATTAAATTAAACATACGTTTGTAAGGAATTGACCAGTTATCACCATAGACTTTAGTTTCAAGATCAAGAAAAGCATTAGTTGTAAATGAATTAAAGTTATTCGTGGAATATTCATCTGAAGCTGCGGAATTTGAATCATTCGAGTTATTATTATTATTATTGGAAGGAACCTGTAGAAATAATTAAGAAAAGTGCTTCACAAAACGGATTAAAAATTGATTAATTAATATTTAAAAAAATGATAACCGTATGTTTTGATTTGAATAATTTGTTGAAAATTTTCTTTCTTAGACGCACCATAGCTTGCCAGATGACGAAAATAAATAAAATAAAACTCAAAAGAAAAGAAACCCTTTTTTAGTTTTTCTCTTTTTTTCTTTTATCTTGCTTTTCTTTGTCACATTGTTTTTCTCTCCTTACTGTTTGTTGGTGTTCGAGCTGTTCTTTAGTAAGTGGTCCTATGAATGTTGGCGCCATCGTTTCAGTTGGTATTAGAAGATCATCATCATAGTAATTTGAACTTGTTAGAATAGTAACAGCTTCGCTTATATCATTGTTGGCTTTAATTAATGCTTTACGATTTAAATCTCTGTCAATGAATCCCATCGATATTAATGACTGTATATGATCTTCCATCGTTAGCATATCATTGGACGGCGGAGAACAAGAACTGGTTGAATTACTTGAATAATTGTTTAAAATGAAGAAATACTAATTTAAAAAAATTTTTTTGTCTGGATAAAAATTACCTGGCGACAAAAAGTTTATTTCGTGGGGTACACGAACGTTTGGGGGAACTGTTATTGGTAGTTTCGGTTAACGAAGAATTTACCGTGTGAGCACTGCGTTTCATCACGGTAACAATAATTTGTATATTTGATATCCATCTGTAATGAAAATTATTATGTTTTGTTATTATATGATCAAATTACTCCATAATGAAAATTACGTATCATATATATATATATACATATATTTACCAAAAATGAAGTAAAGTCAGCATGATCACCAGTCACGCATGTGCTTCACCTGTTTTATACTCGTTCTTTTCTTTTTTTTCTTCTTGATGAATTACTTTTGAATAAAGGTACTTCGACTTGTCGGTTTGATACACGCGAGTAGCAACAAAAGTCGATTGTTGTAACTAACAATAAAAAAAAGAAGAAGATGTAAAGAACTTTACAGTTAACAACATAAATATATCTGAAAAAAAAGTCTTATTATCTTTTCCTCAAAGAATACGTTCTTTTATCTTGACTGTTAGATTGAAACAAATAAGGTAGTCTACTAAAAAAAAGCATTAATCATTAATGCAGTTTAATTAAACTTGAATTATTAAAGAACTGTTGATATCTGTTGATTGGTTAAATTAAAAACCAATCGAATAGATATTTTATCAATACAATAGAATAATGGATTCGATTTTCAACTTTTATTCTTTCTTTCTTTCTTTTTTTCTTTCTCTCCTTTTTCTTTCTATCGTCTACCTCTTCTTGTGATAGATACTATTGATTTAAAGACCATATCAAGTTACATGAGAATTCAACCAAATGCATTTGAATGTGGTTTTAAAAAAGGCTAGTAAATTTTTTTCTTCGTTTTTTTTTCTACCTCATTGAAATAAAACCTTGTATTGTCACATACATATACATATACATGCAAAATGAAAGGAAGAAAAACGCAAACTTCATAAAATATTTTGATTTGAATGACGCCGATATTATAATAGAAAAAAAGTCAATCTTGATTGTTTCTGTCTTCATTTTTTTTACTCGATCAAAGACATCGATTCGATAGAAGCGTCCTGTGTGTGTCTTTTTTTTAGCGCGTTTGTCGACCGTGTAATTCGATCGTTTATTGTCTGTACACGCTGCACATATAGAACTTATGCAACACAACTAGAAAAACGTTAATAATTCAGAATAGATGCGAATGAGAGGGTGTGAGTATGTGCTGTTTGATTGATGATGATGATCATGATGACGAAATATGCAACTAATCAAATTGAATGCTTCGTTTCTCTTTTTTCATCAACAATCATCCATCGCTTGTCGCCAATTTATGTTCATTTACATACAGTTTTGCTATTGGCATTTTTGAAAGTTGTCTGTAAGTGATCTATTTAAATAAAAGCGAACTCCAAACTGAATATTCTCGATTTCTTATAATTCTAGTCTTGTCATTGAACATTATTTATACGATATTAAACTGACTAAATAATGAATAAGAGAGTAAAAGTGAATTTTGATCTCAATCAAAGGTTGAGGCCTTGAAATCAAAGCTTCTCATTCAGGTCAGTTACTCTGTAAAAGGGCACATTGATGTATATCCCAATGTACATTACGGACATTCGATGATAGTGTCAAATATAGTAGGAGCCCGCCAAATTAAAAATTTATTGGCCTCGTGTTAGAATAGTGAAAAATGTCTTCCTTCCTTTCTTTTTGTTCTATGTGGTTTCATAACACGTATTCTTTATTCCTTTATTTTTTTTTATTAAGTGCGACTAGGCGCATTTAAAGCGGTCAGTATCAACATCAGTAGTTTGACTTGTTTCATTATCCAGATCCATCCATCAACTGAGTGCGCTCGATTTTTTCATCATGTTCTTTTGTCTTTCTCTTCTCTCTCCATATATATATATATATATATATATGTGCAGTATACGTCTGTAAGTTTCGTTGCACCAAGGAATGGAAGTAAACTCACATACATGCAGAGACGACAGAAAAAAATCGAGACAGAAGAGAGATTGCTATTGATTCAATGCTTGTTCTCTTCTTTTGCCCGAGTAATGGTGGTGATGATGGTCATCTTTTTTTTCAAGTAGAAGAAGGATAGAGAAGGAAAAAATCGCAGAAGAAATGCTCATGCCGTCTATGTCTTACCCGATGTATGATAGATGCATACGCGTTTGCATCTCACAACAACAGCAGAGGAAAGAATGACACACACACAGAAAACTAGTATAATAGCATTGAGAAAATATTGTCCGATCTTTATTGGGTATATGTGCACAAACTATGATCAGATATTCTTTATATATACTGTCTGAAATATGATTATGCATTCTTTTATCGTTCTTGCGAATAAGAGATTCAGTACCATAGAAATAATATGTGAGAAATGTAGGATATTAGTATGAGGACTGGTAAATGTGCGTGTATTTCAGTGGTTTCAGGTACGTGAGAGGACGCAAATTAGAATTTTGCTTTCTATAAAAAAAATCGCCAAATTTTTCTTTCTATCACGATAAGTATATGTTTAATTTTTATTCGATATTGCTCTTATTTTTTTTATCTCACGGATGCTATTAACATTTGTGGCAGTTTTATACAAGCGTACATAATCATGTTATCGTGTCAGTCATCATCACTGCAATCCTTCTTCTTTTCTTCGTTTTTTTTTCAACTCGCATGTATGTATGTCATCAACCCGTACTATTGTGCAATAGGAACGGTCAACACTTTGTCATCATCATTTTCTTGTTTCTACGATTCCGTCTGTTCTTACAAACAAACAGCACACGGGATTCATCAGTGAAATTATAATGTTCGACACACGAGTTTGTGCGCACAGTTCGTAATCATCGATACCAATTATTAATGGTTGAGCGCGAGAGAGCCATTAAGTGTCGCTATAACCCAACGGGTTTTTTGCTCATTTCTTTTTTTTTTTTTTGGTATGTTGCTTACATACCCAAAATATAAAACGATAAGATGGATGATCATAGAACACAACGAATGAGCTGAATCAGTTACTTCCTTTTTTTCTTTTCTCGTATTTCCAAGGTTTTTACACGATGATTTGCTTTGGATAATTAGATTCATTTTCATCTTTTCTATAGTAATAACTGAGTATGATTACCTAGTACTTCCTCTAGTATTTAAAGGTCGATGATAATAGCAGACTATCTCTCACATATATAATTAATTTCGTACTCTTTCTTTTTCTCGCTTTTGAACAAACATCCTTCAATCTTTACAGCGAGCGTATATTAATCATAAAAGCCTCAAAAAATGGTTCAAATTCGTTCTTGTATATTTCAGATGAATTATGCATAATGATCTGATGCTGCTCTATTCTTTATTTTTCTTATCAATAATAATAAGAATTACGCACGGACAACAAACAGTAATTTATGTTAAACGTGGTGATGTAGTTGAATTATGTGACAATCGCTCGACATCAATTTATGCTTATGAATATCGAAGTTTCGATGGTAAAAAAGATCTAATTCTTGAGCCATCAAGAAATGATCGATACTCAAATCCATATCGGACAAGTCTATTACGAATAAATAATGTTAATGAAAGTGATAGTGGATTATATAAATGTCCACAAGATGATATTGAATGGCAAAAACTTCAAGTTTACAGTAAGTTCAAATAAAAGAAACGACCGATAAATTGTAATTTTTGATTACAAGTGTTATATAAGAAATTGATAAGGTATCTTTTTCTTTTTTCTATTAAAAAAACAAAGCATGTCTTGTTAGACACTCGATTTGTTCTCAATCAAGCGATTGTGTTCAGACACAAGATGATTAGAACAAGATAAACTGCTTTTGTATATTGTTATAAAAAAAAGAAAGAAAGAGAAAAAGAAACAGATATCTATATCAATGATTAATGAAACTATTGATTTATTTTGTTGAAAATGAAACACTATGTCTTCTCTATGTTTTCTTCTTTTTCTAATTAGCTCCCGTTAAACATATATATTTAAGTAATCTTCATGCACCAACTCGAATGTATAATAATGATCTATGCGGAATTCATGATAGAAATTGCTTAGTTATGGTTGAAGGTGAACCATTGGATATTGTTTGCGCTGCTGATGGTTCTCCTCGTCCATCACTTGAAATTTCATTAAATAAAAATCATACAACACCAACAATAATGGCATTAGCAACGGGCATTAAAACGCCAGATTTGATTGACAATCGATTTCAACCAAGTGTTTATGAAGTTTATCGTATTCCACATTTAACATACGCTGATAACGGACGAAATCTAACATGTCATGTCGATATGAAACACATTGATAACACGCTCATTTTATCAGTGACAAAACAAATCTATATTGAATGTAAAATTGTTTGGTTTTTTTTCTTTTAAATTTTCTATTGATCTTCTGCTTGATTTAGATCGACCGACAGTTGCAGAAAAAGTTAAAAAAATCTATTCTGGAATTAATCGTACGCGTACTGTTAATTGTACAGTTATACGTGCTAATCCAATGTATATACATTATAAGATCCACGCTTTAACACCATCACTTATCAGTAAAGAATATGATGATCAAAATCCTTCGTACTATAAATTTGATATAACGCCCACATCCATTGATCAATTTCGTTCGTTTAATGTAACTGCTAACAATAGTATTGGTTATGATACATGCACTTATGAATTAATTCACGGAGGTAGATATTTGTCTTTCTAATCAATTTTCTTTTCAAGCTTAGACAGATAGAGAAATGTATGATGTTAATACAAACTAGACATTGTTGTATAAGTTCTGATGTTATTGTTGTTTTGAATATTAATGATACGAGATAATTAACTTTAACTTCTTATGTTTGGCTATTCTTTGTGGCATGTGGCGGTTTTATTAAATAGTTCGTAGGACAGTTTTTTTAAACTAAACTAAACAATAGAACCTACATGCATATGAAGATGTTAAATAATGAGGGAGGACATCAATAATTACATGACAAACAAGTTCAATATCTTTAGGCAATGTTTGTCTGGTAGTGACATAAGACACGTTACAGTTTCTATTCACAGGTGAAATGACTGATAGATATGTTACAGAATAAGAAGTAGGCGCTAAAATGATTTCACTCTACAAATTTGATCATTTTTAGATCTAGATCGATAAATCTTTTTCAAACTTATGTAATCTAGGTTGGTGAGACAAGTCTCATTTTGTTTGCTTGAGTACACGAGACATTGTAATCTATGATAATTCTAGACACTGTAAGCCCTATAAATAGAACTTTGATGGTACAAAAATTACCCGGAACGGGAACTGCGATTCCGACTCCGGTTCCGGTTACTAAAAGTAAGAAAATGGCGGTTCCGGCTCAATTCCTCTAATATCATGCGAAAAGAAAAACCAAGGGGTGATCAACCAGCTAAAATAATTTTGAAATATATATTTCGAGAAAATTTGATTATCTGACTGGTGTATTTAAAGTTATCAAATATTTCATACTTTACTTGAAAAAGTGATGAGACACGTCTACACATAGTCTGCAGATTGTTTTGTCTCTTTTCGATGGTTGACCAATTCTATCTGCATAAAACTCAAGAAAATAGAAGAAGCTTAAGATCCAATCGAATTCTCATTATGTAACGATTTATTGTGATTATTTATCATATGAATGTCATCGAGTTTCATCTAAAAAATTCAAAAGCTAGAATAATTTGACATAGCTAGTAATAAATTGAACAGGTTGTAAGCTCCCTATGGATTGTTCTTATTAGTCTGCATTGTTCGATGAGGGTATATACAAAACGCTTCAGGGATATAACCATAAGAACAGTTGAGATCAAAGAAAGATTCACTTGGTCAATAATCTATCGATTTATTGAAGTCAATATAGAACTACTTCAAAACAATGCATATCCATGGTTCGCTTGTTAATAATAAATTTCGAGTGTCCATTATCATTCAAGAGAAAAAACAACAATCAGTTCAATTGATGAAAACGAGTTTGACATTATGAGTGTCTTTTTGTATGTAGTTATCTATCGATCATCCTAGATACTTTAATGTATATGGGAGTCTTTTCCCTGTGAATAGAATACATTCATGTTCCCGAATCCCTATTGTAGTCATAGTAATAATGTCATTTAAACTCAATACAATCTAATCCAATAAATAATTCGTTTTTGCGTCTGTTGAGATTTTAGAGCGCACATGGACGATATACTCTCCATGCTTGTGTGTGTGAGTGACAGTTTAGACTTCAATGCATGAGACAATCGAGTGACAAGCTACAATTTAGTAAAGTAATTTGAAACGATTATAACATCTATCAAGATACATAGCTAAATATCTAAATCCAATGATTAAAATAACTTCCTATATAGAAAAAAAGTTTTAATTACTTTACTACGAATGTAATCTTTTATCTTTATTTTTAGATGTACCTGATCGAATAACAAATTGTACACTTGATAAATCGACATCAAATATTACTATAACAATAACTTGTACGAAAAGTTATGCACAAGGTGATAGTGATAGTTATGCATGTATACTATATGAAAAGGATGAAAATGATCCAGAAAGAATGTTCAAAGAAATAGCACGAACAAAATCTTGCATATTTGCATTACCATATACTCATACACCTGTTGAATATCGTATTGGTGCACTAAATAATTACGGTTCATTATCAATCAATCAACATGGTTATGTTATTCCGTTGAATCAAAAAACTTGTAATTAACTATAAACTAAAATAAATTTGTTCTTCACGAGTTTTTGCTGGCTTCCTTTTTATTTCTAGCACAAAAAGCATCAGTTTTCAATAAGAAACTTTCTGTTATTCTTGGTTGCATATTCGGTGGTGCGATCGTATTAGTTTTTCTTTGTTGTCTTTGCGGAACATGTCATCAAGACCGATCGAAGCTTTCAACTAGAAATACTCTTTATCAAAAAGATAGTAAGTTATATTATTACATTTGTTTTTGTTTTTTGAAATGTTCACGTCAAAATATAAATATTATTCACACCCTATTCAGCATTTCCAATTGCAAGAGAACATTGCCGGATTGTTTCTGTATATCAGATTCAAACTCCTTCGTCTCTTTCTTCGACGTAGGTTTTCAAACTTGACATAAATAAATCGAAGTCGAGCGCATGAATTTATGCATGTTATATATATTTTTTTCTTTTACGTTGATATATTCTTTTATTTGACGAAAAAGAAATCCATTAGATACGTTTAATATGAAATCGTATAAATTAATTTTATTTTTCTTACCCTTATAGGATATCCCCGATCGTCGACCGAGAGCGAAGCATTAAAACCTATCAGTGGTAAATCAACGTGTGTCTTATTGTGTTAAAATAATAATTGTTTTTTTTTAATTTTTTTAAACATTTTGAGACGAAAAAGTGTTACACTTAGTTTCAAATGGCAGTGATAGACATCATCAGGTTAGTTGAAAATTTAATTATAAGTTTAAGTTAATTGTTTTGTTTTAGAACGGCGCTGTTTATGATATTCCTATTCATTTAAATGGTAAATATTCTCATCAATTAACTTCTCCAACATCTGTTTATCATCAACAAAAGTCTCAACAATCAACTAATCTTCATTATATTGATCAAGATTCAATAACAAGTAGTCTTAATTCATTACGCACACGAGCACGTACATTTAACAATAAATTCTACGGTAATCCATTAATGGAGAATAAATACGGACCACTATCATCAACAATACAAGGCAATGCGAATAATGGTGAAATTATGGAAAACGACGAAGAAGACGAAGACGAATCACCAGTTTATTCAACAACAACAGATGTTATGTCTGAAAGTGGCTCATTTCTTGTTTCAAATTCATCATCAAAGCGTCGTGCACCACCTCCACCTAAACCACGTTATTCAACATTAAGTTCTCTTCGTTTACCAGCTGAAAATTCTGATAAAGTACCATTGCCATGTCCTAAACCACGTTCTCGTTCAAATTCACGTACACGTTTAAATAATGGAAGTTCAGATAATTCATCATATTTATACGAAGAACGTCCTGTTTCATCATCAGACTCTGGTATCGGTCAATCAGATGTTGTTTGTCTCCCCAATGGTGATACAATACGTTCGGGTCTTGTGAAATCAAGACAAAATAGCCTTCAAAAACATTATACTAGCCCACCATTAATTCAACAACCAATAAAACAGGAAATATTAACATCACCTATTGTTCGTGGTACAGAATGCTAAGAAATTTTGCTGTTTTCGAAACGTTTGTTGTGTAAATATTATGTGTGTGCATGTATCGATTGGTAGTAATCGATTCTACCAGCTGAATACAGTATTGAACAAGACGCAAAGCTATGCTTGTTATTGTCTTTGGTATACGCATTTGTGAGGAATTTTTTTGTATTTCTTGGTTTCCTATTGTTGATTAGTGTTTTGTTGATACTTATATGATATGATTTATTCAGATTTTCTGCCTTTTTCTTTTTCTTTCGGTTGTAATTGTACAAAACAAAAAAACAAAAAAAAAATGAAACATGAAAATTCAGATTTACACACATAGTTAACAATTATCTCGATGAGAATATGTCATGGAGATGATATGATAATTGGTGGTTCGAGAATCTTTCTTCTTTTTTTGTAGACAAACAAAATGGTTGACCCTTACGATTTTGTAGCATCACCTTCGACTATTAGATCTAAACAAACACGTAAAAAGACAATAGTAAAAACTTCTAAGAAGAGAAAATCAAATGAAAAGCCACGACGAGTATCGATTCGACAAGCCAATAGTAAATCTAACAAATCTACAAGATCAAATTTACGTGATACAGATCATTTAATTGATATGCATGAAAAAGAAAATAATCCTAATAATGGTTTTACTCAATTAATTCAAACAAAAATGATGGAAGTTAAAAAACAACAAGGCAAACGTACAAATAAAAAAGTAAGAATAGTAACGGATGACAATCGTTCTCCATTGACAACTAAAAAACGGCAACGAACAGGTAACTTCTATTAGAAAATTTTCGTCTTGATGAAATTTATATTTTAATTAGAAACTGACGATAATTCTGATATGATCAATGATCCGACTGAAATAGGTAGTTTTTTCAAATCGTTGTAAATATATTTATTTTTTAATTTGATCCAACAGGTAACAATCATCCGCTATGTACCACAACCAATGAGCATGTCAAAGTTGCCAAAACGAAAACAAAACATCCTCCAATTTGTGAATCAAAAGGTATCAAATCCAAAAAGGTTTTTAATTCAATGCCTTTAACTTAGATTATCTATAAAAATCTAGATCATTTTTTCGTTATGACAAATAAACGACGTCGAGCATGTCTTTGTTCAAGTAACCCGTTTGTCTATTGAGTATAATGAGAGTCATTCATGTTTATTGCAATTTAGAAAGACAATTGGACGAACTTGAATTTGCCCCGGATAGTGCTCCGACACAAACACCTCAGCGATACGACGAGGAGCAGCAATTACCAGAAAAATCTTATCTAGAACCAAATTTAACTTGTGCTTATCATTCTCCACTTCCTCTTCTTCTTCCATCGTCACCTTTGATGCCACCTTTAGCTTCAACCATAGATCTTGAACCTGTTCAATCTATATCAGCAAATCAACAACAAGTAAATCATGAAGATGTCGGCAAAGAAGAGGAAGACGAAAACAAAGAAGAAGACGAAGAAGAAGAAGAAGAAGAAGAAGAAGAAGACGAAAACAAAGAAGAAGACGAAGAAGAAAATCAATTACATGCAACATCTATGATGGCTGCTCCTCTATCGCCAGCAATGCCTCTCAATACAACTTATATTGCTCATCGATCAATTCCATTAATGGCACAAATACCATCAGCAGTACTTTCATTATCAACAGGAATACTTCGAAATACCACGACAATTGTTTCAAATAATACACAAACTCAATTAACGGCATCCACTGTTGAACATTCAAATGTTGAACAACACAAAATCAATCTATCATTATCATTACCACCGGTTAAGTTAATTTCTAATCGGAAAGATCAAGAAACGTCAATGACTCCAACAGCTGTTCAAACAATAAAATGTTCTGTATCAACACAAACGGGTGATGATGATTATCCTATTCATCATCCTTGTAATGATGTTAGTGTATGTCCATGTGTTCAAATTTATGCACGCTCTGAGCAATTGTTCATGACTAGTATGTCAGTATTCTTTCGCAATACAATCACAGTAACACCTCGAGAACAATTATTTGCCACAATTAAGAATACAAACAGAACAAATAATAGGCAACAACAACAACCACAAATAAATGAATCCGTTACATCTTCTGAGCCAACTCCGAACATTAATCAAACTGAAATTCCTATGCAAATCGAATCACGAATAGAGAAAGATGTAAGATAAATAGGATATAAACTCGTAGAATCTTTTTTTTTTTTGATAAATCTTTTTCAATAGAATAATGCTCAAATCAATGAAACATATTTAATTAATAATAACAACGACACTGTTACTTCGATCGAACCTGAGCCTGAACAAACATCACATGTTTTACTCGATACATCGACAGTAATTCATGAAACTCCTTATGATAATTCAAAAAAATCCGATGGATCATCTATAAAAATTAATATAAATTCAATAGAAGAATCGATTGAAAAAGCACATGAAGAACATTCATCATTCAACTCTTCTATTGATCAACAAAACTTTAAGTCATTAGTATTAGCAATGACAGCTTTAAAAGATGATCAAAAAGTATTAAATTTATTTCTATTTTAAAAATATCAAACATTAAATATTTTGATTCTGTTTCCAGATTGAATTTAATCGTTTTATTGAACGATTTTCTGTTCGTTCATCAACATCAATCGATGAAACAACTACACATTTAATTACCGATGAAGATAATGAAAATCCATTACGATGCCCATTAACTGGTAAAGTTTTACAAGCCGTTGCACGTCATCTGAAAATCATTTCGTATCGCTGGTTAACAGCATGCTTAAATCAGCAACGTTATGTCGATGAAATTCCAACATATGAAATCATTGGTGACACTGTCTATAATGAGCATTCTGGAATGTCTCGTTCTCGATTGAATAACTCCATTGATTATCGTTTATTAGCAAATTATGCATTTCATTTCAAATGTACTGGCTGCCAACCATTTATCGATAATCGACCATTAATTGAACTTATACATTTATCTGGCGGTCTGATACTTAAAACACTTAATCAACATATTGATAATACAGGAAGACAAATCATAATTTTATGTTCAAAAAAATATCTTCAAAATAAACCAGCATTACAACAAGCTTGTCAAAAATTGAATATTCTCTGTATTGAACCAGAATGGTTGATTGCTAGTATAGTAAAATTTGATCTACAACCATTTGAACCATGGCTATGTACTTTATATTCATAATTTAATTTATATAGAGCTGTTTTTGATATATGTATAAATTTATATTATTCATTGAAATTATCATTTTTCTTTTTGTGTTTATATTATATATTAATTTTATTGTCGAATAAAACAAAACAGAGCAGATATTGAGAGTGAAATTTACATAATAGAGCAAGAAATCATATTTATTTGTTAAGTTTTCAATCAAGATATGTTTAATATTTCATGCAAAAAGAATCGAAATTGACACTGATTCACTGCGACTACACTGGTTTATGAAAAAAAAATTCTCGAATATAATTTTCTCGATAAAAACCTAAGTAAATCTTAGACAAATCACAAAATTCTAATGATCATGCCCTTCAATGGTTAGATCTATTGAATCCATCCTCGACCCAAAAAAAGAGCCAAGTTATTTTCCCTATTATGAATTTCTACTTACATAAATTGTATTGCTTGCTTCACGTGGATTAATGAGTCGTCCAATACTATCAGATATGTAAATCAACTATCAAAGTTCTTTCTATATTCGAAAACAGCATAAAAAAAGTGCTATTGAAAAGTTTTATTTTTATGCTGTGATCAATATTTTCAATATCTTATTTGAATAATAGAAAAATGAAAATAGCATGGATATGTATGTTTCATTCTGTTATACATTCGCCAAAAAGAAACAGATAATCCCGAAACAATGGTCAGCACACTATATAATAACTATTAGAAATTCTATCTGCTAAAAAATACACATTTGACTCTATGAATAAGAGTTAATTAGTAGTATCAATAGAATAAACACCTACAATACGATATATGGGTTTAGAGTGGTTTGCATTAATGAAAATGTCTTTCTGGTCCGATTGACTATCAACAGCAATCAAGCAAACGATAATCATAGTTGCAACATTATAATATAATTATGTGATACTACCAATTTCATTCACACATGGATTGATGCTCATCGATGTGTTTGATATGTCACGTACTGGTAAAGCAGTTGATTACTTCCGGCAATTATAATCAAAATATTGAATTTAGATTGTTCAGGATATCTGGGCTTTTTTCTATTCATATTTTGTGGAAAAACATTCACATAGCTATGTGATACCAACAAATTTTATTCGAGCCACATCATTCAAGTATCTCAATTTTATGATTACCTATATTATATAGTCTGTGTATAATCCATGAATAATGTTGCAGATTATAGACAACTCTTCACGTTACATATTTTGGATTAACTAAGTAACGGAATATTTTTGAATTGTGAAAAATAGCACAATTATTTTTATTCAAAAACAAAGAGCAACAACATTCATTCATGTTTTACACGTACATATCTACTTAAATTTGAAGAAAACAAAATGAAATCGAAATAACACACATATAAATATATAATCCACATAGCTAACTTGTGTCCAGAATCAAAATGCGGTTTCGTTCTAAATTCGTCTATTCAAAATTGAAATCATAAGTTTTTATTCAAATTATATTGGATGAAATTTCAGTTCTGAGTTCAACCTATGTATACATACTGTCGTTAGTATTTGTGNAAATTTTGACCCCCCCCCCCCCCCACACAGACCGTTACAGAGAAATTAATTAATTATTTTCTCTGTAACGGTTTGTGATGGTTTCTAGCGACTCCATACATCATCATACAGGCCGTAACAGAGAAGCTCCACAGACCATCACTGACCGTGATTGACGGAATCCAGAAAATGAGTTTCATTGTGTTTTCCATTTTAATCCCACAGGGATTGCGCTAACAGCTTTTTACATTCATCTAGTGTTTCAAAAAATATAAGTATACTAGAATTCAGTAGGCTGAATGTTTAAAAAACGCTAAATAGTGTAGAAAAGATTGCCTCACTACAAAGTTAGATAAGAATAATTGTCAGAATCCATTGAAACGCATCTCTTATCTCACATGCGACATGAAATTAACTGATTTTTTACGATATATGTCGTTCCTATCAGCATGCTATATTTGGATTTTTTGTTATTGTTCTCTGTTGTATTTCAAATTATTTCAAGTAACTCTATTTTTCAGTTCTTCGCTTAGTCACTGTAGAATACATCTGTAACACGTACGAAAAATTGTTTCTTGTGGAGTATAGCATGAGAGATGTCGTTGATTATCAATGGTGCCATCTTAAATAAAACTATCAGCTGTACAGTAGTTTTCTTTGCGTTTTATCCGTTTCGTTCGTCAATTGAACTTTATGTTGACAGATGTGACGGATATTCAAATAAATCTGAATAGTAGAGTTGATTAAATTTTAAATGACGGTATGGTGACTGCCAACCAATAAAAAATCGTCCACGCATACATATCTTTTAGTAGTAGACTTGCTTTGATCGTCTCTTTTCTGACGACGTGTACAAAATGCCAACAACTTAAATTCGTATTATATAGCAACATTTTGTATTCGAATTATTTTTATTTTATAGAATTATAAAAAAACGACAACAATGCTAGCTAAATCGCCAGTACCCTTAAATGTTGGTGCTTTTCCGCCAACAATGCAGCAGCAATCACAAGCAACGTCGCAAACCTTTTCAAATCAATATAGGTCACCTATTTTACCGCCTAATTTCCAAGAAACCCAGCAATATCAATCTCAGCCACAGAATCCAAATCAACCTCCAGTTTTGCCACCGAATTCATCTGGTAGTCAACCGTATTCGTCACACAATTCATTAATGCATCCACTATCGCATCCCCCATCATCAATAAATCAAGAACAGTTTCTTTCTCAATCACCTCAAATGATACCAAATGGAACTAGTATGATGTGTAGAGTTTCACTTTCATATGTACAGGTATTCATGTATTTCAGATCAACCAGGGGCGCAACATCCATATATTAATTCTGGTTTACAACTATCATCTACATCGATGCAACCAGAATATGATACATCTAACCAATCACGTCCTCCAACAACAATAGCTAATCCTCAGTTTCAAAATGCTCCACCTCATCCTCTTAACACTACATCATCAAATATGAATGATACACCCTCATTTAAACCAGGTCAATATCATAATGTTCAACCAGTATATAATGGATCGTCTTCTTCGTATCCACCAAATAATCAAGCACCAGTTCCACCAGTAGGCCATACGTCTCAATTTAATTATCCTCATATATCTGGTCCATCATCTATGCCCAGTAATCTAGTAGCTGGAGCTAATACATATCCTGGTCAGCCTCCACTAGGTGGACCTAATGCATATCCTGGTCAACCTCCATCTAGTGGATCAAACGCATATCCTGGGCAACCTCCATCAAGTGGACCAAACGTATATCCTGGTCAGCCTTCATTGAGTGGACCTAATAAATATCCTGGTCAACCGCCATCGAGTGGACCTAATGCATATCCTGGCCAACCTCCATCAAGTGGACCAAACGCATATCCTGGTCAACCTTCATTGAGTGGACCTAATACGTATCCTGGTCAGCCTTCATTAGGTGGACCAGCACAACAACCAATGACGCAAACACGTATCGATCCAAATATTGTGCCAAATGTTGTACGTATATTTATCATTGAAATAAAGAAAAGTGCTATCTTATTCCTAATAATATTAATTTAGATTCAAGTATTGGAACAAAGTCAAGAAAAAATCCAAGAACCATTTATAACAAATGCTCCAGGTTTATTACCACCGTTGGCTGCAACGAATTTTACTTGTCAAGATCAAGGTAGTTGCAATCCACGCTTCATGCGTTCAACTACATATTCAATACCAAATACAGCCGATATAGTTAAACAATCTCATATACCTCTTGCTCTGTCTATTTCTCCATTAGCCCAAGTTCAATCAGACGAGGTAAATTTCTTATTAATTGTATTTTGGAAAAAAGCACAAGATTTTTCTTTTTAGCTTGAACCACCACTTGCTAGTTTCGGTGAAACAGGTCCAGTAAGATGTCACCGTTGTAAAGCGTACATGTGCTCATTTATGCAGTTTATCGATGGTGGAAAACGTTTTATTTGTTGCTATTGTGAAGCAGCAACAGATGGTTAGATTGCAACAACATATAACAAATATTGAACTTCATCGATATTAATGTTTTTCGTTTTTTGTTCTAGTACCAAATGAATATTTCAATCATCTTGATCACAGTGGTCGTCGTATGGATTGGTATCAACGACCTGAATTATGTATTGGTTCATATGAAATTTTAGCAACAAAACAATATTGTAAAGTATGTTGCCATATGTTTATTTTTCAAAAATTTATCTTGTCTTATTTTTAGGATGAAAAATGGCCTGAACCACCGGCATTTATATTTATGATTGATGTATCATACAATAGTGTTCGAAGTGGTCTTGTTGAATATATTTGTCATATACTAAAAAATGATCTCCTTGATTATTTACCAAAGTTTGTTAATTATTTTATACTTGGTTTTTTAATAATCTTAATTATTTCTTACATGTATATCTAGAGATGGAAACGCTGAAACATCCACAGTACGAGTTGGTTTTGCAACATTTGATAAACAAATACATTTTTACAATATTAAAGTAAGTTATTTCATTACTGTTTTTCACTTTAATTGTTAGTCTCACAATTGATTTTATCTTCTAGGGGGCAAGTAAATTTTCTCGAAAGAGAGAGAGAGAGAGGGAGAGAGGGAGAGAGTAGATGGTTGTTGTTATTGTTGTGTACTTAATGTATTCATTTTGTCTAATACCCTAACATATAATATCGTACATATCTAAGCATGTTTTCTGTCTAAGTCTATAATTTATATATTAACTATTCTTACAGAAAGAAAGAAATCTTCAACAATTATGTTATGATTGATTTATTTCTTTATTTATTAGAGTACACTTGGACAACCACAAATGATGATTGTCTCCGATATAGAAGATATATTTGTACCATTGCTCGATGGTTTTCTTTGTTTACCACAAACTTCACGAGGAGTAATAAATAGGTAACTGAATAAAAACTGAAAAGAAAATTCAACATATTTCCCTTTCTCTTTTCTATTTAGTTTACTTGATCAAATTCCGCAAACATTTGCAAATACACAAGAAACAGAAACTATTTTAGCGCCAGTTATTCAATCTGGCATTCAAGCATTAAAAGTAAGACTTGATCAGAAGCTTTTAAAATGAATTATTAATGAACATCAAACAAGTTATTATAAGTTTTTGCTCAAGTAGTAGACTAATCTATCTGTATTCATTACAATGAAAACATTCAAAATGATATCTATTGTTGGAGTCTGTCTAGACATGCACACGAACAAAAAAACAGCAAATAAACTTGTAGCATGAAATTTTCGCGTCAATAGCTTGACTGATTCATAGAATATCTAACAAAAAATCAAGAGAAAGACATTTTGTTGAGTAAAATTCTAAGAATGTTTTTTCCGATCATTAAATCTATCTGGGCACAAGAGTTTGATGTCAAAAACTCTATTTCAAAGATTCATGAACAAAAGTCTCTTTTTGCAATTTTTACTTAGTCTCAATGATCCCATCACTAATGATGATGATAGATTCTAGTTTCATGTTTTTCTATAAGATAATTAACCAATGCAATCGAAATTTATGTAAGCGTTCGTGTAATTTTTTGAATATCATCTACAGTTTAAAAAATCAAATAATTATAATTCAAATTAAGGCATAGTCAAGTTTTAAGCTCTCGATCTTTTTCAAAACTTTTCAAAGTAACTAATAGTTATATTCATTCAAAAACGAAAACTTTATCCATAAGAAAATTTCATATACAATAGGGAGCCAATTGTTCTGGTAAAATTTATATATTTTCAACAACATTACCAATTGCTGTTGCTCCTGGAAAATTATCGAATCGTGAAGATAAAAAACTTCTTGGTACTGAAAAAGAAAAGGTTTGCTTGTTTTATTTCATCTTTGTTTTTAAATTCTATTGACGAACTATTTCTAGACTTTACTTTCACCAGCCAATGATGTTTATACAAAACTTGGTGAAGAATGTGCTCAAAGTGGTTGTGCTGTTGATTTATTTGTTTTTCCAAATAACTATGTTGATCTTGCTACAATTGGTGAAGTTTGTCGTTTGTCTGGTGGAGAAATTTATAAATTTAATTATTTTTCAGTAAGAATTTTCTTTATTGATTTCTGACACAAACTAGAATTTTCAATCGTTATTATTTCAGATTGATAATGATGGAGAACGTTTATTAGACGAACTTAAACGTAATTTTCAACGAACTACTGTTTTTGATGCATTAATGCGTATAAGAACAAATACAGGTATAAAAAAAACCGGAATCTTTACTTTTTTCGTTAATAAGCAGCTCGTTTTTTTTTGTACGATCAGGAATTCGACCAGTTGATTTTCTTGGTCATTTTTATATGACAAATTCAACTGAAATGATATTTGGTACGATGGATGCTGATAAAACAGTAGCTGTGGAATTAAAACATGATGATAAATTACCTACTGAAGGTAACTCTTATATTCAAGTGAGTTAACATTTTCTTTTGTTCTTTTAAATTTATGTATTCTGGTTTCTCTTTCAAATAGGTTGCTTTACTTTATACTAGTATATCTGGTCAACGTCGTCTAAGAATATTAACATTAGCCTTAACGGTAACATCATCATATGCATCTCTTTATCCATTGTGTGATCTTGATACAATTATGAATTATACAATGAAAGTTGGTAAGTATAAATAGATATGAAATATGTTGTTCTTAAATTTCTTTGCAACAAAAAAATACATTATTATAGCTATTCGTTCAATTTTACTATCAACTCCAAAAAGTATACGAGACAGTATCATAACACAAGCTGCTAATATGTTAGCTTGTTATCGAAAGCATTGTGCACAATCAACAGCAGCTGGACAATTAATTTTACCTGAAACATTAAAACTATTACCTATGTATGCGGCAGCATTACTTAAATCTGATCTTTTAACTGGCAGTATGTTAATAGTTGTTTACATCTACTTATTAGTAATAGTTTGATTTGCATTTAGCTCAAACAGTAACAACAGATGATCGAAGTTGGTTGATGCATCGATTGATGTCTATGAATATCAAAGGATCGTCTGCATACTTATATCCAAGAATTTATCCATTGGTTCGTAGATGATTAACGAAAGGAAATCTTTTTTTAATCATTGATTTCTTTTTGTTTAGCATACTTTGGAAGAAAATCAAATTCCACCACCAATGGTTCGATGTTTATATGAACGATTTTCTGATTCCGGAGCTTATGTTATTGGTAAGAAAATAAGTCTTATTTGTCGAGCAGAGAAATCGTTCAGTTTTCTGATAGTAAATAAATATTTAATTTGATTTATGGTCATTGATATAGACTGTTTAAAAATTCGAAATTGACTGAGACTTATTAATAGTGAATATAGAAAGTGCACAGTCATAAATAGACATGAGTTTATCTTATTCTCATCGAATTATGTTTTTTTAATAACACAATCTATAATTACAGAGAATGGTCTTGTAATGTATATCTGGCTTGGTAGTCAAATTGATCCTACATTTGTGCAAAATTTATTTGGATTTCAAACAGCAGCAAATATTCAACCAGAACGAGTAAAATAACCGATTCGATTGTTCTATCATTATGTTAACTTCGTATATAAATTTAGTGTCGTATTATTGAACTTGATAATTCATTATCGAAGAATGTTCGAACCTTATTAAATTTAACGCGTGATGAACGAAATTCTTATATGAAAGTATGTTACTTCAACTGAAACTGAAATTGTTATTTTTGTTTTTCATTAATTGTTATTTTTTTCAGCTATTCATCATTCGACAACGCGACGCTATGGAACCATTTTTCAAAAATTATCTTGTTGAAGATAAAGGCTTTACAGGTGGCGCATCTTATGTCGATTTTCTATATCACCTACATCGTGAAATTCGCAATATTCTACAATAAAAAATAGAAACATTGTTTTTACTTGTTTTGTTCTTCTTTGATCATTGGGTCTAGAATATATATGAGCATTGCTTTTTATTGTTGTTGTTGTTGTTATTATTATTATTATGATTATTACTATTACTATTATTATTTTTTTCGATTGCATCTGTTGTATAATCTGTCGAATGAATAAGATTTGTAAGGCGAATAACGAGCATTCGTACTCATGTTCTTATTTTTGTCTTCGTTTTAACCCGTCTATCTTTTATCTTATTTATTTATCTAAATAAAAAAAAGTAGAAAACATAAAATATCTAATTATGCAGCTGATCATTTATTTATTTTTCGAACTTGCAATCTCAAATCAGTTTAGATACTGTATCATATTCAAATAAATACTACATATGAACTCATCTATTTTCTGTAGAGGAACAAGTTGTCAACAAAAACGAACTGAAGATTTTTATTCTAAGTATTTTCGTCCTTGGTTTGATACCTCAGCTGAAAATATTTACTGTTGTGACAAGACTTCTCTGTTCAATGGGAAATCAATTGCTAATAATTAAAATGATTTTTATGTTTTCAAATTGAAGTTCCGTCGTTATATAATTCATCTATACAAAGAAATGGTTATACAATCCTATGTTTCAGGATTCTAATATTTCAATAGTTGTTGTTGCTGAAGCAGATTTTTTGATAAATATAAATTTTAGTACTTTTGTATATTCATCATTCTCCCCGTTAGTTACCTACATCACATGCCTTTTTTCACATGTATTGAATAGTAAGTATTTGTCATATCGATTGGGAAAGCAATATTCTATATGCATTTATTTTCTTAACAAAAAAAAGCTATATCAAACATTGAATTAATCTGTAGTCATATAATTCCGGTCATTGTTTTAACTAGTATCAATTCATGTTTATGATAATAAATAAAATATTTTACAAGTAATCATGGATGTAACAATTCTTTTTCCTTTTCTTTAGAACATTACTGGGGTGGTTATGAGTAATGCTTTGTTTAAAAATTCAACATGGGTCAATACATACCACGTGTTTTTCACGGCCATCAAAATATAATTGCACTTCTTTATTAACTATGTTGCATTGAATGAAATCATTTATTCATAGACATATTACTCATTCTATCAATAGCAATATATCGAATAATTAAGAAAACTACTGAACTAAATGTTTACAAATATACATAAAAAAAACACTTTCAATAATATAAAATTGGAATGTCAAATGAAATATAAAAAACAAACGTAAAACAAATACCTAAACACAAAAAAATTGTATTAATATAAAGAAAAGTACAAAAATCGCTGAGACATATAAGCGAGATGTTCCATTGCATCCATCATATGAACATGTGTATGTGCACGAATAATACATCTTCTCGTCCTGAGGATATTTTACTTCGAGACATTGATTATCCATATCACGAGAACTACAAAAGCGTTTTGTAGCCACAGCACCTAAAAGAAAACCAATAACAGCAACATTCGTATTGATCAATAAAAGGTTCTGATATAGTCATAATTAAATTCCACAGAAGATAATTACAGAAAGCACAAAATATTATTATTTATTGTTCTGATATACAGAATCTAGTAAACAAGTAACATATACGTATGTTTCTCAAACATAATAAAATGCGATGAATTCTCATCTTACGAACAAGCTGTACGATAAAATTTATTATCGTTATCTAAAATCGCAGTCGCACAGACACATTGAAAGCAAATCAGCAAGCAGGAACATATACTAAGGAAATATTAAAATATTTCAAATTCTATTTTATTATTTTTGCAAATGACAAACTCAAAATATAGCGATAGATTCATGATTCTTACTTCGTTGACAGTTATTTATACCATTCATCCTAAAGACAATCCTCAGTTGTTTCTTTTTTTTTAAATACTTAGCAGTCATGAAATTCTACGAATATTTATCTATTTTTGATCAAGAAAAATTATCTCATTTATTTATAAAACTTGAAGATATTTTAGATAAAGTAACGAATGCCGAATTTGAACATTGTTATATATCCAAGAAGTAAAAGCTATATTCAAATAGTCTAGAATATCAAAAATTTGTTCTTTTTCTCCTATTGGATATATGATGGTTTTGAAAATTCTGCTCAGTAGTATACTTAAGTGAAGTTAATGTATAATAATTGCATCAATGAGTTTCTTTCCTTGTAGTCTATCTATCAGCAATATCTACTGCAAATGCAAAAAGCAACTGAAAGACAATTATGAAACAATATACAGAAAATAGTACAAAAGTGCTTCCCCATCATCCGTACATATTTTTACGATGACAGATCCCAAAATATCAAGTTTTTCAATTAATATCAGGTAAATTGGTTTACAGGAAAATCTAGAACATAACCATCTGTCTTTTGATCCTTTGATAAATTTTAATTAGGAAAGAAAAAAAAACTAAATTTACCTATTTTTTGTAAGAAAAATAAACAAATAGATAAAGCTAACCTCCGTAAACAGCAATTGTTTTAATACAAAACCGAGCATCATGAACTCCATCAGGTCCACCACATTCGACCGGCAGTATATCTTTTCGTGTCCATGTTTCTGGACAATGTTCATCTTCTTTCGAATCACACACAAAACAATTTAATGCATTTGAAACTATCATTAAATATATAAAAATATTCTTCAAAATATATTCGTTTAAAATCTTTCCTACCATGAATAAATATTCCAAAAATTAACATCAGACAAAGCAAATATTTCATCATCATATCTACAAAAATTTCATTGTAGAAAAATAGTCATTTTAGTAAAAGACAGAAGAAGGTAAAATACAAAGTTCGTTTTTATTTTTCTGCACGTATATATGTAACAAAAAGACAAAAGAAATCAAATGTTAATTTAAAGAAATTGTGAACAAAATGCATCAATCGATTCAGCACATTGTTTCGCTTGATGACGATTAGCGCCAGCATTGTCTCGTATCCAAAGTTCAAAATATTCCTTATTCTTTAATAATGTCAAATAAATACCCAATAATTCATAAGCCTGAAACAAACAAATAATCGACAAGAAAAAAAGAATTATGGAATCTACCTTTGTAATGCCAGATTGTTCTAAATTACTTGCTAACTTAGAACCAAGACCAGGAACTTCATTTAACTCTTTATCTTTTAATGGTTCACTTGTAAAATCACGAAATTTTTGCGATGTTGTCGATGACATGATTTAATAATCTAGAAATAAAGAGCATCATGATTTTTATTGAACAGAATAAAAAACAGCAACATAGTATTCTTTCTTATAAAATATACAGAAAAAAAAAATCTTTTAAATAAACGCTTCAGCCCATTCGGCAAATGCAGTTGCTGTTGTTTTAGCTTGATGACTATTTGCGCCACATTGTGTTTGCATCCAATCTTGAAATTGTTCAGCATCTTTGTTACACAACAAATATTTGCCAAATAAAGTGTATGCCTAAAAACGAAAAAAAAGTTTCCCTTCATATTTTTAATAAAAAACAAACAAACTTTTTCATAACCAGCTTCAGATAATTTTGTACCCAAAACATCACCTATACCAGGAACATCTTGAACACTTTTATCACCAAGTGGTTCAGCCATAAATTCACGAAATTTTTTTGTTGTTGAACTCATCGTTAAGAAATTACTAGTATCAATGAATCAGCGTATGTAAAATATGATCTTTCTTTTTTTGTCTGTGTCTGTCAACCACATTCTTGGTGGTGACTCATCAAAGTTATTTTTCATTGGTTAAAATGTTATTTGAATGATTGCGATACAATAGAAATATATGAATGTCTCTTGTTTCTGACCTTAAATCGAAGGATGAATCATTTCTAAGGAACAAAGAATCGTTAACATAACAAAACAGTATTATATTTAAAAAAAAAAGAAAAGTAATTTAAAAAAACTACTTGCTACGACGGTTCTATAATTAGCGAGTTTTTATTTTTATATATAAATATGAATGAAAGTAGACAGTAAATACTTCTACTAAAATTAACCAATGTATTCGATTTAAGATTATTACTTTCTTGTTAAATACATGAAATGAAATCCTTTTTTAATCTGAATAAATAGACGTCAGACGAATTTTCACAATTGAGTGTTTATGCGAGAAGTAGATTGAGATAAAAATAAAATAATATATATTTTTCTTTTACATTTTTTCAGATTTATTCATTATTTGTAACCTACGGATGTATTCTTAATGGCAGCTGGACAAGCTTCAAACTTTCTAGTTGACAATGTAAATAAAATTTTATCAGTTTATGTACCAAGTTATGGCCGTCAAGGTGTAAGTAAATTGTTGACGTCTATGGGTGTTAAATCATATGGAACAATTACATGTATGAAAGATATTAACCTAAAAAGAACGGTAATTAATATATATATATATTTCTTTTATGTTTTAAAGTTCCTGATAATAAATCGCATCAAGCAGAATTTATTCGTATTCCTGCAGATGCATCTGTTATGGATGTTAAAAAGTTCTTGAATCAAGATTGGTACAGTGAAGTATGTTATTCAAATTTTTTCTATTTTTCGAAAAGAAAATTGTTTGTTTTGTTTTTATTCGTATTTAGCGTCCATCACTTGTCATATCGATAACTGGCGGTGCAAAAGAATATAAAATGCAACATAAAGTATTAAGAGCATTTCGACGTGGTCTTCTTAAAGTTGCTCGAACAACCGGTATTGAAAAGTTGAATGATTTTATTTAGCAAAATCTAGAATATCTCAAGAGAGTTATTTTGGAAACTTTCCTGAATAATAATAAAGCATTGAGCATGTTTATCATATCAATGCGTGATAGTAAAAACATTTGATTAAAAATTATTTATGATCAAAAATAAAGTGAACAATGAAAAATTTTATCATTGGTCGTGTTGAAAGCGTTTACTTTAGTATAAAACAGAGCTATGCAAAAGAAAAATCTATCTATAAACTAAGTTTCTATAGGATTTTTCATACTGATGAAACATGATGATATCATTTTGAAAATACAAATGATTTTAAAAAGTTTAAATTACTAATTTATCGAGCGTCAATATCAATTCATTTTCCTTTCCTTTTCAATATTAATTGATAATATCTTTCACAGGTAAAGAGATATGGCAAATCTGATTGAAAAGAGATAAATAATGAAACCCAAGTATTTTGCTATGATATTTGAGTACTAATTAATAATACTGTTTGTCATGTCTCTTGAAATAATCGATTGATATCACTGAGAGACTACTTTCTTCTATTATTTTATTTTATTAGGTGCATGGATTATTACTGGTGGCATGAATACCGGTATTATGAAGCTTGTCGGTGAGATTGTTCAGATAAATCCTGATCGTTCTCGGCCTATTCCTTTGATTGTAAGTTTCATAGTTTAACTTATTTTTAAATTATAAAATAATAATAGGGCATTGGAACATGGGGCTGTGTATCTGGTTTTAAAGATCTTGAAGTAGAAGGTGGAAATGTAAATTATGCTAAAGCGCGTAGTGATCGGAAAGGTGAAGCACCCCTAGAACCAAATCATACGAAATTCATTTTTGTTGATAATGGACTTGAAAGAACATATGGTGGAGAAATTGCATTTCGTGCTAAACTAGAACAAGCTATATCTGGTGGATTTTTCTCATCAAAAACTTTATCAAATACGTATTCTACTGGTCCAAGTCTATCCGCAACTTCATCTTTACGGCCAGATAATTCAGGTTTATATATAAATAAGCTATTGTTTGCGAATGATCATTTTCTCGTTCTATACAGGTCCAGTACCTGTTGTTCTTCTTGTTATTGAAGGTGGCCCAAATACAGTTCGAACCGGTAGAAAATATTATCTATTGAAAAACTAAAATTAACATATTTCAATTATCTATAGTTAAAGAAGCGGTTGTTGGAAATAATATACCTGCTGTTTTACTCGAAGGAACAGGTCGCTGTTGTGATCTGTTTGCTAAAGCATGTCAACTCTATGATAAATATTGTCGAAATCTTGCACGTGATGAAATAACAGCTAGGCAAGTATTAAAAAACTGTTCATTCATTCTGGTTTTTTTTTGAAGAGATCAGAATCTTGTAGAGTAGCTTGATCCTACTGGAGAGGACAAGATTTGCTCAAAAGCATGTTTAAAATCGGCCCTTAAATTAAAATGAATTTAACTTTTTCGTTAAATTACTTAGTCTATAGGAAAAATAGTTCTTGAAAACTGTACAAACTTCGGTTACAAATGAATAATTTTTTTAGTCTATAAAATCAATAGCGCATAGTACGATTTAGGAAATGAAACTGTCGTACTCAATTATACGAACAAGAATAAAATAGAAGATAGCGTTCTACAAATAGTAAATTAAGAATATTACAGTGAATTTTGATTGAAAACTAACTTGATTTGATGTTTAGCTTGGATCAAAATATTTTACAAAAACGTCAAGAAGAAATAAAAATTCATCTTCGTGAAGATCTTAAAGATGAACTTCGAAAGATTACTGGTTTAAATGATTCATCAACCAATGTAGAAATTCATGCTCGTGCAGATGAAATAGCGGAGTATTACGAATTAGTTTATGCATGTATTTCTACTCGAAGAAATTTCTTAAATATAATCAGTCTTAATTCACGGAATCCTGTTGAACCTGATATTGATTTAGTTATATTGCAAGCACTATTAAATGGTACGGATAAAGAAAATTTTATTTATTTATTTATTTATTTATTTATTATTTCTAAAAGATATTTCTTCATTTAGCTACATCTGGCAGCGATATGTCTAAACCAAATGTGCAACGAAAACGTGAACAACTTCATTTAGCGTTAGAATGGAATCGTGTTGATATAGCTAAAAAATATATTATGAAAAATGAAACAGATTGGGTAGGAAGAAAATTCTTGTCTATGTTCTTTAGAAATTTGTTTTTCTGCTATTAAAAATTTTAGAATATTGATTTAAATGATTTATTTCTAACAGCACTTAAAAATAATCAAACGGAATTCGTAAAATTATTTCTTGATCATGATTTTTCTTTAACGGATTTGTTTCGTGATACTGCTCAACTTCTTGCACTCTATCCAACTGAACTTGTAGAAGTATATCCTTCGAAACTTAATTACAGATCGTTTACATATTTACTATATTTTGAAATATAGATTCATGGACCAGCAAAATCTCAAGATCCATTACGAATCATATATGAAAATATTATTCAACCATTTGTAGGAGATCTTTTTGACGTTGATGCTGCGCTTCAATCAAAAAATTTAACATCTAATAGTGAATTAAATGATGAAAATGAAGATGAAATAAGTAGTTGTTGTGGGATGCGGCGTTATCGAATGCCTGCTGGAAATAGAAACGGCGGTGGCATTACGCAAGCATGTGGTAAGCGTTTATCCATATGGGTTAAATACTATAATTTCGAAAATTTTATGAAAGATAATTTTTTATTTTTCTCAGTAAATTGTGAAGTTCAAAATTGATGAAATAATGTAGGAAAAGTATTCACTATGCATGTTGAAATTAAACTTTTGTTGCATGGATTTAATTGCATTTAGGTCTTTCGTTTTGCTTGAGATAAGAATGAACTGAGAAAGATTAATGTTGAATCCATTTTAAATACGATAAACTAAATAAATTCGGTTATTTCGTAAAAACGTATTGATAATATTACTTACACATATAGACGAAATCGAATAGAAGCAAAAATAAAACTTGATTCTATTCAAAAACTAGAAAAGCTGAGTTACAGATGATTCATCGTAGATATGCGAATATGGATAACGATGGAAGTGCAAATCTTTTGCATAAACTCATAAAAACTGTTACCCATGCAACAACTACACTAAAACTAAGATTATCATTGACACATCCTGTTAGACGTTATTCGTGACGAATCGTCTAGGTACTTAGATTTGAGTTGTATTAAAAAACACACATAGTTGCTCACAAGCATCTAGCTGATTCGTGCTTTTTAAAGCAAATTGATTTTGAGTATGATTTAAATGATAGTTTGTTTTCTGTGTTTGTGATTTCTATGTATTGCCTTTCGTATTTTAATTAATCGAAAATGTTTATTCTATTTTAAAGGGCCAATAAATAGTTCTATCAATTATTTGGATGTTGATCGAGAACTTTTTCTCTGGTCGGTAATGACAAGTTCACAAGATTTAGCATTATTATTTTGGTCTCGAGGCAAGAATAAAGTTTGTAAGTGAAAATTTTTCTCTTTAATCTTATATAAAGAATAGAAAAATGAATACTTATTTTGTTAGGTGCTGCATTAATTGCCACATTATTATATAAAAAACGTGTTAATCGAGAAGGTGATAATATTTATAATCAGTGGGCGGATGACTTTGAAGGTTTGGCCGTAAAAATACTTGATCAGCTTTATCAAGTAAATCCTGCAGCATGTGCAAAAGCAATTATACGACAAATTCCAACTTATGGCAATGCTAATTGGTTAGAATTAGCTATTGCTGCTGATGCTAAAAAGTTTATTGCTCAACGAGCTGTACAAGATTTACTGAATGATATTTGGTTTGTTAACGAAGAACAAAAGACAGTAGAAAAAATCTAAGAAGTTTCTATTTTTTTATATAGGTTTGGATATATTGATCAACGAGTAGCTAATATGAGCATCATATTTTGCACATTTTTACCTTGTTTCAGTGGTTTTCTTACTTATCATGATGAATTAGTTACAGCAAATGAAAGAAAAGGAATGCTTGATGTATGTATGATAGGTTATCTGAAGATACATATTTATGATAGATAATGATTTTTTCTCTTTTAATTCTAGGATTCAATCGATAAACCGCAAGCTCTTCAACGGCAAGCATCAAGACAAAAAAGGATGGCAGATAGGTAATGAAAATTAGAACTTTTTCAAGATAGTTTTTTCTTGCGAGATATTGACCCGTGTTACATTTCGAATTAATTTGATCATCTAGATTTGTTCACACGAAGGACGACTATATATACATATACTAATTGTATGAGTCATGATATTATTTGATTTTTTGAAATATTTGATTTAACGCTGGATTTTGGATATTTATTTTCAAATTCATCATATCCAGTTGTTATTCTTGTTATTCTAGACCCGGAGAAACATTTCACATGAAGTTATTGTCAGGTGTACACGACGTAGATAATAGTCCTGTTGAATTCGTCGCTGTTGGCTGTTTTGACAAGTAAAAAAGGATAATATGTTGATTTAAAAACTAATGCTACTAGCTACTTATACTTGCTATGATTTATTTTATTAATTAACACTAATTCGCTTATACTTTAATCTCCAATATATACTAAGATCAAATAAACGAGAACTCTTTATGTTTCTAGGACAACAGCTAAAGTGTATCGATATTTTTCGAATTGTATGGTTTTTTTACATGCTCCATATGTTAAATATCTTTATAACTTAGTGAGTATTGAACTAAATAAAATTCTTATCTTTTGTTTTTCTTTCTTTTTTTAAATAATTAGTACTTCCATATGATATTTTTACTACTGTTTTCCTATGTAATGTTGTTCGATTTTTTCCCACTGTATGATTATCCAGTGGATGTATGTGCACCATCTGGCATATCAATAAGTCGCACAGAGCATATAGCTGACAATAATAATAATAATGGACCGATCAAAAATTATCCACTCATAGAAAATCAATCTAATGTTACAAAATCAATCTCACATGGATTGCAACGACATAGTCGACCGTCGGTTTTTGAATTTCTACTTCTTGTGTGGGTTTTTACATTAGTTTGCGAAGAAATTCGACAGGTACTTTGTTAGAATATCTACAATCTGTTGTCTTAATATTTCAATTTACTGTTCATATTATTATAGCTATTTTCCATAGAAGCACAATCCATGCGAAATGTTATTAGAGCTTATTTTAAAATATTTTGGAATAAATTAGATGTATTAGCCATAGTTTTATTTTTCGTGGGCTTTGCACTTCGATTTTTTTCAACATCGGAATGTTATTGTGCAGCACGCATTGTCTTATCATTTGATTTAGCAATTTGGTTCATACGTTCATTGGATATGTTTACTGCTGTAAAACGTCTTGGACCTAAACTTGTTATGATTGGTGAAATGGTGAGTAATTTCATTGATATTTTGTTTTCTAATCCTATTTTGTTTTGTAAAATAATATATATTGTAAGGTTAACGATTTATGGTTTTTCATGTTGATGCTAACTGTATTTATTTTGGCATTTGGTGTATCATTTTATGGTTTAGTTCATGGTGTACAAGAATTTTCTTGGCATATACCACGTGAAATTCTAAATCTTGCTTTTTGGCAAATATTTGGAGAATTGAATGCCTTAGAAATATTTGAAAGTATGTCAATTAAAAAACAGCAAAAGAAAAATCTATAATAATTTTATATTGGCATATTTCTTTTATTTCTGTCTATTAAGATAACTATAGACCAAATGGCTATGCTGCATTTGTTTTTTTGATTGCTTACATGGCCATTGTCAGTATACTCTTGGTCAATCTACTCATTGCTATGTTCAGGTAATTATAACCGAGGAGAAAGTGATATAAATTCGAGTGAATATAATAGTAATTAGCTGATAAAATTGATGTACATTTCTTGTCAGAATTCATTGCGACACAGTAAAGCTACTTTCAGTGAGATAAGTTGTTTAGTTTTTCTATGAAAGATTGATGCATAATGACAATGAACAGTCGTGTATTTATCTTTGTTCTTGATTGTCATTGAAAAATAATTATTGTCTAAAAGATCAATATCTCTCACTGATCGGTTTTTTAATATTGTATGAAACTCCTGTCATCTGTTTATCTACACAATAATATTTAACTTAAAGTGTTTATTTTATTTTAAATTAGTAACACTTTTGATCGCCTTCAAAGCGATACAGATCGTATCTGGAAATTTCAAAGATATTCATTAGTACGTGAATATTTGTCACGTCCAGCATTGCCACCACCTTTCATCTTCTTTCCTCATGTTTGGCGTTTGATCTTACACCTATCCGTGTGCTGTTGCAAATCACAATGCATACAAAATAAATACTCGGCGCATGCGAATCGAATCGAATACAGTAAATACATTCGTTTGTTTTTGTTTCGTTAAATAAATTATTTGACCTTTTATTTTAGAAACTAAACTTAATATAAAAAGTTCAACAAATATTGAAATAGCTGAAGATGCTCTTGGTGATGAAGTTTATTACAACTACTTGAAAGTAGGAGGAAAATTAGACGATGAAACATATCTCGATGAAGAACGAGTGTAAGTATTAAGCGCTGAAATTCACTATTACTAATATTATTATTGTCGTCGTTAAAAATATGTGTAGCCAACTTTTTTTCCCCAAAATTCGCAGTATTTAACTCAAATATAAACAGTTTAGTCATTTACGTAGTCAACCTATATCAACTATATTTCATACTGAAGTTTCGTAGAGGGGGCTATGAGAGAAAAGTTCTTCCAAATCAAACACGATAGTTCAGGAATCTTAGAAGTCTTTAGACAGGACTTTTTGAGGGCTCTATATACTGAAGAGCACAAATTTTTGTGAACTTCATTGCAATATATTTGGCTATAAGAATAAGTTTGAAACATATGATTTCTAGCAATGGTTCTAATTTTTCTGAGAGTAGTCGTAGCAACATTTTGTAGAAAAGTTTCTTGGCTGATTAAACCACTATTTAGATTTATGCTTAAACTGTTAATATCGCATAGGAATCAAAAATTTTATTTTTTTATATTTTCAGGCAATCACCACAAGAAAATGTATTCAATAGAATACGAACAATTGAAAAGCGTGTAGAAGCGATGAGTAGTCAAGTAATTATTATACTATGTAAATTTCTTTATTTTTACATTGATTTCATTTTTTTATTTCTGTTTAGCAAGATCAGATGTGTGTTTATCTTGATCATTTGATGGAAGGTTTGAAAGTCATAGGCGGCGAACGTATCAAAATGCCCGAACGACGTCGTCTAGATCCTGAAGAATCATGTATGTTTATAGTTTTTGTTTTATCATTGACTTCTCTATGAAAAAATAATAATAACGAAACACTCAAACAAAGAAAATAGCATTTATTTTTGTGTTACAATAGTTGATGAAGCCAGCAATCCTATTGAACAAACAAAACGACAATATCTAGGAGATATATTATCCGAACAGCGTCGTTCTCAGGGCAGTTCTAATGCTGATGAGCAGCCATCTACAATATTTAACTTTTTTCCTACATATAGAAACGTAATTAAATGCTATAGACGCCTAGATATTTAAACTATATTCTAATTTATCTAATAAATGCTTGAAATCATTTCCTACCATTCATCGGCTGATGAAAGAATGATTGCTATTTAATTTACAATTATAAATTTTTGAAAAATATGAATCAGCTAAATTGTTTCCTCTTCTTTTTTCAAAGTGATCAATACACAGGTAGACGATGAACTATTATTCGATGCATACCATCATCCTGGCTTTTACACAATCTAATCCAATGCACGTTTTACTAACTGCTTACTATTGACAAATTGTTTCGACTGATTGATGTATTACCGTTTGACTTTTTTTCTTGATTTCTGTATGGATTAACGACGTAGAATTCAAAGGATAATTTCACAAAAAAATCAATTACTATCAATATCTTTTTCTTTCTTATGTATAGACACTAACTAGACATCATACACAACTGTCGAGCGGTGTTTGAATGCATTATATATAGACACTCTTGTACCACCATATGAGCTAGCTTTTCATATATTTTTGTGTATCATTATTTGAGAACGAATTATATGTACCTATATATTTTTGTTTTCTTTATTATACTCACGAATGAATATGAGACCTTATCACATTGCTTGTCTGCTGCCTTATCTATCATAGTTTTTTTTTTGTAAAAATTTCTACAAATCTTCTTTATGTTAAAATTTTCTTGTAGAATAAAATATATTCTTCCTTGCATAAAAATGATTCATTCCGTATTTATTATCTTTTCTCGATTTGTAGATGTCAGAAAATAGTCCAACTTCAATACATGCAACTAATGTTAATAACAACAATAATAGCAATCCAACATCAGATACAGGAACATCGTCTGTCCCATTTACACTCAAACGTTGGAATCTTGTTGGTAAATAAATAAGTTTAAAATTTTTTTCCATTGTTAAAAATAAACAAAAATTCACATTAGGTATTTGGAGTTGGGATGTAGCTCATGATGTATGTGCTATATGTCGAACGGCTTTATCTGAATCGTGTCTACGTTGTCAAGCTGCAAGTAATCTTCAAGAATGTATTATTGTTTGGGGTACATGCAATCATTCCTTTCACAATTGTTGTATGAGTCAGTGGGTGAAGCAAAGAGCACAGTGTCCACTATGTCAAACAGATTGGGTGATTAATCGAATAGGACAATAATTATTTTATAAAACAAATTATATGTATTAATGGCTTCGTTTTTTCTTTCTTTTTGTTTTCTACATTTAAAAAAAGATAAATAAAAGAATGAATGACTATTAAAAATATGTATCAAGAACGTCAATAACCGAATAATTATTATTAATAAGTAATATTTTTTTCCATTTATCAAATGTTAAACACGGATGTGATATATCAAATACAAGGATATCACCAACAATAAGATTGTGATCAGATGGACAAGTCATAATTGCATGCTGATCCATCATAAGTATTATTTTATAGTTATTATGATCTATTTCGATAGGTTTAGACCATTCGGAACGATAATGAAGAACAGGTAGAGGAAAGCCAGCATCAAATGCTACATCACGTTTACCCAAACCAATAATGGCACGATTTGTTTCAGGTATTGATTGAACATAAGCCCATATTTGAAGAGCAGGCCGTAGTGTATTATCTTTACTAATTTCTTGAACGATTGCATTCTGTTCAAGCATACGTTTTTGTGCAAGTTGATAAACACCACGATCATGTGTTATGTAACATCCGGATCTAAGAATAATATCGGCTGTAGTACCCATTTTAGAAAATTCTTCTGCAACAATATCATACCAAGCCGAACCAGCACCTGATAATATCGGTGGCGAACGAGCAAGTTGATTTGAATTTATTAGACGTTGTAAACTAGCAACCGTTCGTTGGAGCATGACTCGAATAGGTTCTTCTTCGTGTAGTACACCTTCAAATAATTCAACACCAACAAGAGCTAAAGAATCTTTATATTGTGTAAGAGTATTTAAAATAATTGTTTCCTCTTCTTCTGTTCGTACTCCTGTTCGACCATTGCGAACGCCGATTTCTAGAAGAACTTGTAATTTTGTTTGTTTGTTATTATTAAAAAATTCTCCAAGTTGTTCAACATTAGTCGACGAATCAATTAAACAATAAAAATCAAAATCAGGATCGTCGCCAAGTAATTTTTTGATTATAGCCATATTTGTTTTACCAACCAATTGATTTGCCATTAATATGCGTCGTATACCGGCTGAATAAGCTATTTGAACTTGTTGTACAGTAGCTAATGTTATTGCCCAAGAACCGTAACTAAGCTGTTGATGAAAAAGTTTTGGACACATGGTTGTTTTACCATGTGGTGCTAATTTAACATTGTACTTTTTAATAAACTCTTGCATCCAACGAAGATTATGTTCAACATTTTCAGAAGATAAACACGCCGCTGGTAGACTAATATCTTCTCGTAATAAATTCCATTCATGATAATTATCACCTATACCTAATCCTTTATCATGAGATACAAATTCTTGTTCGTGCATGATGAATATGAAATTTAAATGAAAACACAATTGTTTTGTTTTCGATTTGTTGTTTTGTCATGTAAGAATGAAGTTGCATGTCATCTGTTGAAAGATACGACTCAACTATGTAAATAATGAATAGGCAATTTTTCTTTTACTATCTTATCGCGTGCAAAAACACTAGGTCTTCATTTTAACTGCCTAGAATATAAGGATGTATTTTTAACAATTTTCTTTTACTGTAAAACCTCCATGTTTACTACAGAGAATTCATGTATAATTCATTTTAAAACGAAGAAAATATTTCAATATATATATATATACTTCAATATTATTACTGGATTAAGACTTGCTTAGTTATTCTTCTGTTCATTTATTTTGTGAAGCATAGTGTAGTAGTATATCGGATAGAAATACATTTTAATTTTGGTTAATTTTAAAATGATTTAAATATTCTGTATTATCTCTTATATTTTCGAATCAATTTACGCTGTAAAAACTCATCAGCATTATTACGATCATACATGAACTACATTTTTTTTATACAAAGCGCATCCCTACTGTAATATCATTCTTCACTTCACACAGGCAATAGTCGAATCGTACAAAAAAGTATACCTATTCGTAGTTTGTAAGAAGAAAAACAGAGCATAGCGAAATGTTAAAACACATATGCTCATGTTCGAAGAGCTGTAAAATATTAAAGGGGCCGGAAAAAAAACGTTCACTGTTCAGAATACGGACGTTTTTACATTAGAGAGAGGTATTTTCAGGAAAACAAATGCTCTTTTCTTTTATAATTAGGAGTTGTTTACTAGTTGAGCCTTAACCGTATATAATCATGAATATCAACATCAAATACATTCGACAAATACGCTTAGTTATCGAATATTCCTTGACGCAAAATGTTTTAATCTTTTGTTGTGCCTTTTCTTATATGTCTTCAATTATTTTCAACTGAGTTACATGTCAATAGACAGTTCTTTTTTCTTTTTTCGTTCTCCATTCTCTTTTGTTCTTGTGCAAAATGCAATCCAGATCGATAGTGATAAGAGCGCATTTTTATTACACTACAAAATATTATCAGCCGATGACGAAAAAGTAAAATGTTGAAGTTACATCGTTGTCTTTTTTCTCTACGTTCTGTGCATCAATTTTGCCGATCACAATCAACAAATGCTTACTCCTCCGAATGGGTTTTACCCTCGCTACAAAAAGATCTTGAAAAATTTTCTACCTTGAATCCACTACCAGCTGCAATCTCTTTAATTGGGGATCCTCATTTACGTCGAAGTAATGAATTAGTTCTTAATCTTCAAGATGGTTTTTTTCAAGCAGCTAAACTTCGCCTTCATCGTGCTCTAGCTGATTTTCGTCGTAAAAATGGTTTTGGACGTGGTATGAGCGCATGCCAAATAGGTGTTAATCTACGTATGATTGCATTGAATCTTGGCCATGGACCACTAACATTAATCAATCCGAAAATAACCTGGGCTTCATCAGACTCAATAACGATGTGGGATGATTGCATGAGTATTCCACGTATGCTTGTTAAAAAACAACGTGCAAAATCAATATCGATTGTATACACAGATGATAATGGTCATGAAAAAAAATGGAATGAACTGGATGTATCAATCAGTGAATTACTACAACATGAAATCGATCATCTTAATGGTATCCTTAATATTGATAAACCATTCATAGATAATAATGCAAATGGGAAAGAAAGTATAATTAGTATGGATCAATATGAAAGAGATAAGAAATATTTTGATGAACAAGTTGATTATACAATCGTGCCAACGGTTTAATGTTAAAATGGTTTATTTTACGAAAGAAAAAGATAAGAAGAGCGTGCTTGACTTTTCTTTGTGCTAAATTGAACTAATTTGTAAAATACTCATATAAAATAATGATTTTTTTTCATGATGGATATACTTTTATTACTAAAGCTTATCATAAAAATAAAAATACTTAAATATTACCTTGAAAACAATTATTTATAAGAGTAAAAAAAAATGAATTGAATTACAAAAAAAACAATCGTTTTTCGCTACGAATTGAATCAGTTTAGTAATAATGAAACTCAAATGAGAATTTATGTGGATATCTTTAGAACACTCTCAATAATTACTTGAGCCTATAAACAAAAAACGAATTTTAAATACAATACATAATTACCAAATAATCTAAATGAAACGATTATTTTCTTTGACATCATTCATACTATAATATTTGCATATACGCATACCGTTTCATATTAGTATTCACGCCCTCTATCTTTCAACAATTTCTCATTCAGTATTCGATACACCAGTAGTACAATCAAGAAGAGAGTAGAATAAAATTTTTGAAATGTTGCTTTGTTTCCATTTTTTTTAAATTTTGGAATGCGATTTAATGAAATAAATATTTCTCTAGATAGAAAAAAATTGCTAATAGTCAATCATGCCAGAAGTGGTACGAAAGAAAATTTTCTTATTAAAAAATATACTATTGCTTTGTTTTGTCTAGACAGCAAATTGTTTATGTAGTCAAGACAATGGTATAGGAAAAAAGTTTCATTGACTAACTGCCACTATTTTGTATTATTTTTGTAGCTCATGAAGATGGTATTTGGGCAGGTGCTTGGACAAAAAGTTTAAAAGATGGTTCGGAACATATAATCAGCGGCTCAATCGATGATAAAGTTAAAATATGGTCATGGTATAAAGAAAAACTCGAATTAAAATATACATGTACAGGTCATCGTCTTGGTATTGTTTCAGTTGATGTTAATCCACAAGGAACAGGTTTGTGAAAAAGAAACATGGCTTTTTCTTTCCATATAGATATTTTATTCTGAATAAATTCATTTAGTCGTAGCAACATGTGCACTTGATGCACAAATAAAATTATGGGATATTGAAAGTGGAAAACTTATTCGTGATATTGATGCAACTCCAGGTAAAATATGAATTCTTTTGTTCATAAAGTTTTATTAGTCATTTTATGTTTAGTTAATGCTTGGAGTTTGGCATTTTCACCTGATGGACAATATCTTGCTACAGGAAGTTTTGGTGGCAAAGTTGATTTGTACAATGCTGAAAACGGTCAAAAAGAAAAAACATTAGATACACAAACGAAATTTGTCTTAAGTGCTATTTATGTAATAATGAATATGATTTGTTTTTATGGGAAACTTAAATATGACGTTATTTTTATAGAGTCCTGATGGAAAATTACTTGCATGTGGCTCACAAAATGGTTTCGTAAATATTTTCGATGTAGCAACTGGGAAATTATTACATACAGTCGAAGGTATACATTTATTATTTTAGTTTTTCTCTAAAAATTAAAGTCTTCACAAAACCAATTTAGGTCATGCTATGCCCATTCGTGCATTATGTTTTTCACCGGATTCTCAAGTTTTAGCTTCAGCATCTGATGATTGCCATATACGACTTCATGATATGTAAGTTTATTCGAATTTTTCTTTATCTTTTACTAATAACTATTTTGCTGTAATAGACATAGCGCTCAACCAACAACTGTCAGTACATTATCGGGCCACAGTTCATGGGTGCTGAGTGTAGCATTCAGTTCAGATAATCAACATTTAATTTCGTCGTATGCATTGATTTTGATTAGTCATAAATATCGAAATAAATGTTGTTGTTTTTTAAACTTATTAGTTCATCGGATAAATCAGTTAAGATTTGGGATACAAAAGCCAAACGATGCGTTTATACGTCTGCTGAACATTCCGATCAAGTATGGTGTGTTAGATTTAATTATTCGGGTACACAATTCGTATCCATGTCACAAGACAAAAGTATTATAGTACATTCATTCAATCATTAATTGAAATTCTTTTTCCACGTTGTTTTTTTTGTATAAGTTTATCCTATAGGAATGATCTTCTATCAATAAAGACTGAAGCAAAATGGAGATCTATTGCGAAATAATACTTTTTTTGTGTATGGAACACTGAATATTTTAGGGCAATAATCAAGTAATTCCTGAGAATATTGAATTCATATTTCATACTCTAATTTGACAAGTGATAGAACGAAAAATATTTTGACAGATTCTTCTTAAAGTTTAAATGCTACCTTGTTGTTATTTCCCAGTAGTGAAGACTCTTCTGTTTCATAAAGGAATTCTTTTTAAAAGATTAAATACGAAAATCTATAGTGTATGTGAAACTTTATATTATCCCAACATTTATCTCGCTGGGCTTCTTGATGTGATGATACATCTATTCATGATATATTTGAATTTTCATCCAGAATATTTGACTTCGATAGAGCCAATATTTTCCGATTTTTTAAAGAAATATTAGGATTGACGAAGTATGTCATATATCCCAATCGATCAATTGAAGATATGAATTTTTGAAAACTGCTTAGATCTTTACGGATAGTCTAACATTACAGGATTTGTATTAGATACAAATATGAACACTATCTAATTAATAGCAATACCTTGAACATACAATTGATCTCTATCATGATACATTGAAAATTGAACTGTAGTTTGAAAAAGTAGATACAAGCGAACCAATTTTACTAATCAGAAGCATTCAAACTGAAAGAAAAGATATGTAAGACCCACAAAAGTGATTCAAAATTGGCGTATTCAATCGAATTAGAAGGCCAAACAAAATCAATCTTGCATATCAAACAACAGCGATTGAACCAACAGACACGATGTAAATTTATCCTTGTCTAGGAGCATGACAATTTACGGATTGAAAGAAAAATATTGACTTTCCTTCTCAACTTGTTCATATATCAGTTTTTTAGTCTTAACGTTTGCAATTCTTTTAATTGAAAGATTGCTTCAAGTTGATAAGAAGCCAAGAGCTTTTCATGAATGAATCACTTTCAAGTTTTTTTTAGTTTTTTTAAAGCACTAATGAATCTTTTCATGTTGGTCGATGATGAATGAAGGCTTCAGTGAGTTTTTTTCCACAGAATTCTATCAAAAATATAGAAAAATAAAGCTTCCAGTAACAAAAGCTAGTCTTTGCTTCTCATTAAATTGAACCAGTGTGGAGAGTTCAGTAACAAGATTCAATCGATGAATTTATTTGTTTTGAAAACTTTCTTCAATTAAATAACTGTTTATTGAAAAAAATCTCACTTCTCAAAGAAATGCTAGGGTACTTTGTCTAAAATAAAAAGCAATCATGATTCTCACATGATTTTGACACACCCGGGTCTCATTCTTTTCTAGACAACATAGAAATGATAACATATCCATGAGTTATTTCGAAGAAGGGTCAGATATTAATCGAACAAAAAACAAAATATGTTGAATCAATGTTTCCAATGGCAAGTGTACACAGCAGAAGTAAAACGTACAGAACATCTGCTAGTTTTGATTTACACTCTGCTATACACTTGCCCAGAAAAACAAAGTGTACAATGTACACTTTGCTAAAATAGTTTACACTCTGATTTCTTTGATCTCTGAACCTTAAAAGCCGCATATAGTTTTAAATTAATTAAGTATGATATTTTTTTTCGCTAGTGATCAAAATGTTTGTTTCATGAAATAAAAAATAGCGAAAATTATATTTTGTTTTCTAGATTGTGAAAATTGGGCTTTTGGTACACTTTGATACACTTTGCTGAAAAAAGTAAAGTGTAATGTACACTTTGTTCATAAAAACCAGAGTGCACTGTATATTTTGTTTTAGATTTCCATTGGAAACACTGCACAGGAACACTGTAACCTGTTAATACTCAACATTTGAGCACTAGATGACTATTTACGGATAACTTTATGCAGACAACTATTCTATTTACAATGAATGTATTTTAATTAATAAAAATTTTCATTATTTCAATTTACTCATTTTTAAAATTTTTACCCATTTTTAGATTAAATGTTCTCGTTTTGAAAATGAACTGTTTAGAAATGTTAAGTTGTATTATTAAAATTCAATAGTGTAGAATATACATTTATTTATTCTTGATATTTTTAGATTAAATCTAAGGAATAATTTAATCTAATTTTTGTTTTCTTCTTTTAGATATAAATATTTATTTATCAGTCACAGAAATTCATTGTACAGGTAAAGGCAAACAAGAAGAGTTTGAATTTTAATCTCTCTATTCATTATAGATCATACCAGAGCTATTTTGTTTTTGTTTTTTTCTGTATTGCTTGAAATTTGTCGTTTTTAAATATGTGAGATACTACTTGCCACTTCTGTATTTTTTTTAAATATAATATTAGTTTAATAAATTTATAAAATGATACTTATATATCTTTTTGAATGCAATCAGAACTGAAAAAGCACCTGATTCCAATATAGCACGAAAGCGAAAAACCGGCGGTTACCGGAAAATACCGCCGATTACCGGACAATACCGTTGGTAAACTCCTCAGTTATACGATCGATATACGGTTTTTCGTCGTTTCGATCACATGTGGATATCGTGTCTAGATCAATCGCTGTCTTGATAGATGACGTCAATCGGAGGGCAGTAAATATACACCGATTTTTGTTCTACCACACGTTTTAGCCGATTAAATGAAGCAGAAATTTTGCAAGAAATTATACATAATTCTCTGGTTTTCAAATCTTTTTCTGATGATATTTTCAAAATTTCAAATATCCAACAATTATAAAACTTATCGATACTATTTCGAGCTTCAGATCAAGTGTATTATTTTATTTAAACAGTAGAAAAATAAAGACACAAAGTAATATTAAAAATATTCGTACAACTGCGAAGTACATACATACATACATAAATTACGACAAATAATACGAAAGAAAAACAACAAAACAATACGAACATTTATTAAAAATAACATAGAAAAGCACATACAAAATATTAAATAATAGATATAATACACAGAATAAAATAAAATAAGATTAATTTCGTACACACATCAACAGAAAATAAACGAACATTCTGCCTCTCTCACTCTCTGTCTTTCTAAATATTATTTTTCTTCTAGTTTTTTTTATTTAAACGAGATTAGCTGATAATAAAAATCGATGAGTAAACTGCATGTAAATAGATAAAAGTGGTGTCTCCGCCATCATTTTTTTTTCTGCATGAATTAGTAAAACACGTAGAATAAATACGAAAGACTATTGTCAATACATTCAACTATTAAACAATACTTCGTCATGTAATTTTCTTGAAGAAAATAGCTCTATTATGAAACCTAAATTTGAATTTGTTTTATGAGAAGCGCTTTTTTTTGTTCACTATAAAATATATCAAGCTAAGTTCTTTTGACAGTAAATAACTCAGGGTTTTGCTGAAAACAAAAAAAAACTCAATTTACATAGACATATTTCGCCTAAGGATAAATGAACATCGACTTTCTGTTCTCTTAGGATGGAATTCGCTTGAACGTTTACCCTCGAATAATCAATATAATGATGAAGCCACTTATGTTTACGGAGGTTTTTTAAATTTTTTACAAAGAGTGTTTGTTGATAAAGTAAGTGAAAATCAAATTGAATTAAATACTATTGTTAAACGTGTTTCTATTCACGAAGAAGAACAATATGTTGACATTGAAGTTATTAAAAGTAATCAACAACAAGTAACTTATCAAGCTAAACATGTTATTTGTACACAATATGTTGGCTGTCTTAAACAATCCATGCATCAAACGTTTATACCACCATTGCTACATGCTAAACGAATGTATATACAAAAATTAGTCTTTAGCACAATTAATAAAGTTTGTTGACCGAATGAATTAATCATCCATTGTTTATTTAGCATGTTTATTTTAAATAGATTTATCTTGCTTTTTCTCAACCATTTTGGGATGTTGATTTTCTGAAAGCAGTATTCCGGTTGGAAAATTTTCGCATTTTTTCTGGTGATTTCCGATCAATTCCTGCCAGAAAGTACCAAAACTTGGCAGAAATTCGTCGGAAAAGTCTGGTCGTATTTTTGACTGGAATACTGCTTCCATGTTCCAGCGATTTCCTGTGTTTTCCTGCAGGATATGGTGACTTTCCCGCATATACCCTGGAGTATCTTATGGGATCCAATGACCGGAATGTTCGACCTGGGAATTGTTGTACCAGATTTAACTGGGCCTGTAGTTGTTCTATTTGTTGTTCGTGTAAATTTTGTTGTTGTTGCATTTCTTGTTGATGATTGATTTGTTGTTGTTGTTTTAGCTGGACTTGTAATGCTTGTATTTGTCCATGTGCCTGTGATAATTGTTGTTGTAAAAATCCTGCTAATGGTGATGCTGCAGGTATACTATTTGCTGCAAGACTCTAAAACAAAGCAGAAAAAGATAGATAAGCATAGTTTGAGTGAAGAAAAAAATTTATGTTGGACAACATGCGAATATTACGCTATTAAGTTCAGAGATTTCGTCACAGTTTGTCTATCGTGAAGAAGGAGTCACTGTTGACTTTGTGGTGTCTCATTTTGAAAAGCACATAAATTTTTCCTTCAAAACTACAAACACATTCAGTCCTATAGATAGCAAATTATTTATATGTCATGAATCAAATAAAGCGTGACAGAATCATGCTTTCCGTGGACAGATCGAATTGTCAAATTTTTTCTAGGAAAGCTTTGAAAACATAAATTTTTGTCTTGTTTATATAATCTACCAGGAGTAATAATCAAATGATGAAAACAATCAAAATTTCGACATTATCTAGAACTACACTAGGTAATTAGTTTTAAATTCCGAAAGAAAAAACTTAATAGAAAAAATTGTTGGTCGAAGTGAAATCAATGCTGAGAACGGCGCGCCTCCGACTGAAAATACTTTCTATTACTCAGCTTCATAGTCTGTTGAATTGAATCTAGTTTAAAACGATATTTTTTTCATTTGCATTCATTTGTTAATTGATTTTTATTTATTTCGTTCAAGCAAATATGAAACTAATATGTCAAAATAAAGCGATGAATGACAGAAAATACTTTTTAGTGAGGTGTACCAAAGTCAAAAATCGAGCAGGAGGAAAATTCGTTTTATTATTGCATGGTAGGATAGAGCTTGGTGAGTAGATCATGAATATCACCTTTAAAATGTTTCTAAGCTTCCGTTTTGGTCGAGAAACTTTCAAAATACAAACTGCCCCTGAAAAAGTGAATATTTCAGTTTTTTCGAGAAAACTCGAAATTTACCTCGTTTAACAATGTTCTATGTTTAGAAAACTATCATCACCGAATTCAGCATGAAAATCTGAATCTACTGATATAACGTTGGCCAGTAAAAAACATAAGTTTCATGTTTGAGGAGCTCAACTAGGTCCCCACATAGACACCTTGAAATTGATGTCTCGCAAAATCATCAACTATTTTTTTTGAAAGCGATTCTCCAACTTTATTACGTCATCCAAACCGCCAAGTGATAGCGAACAAAAGCATATAGTCAGTTTTAAAAATATTGTTCTGTCTCTGAGAAAACTCGATTTTACTGAAAAAAATGACAACAAAAAATTTCTTCTTTTTTCTGAAAAATATCAAACTACAATTGTAGTCTGTACATATAGGTTAAAAAGTGTGTAGAATTCAAAAAACGTAGTTAGATTAGTCTCTTTGATCTTCTAAGGGTTTCTCATAAACATTTTTCTTGAAAAATCACTAGTATAAAATGTGCATTTCTTGGCGATGCGACTCTAATTTCAGAAGAGTCAGATGTTTATCTTCTCCGACACGTAGAGCCGAATGCACATAGAAGAAATAAACTGGTTTTACAATTTTTTCGGTACCCGACTGGTTTTAATTTATAATTTTTTATGGCTTTTGTATTTTATATTTTTTTACTGCTGAAAGCGTTTCAAGTTTTTCAATGAAAGAGAGAAAACTGAAGTGAAAAATAAAAAATGCCTACTTTGCGTGAGTTGATGATTCGTGATTTTTCGATGTAATACCACGTCGATTTTGCATAGCTGACTGAAAAAGAAAGTAAGAACTTCACCATACATCTTACATTGGTCATAAGCATTAACAGAGTGTCAAAATCGACGGAAGATCTTCATGTAGATTTTGCGTTCTTTGAAGTTTTCACGAGATTGAAGAATGAGGCGAAGCATCGTTGAGAATGTTTGGTCACTTTTCTTCCTTACATATTGCTTTATGTGACACCATAAGCCCTCGATGGCATTCAATTCGCAATGAAATTTCGGACAGAATATTACCTTAATATTGTATTTTCTGGCTAAAATTTCTATCTTTGATACATTTTGGAAGGCAGCGTGCTGAGCAAGGAGAGTTTGCAACTCGGTTAATTTGATCGATGGTAGACAAGGAAGTTTTAACTCTTTTGCTAGTTCAACCAAACCTTTCGTTTTTCCACGGTGGTCACCTGTCGTAAAGCGACAGGAAATTGAGATGACTTTACCCTTATCGTCAACGTATGTAATCGAGTCAACTGGACACTTCATACCTATTCCCTTGCTAAATTCACCAATAGGATACTCGCGTGCTGAATCGGTGCGGGCATTGTCCACTACTACTTCAAATTGATGACCTCCGATATCCTGCTTGAAAGAAACAAGTTGAAATAAACGTTCAAATTGCGACGAAATGACTTCGTTGCTGAAGTAGCCTTCAACACCAACATTGATGCCGGCAGTCACTGAATTTTGTACGTAATTCAGGTCATCAGAACTAGAAAGAGAAGGGAATTTTTCAACTGCTTTATCATATTCGGCATCAGATAAAGAAAAGAACGGGCCGCATGGATGCTGAACGATAAAATCACTGATCATGTGAGAACGTCGATGGCCCTTGGAGAAGAAAGGAGTGTTTCGTTCGACTGTCCACCTTTTAGCCGGCATTTCACCGCTCTTAAAAGTTGAATCAACATGAACTAAAGAGAAAAAAAATTAAAAATCTTCATGAAATAGCTAGAAAATTTTTAAACTTACAGAGAATAATACAAGGATTCTGAGCAGGAATTTTCCACACTGGCTGATCACCGTCACTTATTGTGTAGTACACATCTTTCCTTTGAAGAAAATAAGAGATGAATTCGTGCCTATGAGTGACTACATCCTGTCTCTCATGGCCTTCAAAATATGGCCTTTGAGTATTCGGTTGAAATTTGGCCAGCCAACGTCGAAGATCTAAACGACAACTCTCGATAGACCGAACTAGCGTATCATTGAGCTTTGATGTTTGTGTTAGTTCGTAGAACGTTGTATCGATAAAGTTCGCCAAGTCAACAGCTGTAAAATCAGCTGATTTACGTGAGTAAGATTCAATAGCGAAAGCTTTAGCAGCTTTCTTGAGTTCTGTAAACACGTCGAAAAAAGATTCATAATGCATACCTCCTCGGCCTTCACCTTGAAATATTTCAATATCACCTGAAATGAAAATCTTTGCCCACTTAAGTGCAGTTTCACATGTATTAGCACCAATGCTTCTAAGCAGATCATCTGCTCGACGCCACGAGAGACCGAGATAACGTAGAATTGTATAAATAAGAATAGGCAAATTACGAGGTCCACACAAGCTCTTGCGCATTTCAAACAAATCACCAATCATAGGCAAATCAAGTTTCAAATTGAAATTTTCTTCATCTACACCCTTACTCTCATTTTTCTCCTCTTCATCGTCTACTTCCATAACACTTGCCCATTTTTCTTCTTCCGCCGACAACTCTTTAACTTGAAGTTGACTGTGATCTTGATGTTCCCATAGACCCGAGATCGTAAATTGAGAGTAAAAGCTTCTTCTCGACTTTTGTGACAGATTAGAAGTCAGTTGATATGAATTTTGATTGAGAATATAAATAGATAGTATTCGTAGACAGTATTAATATATTCTCGTGACTTTTCGAAAACAATGTTGTCTTCGTTAGACAGTACAGAAAATAACAGAATGTTATGAAATAAACGTGAAAATTTGAATTATCCTTCTTTTCTTCTTGTTTTTCTATCGATAACCAAATTGGAAACGAAAATATTCAATCAATTCTTCCAGTATAATTGTCTGCCTGTCCAACTATAGAAAGGAAAATAGAGATGATTTTTGTGTGCACATGTATCACGTAATATTCTCTCATTCTCTACTCTCCGATGGACACAACATTTTGTCGAAACAACACGAAGGCAAATAAAATTTATCAAGGAAGTGAGTCATTATTCTCAATTAACTCGATTTGATCTTTACTATTTGATCAAAATTAATTGAAATTAGCCTGTACTATGAAGAACAGGTTAAACGAACCTGCTTGATACGTACTAGAAGTAACACTAATCAAAGAAAAGAAATATAACTGTTCACAAAAGAGGCTGAATACCCATGATTTTTCAAGAAAAATGTTTATGAGAAACCCTTAGAAATCGAGTTTTCTCAGAGACAGAACAATATTTTTAAAACTGACTATATGCTTTTGTTCGCTATCACTTGGCGGTTTGGATGACGTAATAAAGTTGGAGAATCGCTTTCAAAAAAAATAGTTGATGATTTTGCGAGACATCAATTTCAAGGTGTCTATGTGGGGACCTAGTTGAGCTCCTCAAACATGAAACTTATGTTTTTTACTGGCCAACGTTATATCAGTAGATTCAGATTTTCATGCTGAATTCGGTGATGATAGTTTTCTAAACATAGAACATTGTTAAACGAGGTAAATTTCGAGTTTTCTCGAAAAAACTGAAATATTCCCTTTTTCAGGTGCAGTTTGTATTTTGAAAGTTTCTTGACCAAAACGGAAGCTTAGAAACATTTTAAAGATGATATTCATGATCTACTCATCAAGCTCTATCCAACCATGCAATAATAAAACGAATTTTCCTCCTGCTTGATTTTTGACTTTGGTGCACCTTACTAAATTTATAAAAGAATTTTGTAGCAAGAAAAAACGTTCTAACGATTATGTAATCAAGGGTGAAGAGGTTTGAAAATGTTGACAAATTATTATTCTAGAGAAGGACGAGGTCAAAATGTTCGAAAGTTGATAACATGAATGTTAAATGACTACTTAGTAACTAAGTTATTTATATCATGGCAAAAAAGATACGCATAGCGTAGCATGCTTTTACTTGAGTATTAGCTAAGTGAGCTGCGTTGGCTGGCTGTCATGGAAACATTCAATCTGAAAAGTGCGATAAAAATTGAATCAAACTGTGTTAACGAACAAAGCAAGAGAGAAAATGACAGCATTAGCAACACATCTAGTGAATTCGCCAATGATTTCATGATTCGCTCTATGCTATATAATGTCGCTAGATGACGCTATACTAAGGAGGTTTTTTTTCTTATCAAAAATAGGAATGGACTAGACGTATCCAATAAAAGAACGAATATGATCATTCATTCATTGATTGATTGTTTATTTTATTACTATTACTGATGATTGATTGCATGGTTTAGCGGGCTTGCTTTGCAAAGAAACGAAACATATACATATATACTCTATTTATTCCTCTAAATATTAACACGTTAGAGAAATATGCCAAAAATATCTGAGCTTCGTGGCTTATTTAAACCATTTACAAAACCGTTACATCGACAATGGAAATGTAAATCATCTAAAAGATATTTATTCAATAAATTTCATATGTAAATTTTTAGGGGTATGGCAAGAAAAGGGGAAATTTAATGAGCCAAAATTAACATTACCTAAAGCATTAGAGGGTCGTCAAATCAATATTATTGATCCATTACATGAACCGGATCCAAATGCTTTTCCTGATGAATCAACATCTTGGACAAGTCCAACTCGACACCCGATGTTCGAATATCTTGTACCACCACTACCACGGGAGGAACATCCTCTGTTTCATCATGAACGACCCGTATTTTTATTTGATTCAAAAGCAAAATTACACGCAGGTGAATATTCCAAAACAATAAATAGAATTCAGAACTATCTAGATTGATTCAAAATATCACGATCTTTTTTCTATTATTTTGTTTCATAAAATAGGGGTGGATCAAGCTTGTTTATTAACAAAAACAATACCATTCTACGAATTGCCACAGTCAATAAAACAAACTATTGGACAAGTATCATTACCTGACCAAGACGAATTAATTCAATCGTATATTCGGCAATCGATTGCTTATGATGCAACAAAAGAACATTTACCAAGAAAAAAATCTCCATTAAAACAACGTCGATCGTTTCGTATTGAATATGCTATACCACGTTCGAGACAAATGGCAATCTTATTGGAGAATATTATTCATCTTTGCGAATCATTAGGTGGACATTATCCAGATTTATTCAAAAGACATTTATATCGAAATATACCATTTTATACAACATATGAACGATATGGCGAATTAATACATTTAAAACGAAAAAATGAATATGTGTTAACGAGTCATATTCCATTATCACCAATTGTTAAACGTTTAAATAGATTAGAAATTAATTCAGGAGATAATATTGATGAAAAAATAGCAAGCCATGATCCTAATGGACATTATGTTATGCAAGCAAATGATTATCAATTTTTAGATATGTATCCAATCTATCCAACTATTGATTTACCATCAGAACAGCTTTATCAAGATGGTGATGAACAAGGATGGCATCAAAGAAAATCAAATGAGTGTAAATAATTCAGTTTGTTTTTTCTTCCGAATAATTCTGAATAGTAAAACAAAAACAAATAAGTTGAGACTAGAGACAAATGATGTATTATTTATTTATCGTGTAAAAGCCTTTAAAGTTATTGCTCTATTTATCATAAACGAAGAAACCAATAGGTAATGTTAATTGCAATATAGAGAAAAGTTTTCACGTGAGTATTTAATTTGATCGAGGTTTCTTTTTCTTTTTCTTCTATTACTCAATGTCCGTTCAGGTTGCAGTTAGAGGCCGTCGCTCGCAAGCTAAATTAGTTTTCCATTCATTAATGACATAGTCACGCGGTATGTTTCGATTAATCATCATTTTATTTATATCGATTTTTTCATACGTACTTCTTTCTAAAAATTTTCAATAGTATCAAGTCTACAAGTGCATTCGACCTACTTACTATCAATAGATTAATATAATGTATATCTCGATCGATTCTGTCTTTTTTTATCATCCTTAAAATTTATTAGTACTGATTTCCTATTCGAACTATGTAAAAAAAACAAATTTCTCATATTCAATATAAAATCTTACGAAAAACACAAATACAAAAAAGAATATGTATTATTATTATTATTATTATTATTATTATTATTTAGATGTTCATACAACATTACATGTTTCAAATGATGAATTGATTCATGAAGCAACAACAGATGAACGTCTTGCACGTATGATTATGTTTGCTTTTGGTTCTGCTCTTGTTCAAGCACGTCAGCTCTATCCAGATGGTCGTCTTGTAAAACCAGTTACTGTTCAATCAATATTTCTTCTTGATGAACTTTTTCATTTTGTTGTATTTCAATTAAATACATTAAACTATAATGATACAAATGATAAACAATGTAATTATGTATGGATTGATAAAGATAATTATTTATATGATAATCGCCCGTCCATGGTTATGCACAATCCATTGTATGGTACAGAACGAAATTTACAACGATATGTTTTGGAAAAACTAAAATATAATCCAGTTGTTTTTCAAAAGTTTTTAGCATTATACTTACATGGTGTTAAATAGGAAAAAAAGAATGAATTGATAGAAAGAGAATAAAAAAAAGACAAGAAAAGCTCCTGTTTTTTTCCTGTTGTTGTTCTTATCATTCATCTATCTATCTTTTCAGATATATTTATTTCTTTTTGTCATATCGTATTCTTTTCGTTTCTTCTTTTATTCTTTTAATTCTGATGAATCAAAAACAACAAAAGAATTGTTCTATTCAAATATGAATAATTCAACAAAATGGGGTATTGCCCTTGGTGCTGGCATACCCGGTGTACTTATTGTGATTGGTTTAATTGGCTTATCAGTTAAATTTATTATGAAACGTTGCCGACGTAGAGCTTGGAGCGATATTAGATCATTACCAAACGCTCTAGACTCATCGAATAATAGTACGCAGCGTCGACTACCAAGACTTTCAGCATCTGATCGTGAACCTCTATGCACTACAACAACAACAACTGATGTTGTGATAGTATCTGGCGGACATATATCTATACCAATGGACAACGATGAGTTCACATCTAACCCAAATCAACATGCAACTACAATCAAACCGGAACAGACACTTGTTCAGATTCAACGAGATCGTTTAAATCGTCTTAGAGAAGAAGAAAATCGTACAAGACCGATGTTACGTTTAAGTACTGGTGAACTTGAAATACAACGTGCTATCGAACAAGCACAAAAGGAATTCGATGAATCGGTATGATTTGAATTCAGATTGCGCCGATTTCTTCCTTTGATTTGCTCTCTCATCTATACACATATATATTGACGATGATTTAACTTTTTCCAAAAGTCTAAAGTTTCACAATAACTGCAATCAAAAAAAAATTTATTTTATATTTTAATGCACCGCTCAAGCACTCGCTTTTTTTGTTGTTGTTGCTGTAATCATATATATTTTCTAATTTGTTTTTATGCTTAAACATCATGTCTTTCAATTGGTTTTTGTTTTGTTTTCATTTATTATAGGTAGCGTATGCTTCTGGGAAGATGAAAGGTCCTCGAAAACCATAACTAAATTAAATTGCTCAACTAAACATCTATAACTGCATAGTGCGTTTCGCTGTTTTTTCCAATATAAAAGAGTTTCTATTTCAATTTTTAAATTTAATATGGATAGCTTTCTTTTTTCTATTTATTATTCTTTCCGGTTAGGTTTTCTTTGTTATGTTGCTGAAAGGTTATTAGTAGAATTTGTTTTACCACCGTGTACTTTTATCTTATTTTTGCAAATATGCATAAACGCCATTGATAAAGCTATTTTTCATTTCATTGCTCATTATCTTTTCTTCCTTTTATTTTGTTTGTTGTACTCCGAAGTGAAATTAATGTGTCATATGATAAACTGTGTGTACCATGTCATTATGATAAATGAATTATGATTTTATTGGATGCTGGATTTTTGCATAGGAAATTTAATTTTTATTAGTTTAGTTGACACATACTTTGGTTAATGTTTTATGCAATCAATCATTTAAATTTAATATGAGGTTCTAAAGATAATCTTGAATTATTTAGATTTGCTAAATTTAAATATTTTTACACTTTTATTTTTAAAGTAAAACAAATTCGAAAACAGAATTTTAAATATAGTATACTTTTAAATCGACATTTCTACATGCATCTGATGAATCACTTATCTGTTTATCTACTACGTGCTTCTTACATAAAAATAAATGATGATAATTTCTATCAATATCTCATTCTTATAGAACATTCATGTCATAAATAGTATTTCATCAAACTAAAGTAGATAACAACACGAAGAACGATAGAAGATCAATAATATTAAGAATAACTACATAGATAAGCTAAATGGTGATTATAAGTAAAGAACCTACTCAAATATTTTTCATTCTTTAAAACAAATCTGAATTTCTTTTTTGATTTGATAAGTGTGTTTCATTTAGAGAAAGCAATTAGTAAATTGCAAAAGAAACAATTCAAATATTCGATCGAATATCATTAAGAAAATAGATATGTGTAAATGATGAGAAAAAAAACTAGTAATCAAATCTTGCCGAGCGATGAATGAATACATACAATATGTTTAGTGGCATTACACCATAGCTATCTCAAGGATATGTTCTTTTGTTGTATGTATTATTACATGCACGTATCACAATCCATCAATAATTCGATCGATCATTTTGAGATTTTTTTGTATATTCTTACATATAAAAACAATTCTGGTCAAGATATTGAAGAAAAAATTTCTTTTAACATTGTTATTTTATTACGTAAAATATGATTTGTAGGAACTTTTATAGATTAAATGCAGCTGCAAAGATAGAATAGAAATCATGAAAATGTGTGTATGTGTGAACTCATCGAACAATTTCAATCGAACTCCATTATTAAAAAATTGTTATTTCATATTTCCTTTCTATCTTCTGGGCTTGCTCTTTGTTCTAACATGAATTTGTACATCAATATAGATTTCGAACATTTCTCTCGATTGTACTCATAGATTTATGTAACATATATTATCAATGATAAAATTGCGATATTACTACTTTCATTTTTCTTTTCTCCTTTTCATTCGTTTTCATATTATCAAAATTTAACGATAGTATGAAGCCGATTGAATTCCAATCGACACTGCTCTACCTAAGCTTATCGGATGATTTTGACTCGGAACTTCAGAAAAGTATATTTTTGTGTAAGTCCGATCTGTTGACAGAAATCGAATAAATAAGCGTAGAAATTTTATGTTACGATTTTGTATTTTTTATGGCGTGTGCCAATAGTGTCATAGTGAAAATTTCGTGCTGTTTATTACGCCCTTTTCTTTTTGCATTTCTCCGCTTTTTTCTTTATGTCTATTTATGCCATGATAAGCAATACACGTCACTATCGTCCAATTTTCTATTGATGACAATACTTCTTCGGTACAGGTAAAATTTAATCAGTTTTTTTCTTGTAGAAACGAAACGGTATTGAAATTAAATTGATCAATACGAATGTATAACGCATGATGAAAAATATACTATTACGAAATGAAGCTCGCCAACCAATTGAATGAATCATGTTTGTAGAGGAGAGCGACATTTGTACAGCAGTAAAACCTCGTTTGAACATTTTTTGTTCATATCCAGAAAGTGTTGAAGATGAAGGATTTAAAATTAAATTAGCAAGATCAAATGCATCAGCAAAAGCTGTATTAGCACCTTTTCCAGCATGTGTCGTCATTGGATGAGCAGCATCACCAAGTAATGTCACACGAGAATTATTTGGAAATGGATTGTGTTTGAGACATGCAGCCGAATACAGTCGATATGGACCGATGCATGTTGAAGGTGAACTTGATTCGATTAAACGGATGATTTCATCATTATTAAAATATTCATGAGCTTTTTCAATTACTTTAAGAGATGTTATATTGGTTTCTTCATGAGTTTCTTTTTCTGGCCATGAAAGAGCCCATATCCATGACTGTCGAAAAGGTAGAATGAGTAATGTATGACCTTGTTTACCGAATACTCGTACAAGAGATTGTTTTGTTAATTCTTGAATTTTTTTCAAGCTAGCATTTTGTTCTACAGTACCTCCAATATTAATAATACGAAGATCATTTCGCTGAAATTCTGGTATAAGTTGAGTTCGAACAATTGATTTAGTTCCATCGCAACCAATAAGAATTGTACCTCGTACTGATGTTCCATCTTCAAAATAAGCTTCAACACCATCATCGTCTATTTTATATGATATAAATCGTTTATTCCATTGAACATCAATATTAGTTAGTAATGCTTGTCGAAGATCTTCTCGATAGATTAATTTATTATTTTTTGCATTGAAATCAATTAATTTTTGAAGATATTTGTTAACCAATCGAAAGAACGATAGAGTATAAACTGCATCGGATTCATCACGTAGGAGATTATCAAGAACTCGAATTTGAGTTAAAACATCAAGTCCCATTGAGTCAAGGCCAATACAATAACCTTGTTCGCGTGAATTTTTATCTTCATCACGTTCAAATACTAATACTTTAATTGAAGACGAGTTTTGTAATAATAACTGAGCTAGAGCAAGGCCTCCTAGACCACCACCAATGATAATGACAACAGTTGTCGAATCAGTAGACATAGTTTCTTTTCAAATCGTGTTTTCTTGGACTATTTCTATAGAATAGATTGTTTTTAATACTGTAGATAATAGTTGTTGTTGCTGATGCAATATCCAATGAAATGATATCACCAATAATAATTAAAATAAATGACAAAGAAAACAAAGCAATGACATCATCGAGATAATTTTCTCATAGAACAAAAATACAAAAAATTTGTCAAAAAGAAATAGTTTCAGGAAATGTTCATTTGTATGAAGTTTTTTTAGAGTTCTGTTTTTTTTCATTTGAACCTTTCACGGAATTCTACCAGAATTGAATAGAAGTTACAGCGATTTCAATAGTTCATTGAATATAAACTTTAAAAATAATTTTCTTTTCTCTCTATTAGCCTTACACTTATGTGCACCATGTGGTATGTATGTCCTTGTTCACATCGGTTTTTTTTTGGTTGCTTACATGACGATATTTCTCTCTGTTCGAATGATTCATATTCTGTGTTGTTTTGTTTTATTTTTGAGGTATCGAGGTGAAGGAAACTCTTTATCCTTAGATTTTTACTGTTTTTTTTTCTTTCTTTCTTCGTTTGTGCTCTATCTATAATCTATTTGAGTTCTTATCATCATTGTGTGTACGATAACGGTTGGCCAAGCATCAATAATGTCGTAATTGAAAATTTGAACATGAATGTATAAGAGAAGGAGAAAAAAAAAGAAATGATCCGTTCTTGTGTTTGCATCCGTGCGACAACAAAATTGAACGGAGGTAAAGAAAAAAAGGTCATATGTTCACTTATTTGTCTGTGCTCCATGCGACTAAACTATACTTCGTGTGGTTCATTGGTTGACCCACGATCTAGAAAGTAGTAATAGATAGACAGAGGACGTGTGTACCATATAGTTATATATATCGATCTTTCTATGCATAACATTATATTCCATAAGAGAAGAGAGAAAGAGAAGTAGAAAAAAATGTGAAAAAAGAACGAAGCAAAAATGAGCTATTCTTCATACTCAGTCAAGATCATTTGTTGAAAGAAGGAAAGAGAAGAATTTCATTCAGGTAAAATTGTCGCATATTTTTTTTTCTGCGGCTTGGCAAGAGGTTTTTTTTCTCTTGTTTCTTGTGTTAAAAGACGAGAGGAAAAAACTGTTTGAATGATTGCAGACTGTTCTTTGTAGCACATGGAATACGTCCATTAAAAAAAGAAATATATTCTACGAAGAGAAAAGAGACAGGCAAAAAAAGAAGAACGACAAGGCGGCCCTATGATGGCTATTGTAACAAGAGAAAATTTTCTTTCTCTCTGTCAGTTTTTTTATGAATTTTATTCATGATTCATATCAACCACAAAATAGCAAACTCATTTTTTTTCTTCTTTCATCTATCTCAAACATACTAAAGTGTGAACACAATGAAGTTCAAATAAATACAGGTAAGAACAAGCAAGGTCAGTTATACAGTTAAGGATTTCAGGAGCAGATTAGAAAGAGAATGAGATTGAATATAATAAAATTTTGTAAAATTTTAGTTAATAACTATTTTTTATTTCAGATGTTTCCAACTATTCTGGTGTATATTTCTATTTTATTAATATTTGTTTCAACTGCAAATACTCAACAGCTTCAATGGATTTTACTCAGTGATGGTACAAGTACAGATACACCACAGGCACGGCGTGATGCTGCACTCGGCTTTGATCAAACTTTTCTTCTTCTATACGGTGGTCGAACTCAAACAGGAATACCTCTTCAAGATTCTTATTCATTCAACATTCTAACTGGTAACTAATACACTCACTAGAGAAGGTCTCTGGGTGCTTCCCTGGGATTTCAATTAAATCTATCTGGTTTTGTGAAGTCAGGTGTTAATGTCTCAAATGTAGCAAAATTAGCGGCTGAGATTATTCCGTTGAAAAATTTGGAATAGAAACATTTTTAACTTAAAACCCCGAGGAGGACCATAGGAGAATTTTTTACACTTAACAAATTTCACAGAAAATTGAAACGCTGGTATGTCACCTCAGTCTTTAATGCTGATTTCAAATATGTTATTGAATTTTACTCATGATGTGCTTGTCTCACCGAAAGTTGCGAATCATATGTCGAAGAAGTAAAAAAATGATATCTAAACATTATTATTACACTGCGCACATCAACATTATGCATCATTGAATAGCACACTGAATTCTACATAGATTCATTTTAACATAAGTTTATCGAGAAAAGTTTATTCATATCTTTTATTTTTTATTTTATTGCCAATCGGCGGTAAACTATATGAAAATTCCGTTCTACCAGTGGTTTGATGATCGATAGAAAATCACATAATTCGGTTCATGTAATTTATCCGTATATCAATCGATCGAGTTTTTGAAATGTTAAAAAGTCATGGATTTTTAAATTCCTAAAAGATTCGTGATTTACAGACTTCGCGAATGACTAATGTTAAGATATAATTTTCTACTTTTTTGGCATACAATTCGCAACTTTCGGTGACACAAATACACTCTGAGTGAAAACCAATAACATATTTGGAATCAGCATTAAAAACTGAGGTGACATACCAGCGTTTCAATTTTCTGTGAAATTTGTTTAGTGTAAAAACTTCTCCTATGGTCCTCCTCGGGGTTTTAAGTTAAAAATGTTTCTATTCCAAATTTTTCAACAGATTAATCTCAGCCGCTAATTTTGCTACATTTGAGATATTAACATCTGACTTCACAAAACCACATAGATTTGATTGAAATCCCAGAGAAACACCCAGGGACCTTCCATCGTCAGACGATGTTGTTTTAACTAAGTAATCATCTTTTAGGCCAATGGGATGCACTTAATTTTCCAAGCCCACCACCGAGTCGTTATGGTATGGCAGCAGCCAGTTCAATGAATGGTGGTTTATATATATTTGGTGGTTTTGGTATACAAGGCACAAGTCCAAATTATAATCCGTATCTATCTTATGCATCGGGTCAACAAGTAGTAAATTATAATTTTGAAACACCACCAAATTTTATACAAAATCCAATACTTATGAACAATCCAGATTTTATCAACAATCCAAATTATAATCCAATGAGTGGAACTGGTTATAATAATGGGGACAGGTATAACGATGATGATGATCGTGCTGATTCAAATTATTATCCATTTCAAGATGCTTGGTTTCTTAGTTATTCGTATGCATATATTTTAGTAGAAATTTTCTTGTATTAAATTTATTTAAAATTGATTAGTACAAAAATTTGGCAAGAAACACAATCATCACAATATGCTCGTGGTTTTGGTTCAGCAGCTGCTGCGCCATTTACTGGTGATATGCCTAGAGTTTTATATACGATGGGTAAATCACGTGATCTCATGTATTCATATGTTGAATCCATTGGACGAGGTTCATCTGGTCTTAGCCAAGCGGGTACCACACAAGCAGCACTGAGTAAATTGTTTCTATATATGTATTTGTTTAAATTTTACGAAATCCTCTTTTTGTTTTTGTTGAATTTTAGTTATGAATGATTTACCATCGATTAGTCCAGCTTATCCGCATGCTCGTTATGGACATTCGACAGCCTTACTTACTGATAATTACCTATTGCTTTATGGTGGATGTTTAAGGTATGTATTAGCTAAAACAAATTTAAATACTTATTTCTTAAAAGTATTAATATTGATTGTATTAATAAAGATATTTTATTTTATTATTATTTTATTTGACTAAGAACAAACAAAAATGACACTGTGATATAAAAGAATTCAAACAATTTTCATAGTATTTGTCTAGTATAAAATAGCAATTTCATTTTCGTTTTAGTGGTTATGGAAAAGGCGGTCCATGCCCATCGAAAGATACTTGGCTATTACAAATTGATCGTGGACATTGGGAACGTTTAAGTGAATGTCCACCAACGAAAACAGGTGCTGCTATGGTTACAATTCCTTCATACAGCGCATGTAGTGGAATGGGTCTAGGTGCCGCAGATATGTCAGCGAATATGAATCTAGGAGCTGAACAACCACTTGCTATCCTATGGGGTGGTCGTGAATCTAATCCATCATCTATTCTTGTAAGAAATTTTGAAAAAATAATAAAATTCAATCTTTTATTTATCATATCCTATTTGGTAGACTTATCCAAGTCCACGTGATGAAGTCGCTGTATTTAGTTTAGGCCAAAAACAATGGTCTCTGAAACGTGCAGCTCCATCGCCAACAGTAAGTTTATATTAATTAAATAATAATCGATCTCATCAGTTGTAATTGTACAATTGTTTCGCCAAGTCATCTAGAAGAACTGTTGGCTAGTCTTCACTTTACATATATGTACTAATTGTATTTTATTTTTTATTCCCTAGGATGGTAGCTATCCAATGCAACGAGAAGGTGCTGCATTTGTTGCTGGATGTTTTCAAGGTGCACCGGGTATGTTCGTTTTTGGTGGACGAGCGACAGTGTAAGAAAAATTTTAGATAGAGATTTTTTTAAAAACATCTTTGCCTATCTAGTGATCGTCGTTTACTCTCTGATCTTTGGTTCTTACAAGCGTCACCACAAGAGGCATTGAGTGCACCTAGTACGCGTGGATGTATTTATCCATTTTCATATTATCATCTTCATGGAGTATTTCAATTTTTTACTTATGGTGTTATTTTTCCCATTGGTTATCTGGTTGGTCGACATGCTACGAATTCGCCTGTGAAAAGACCTTTACATATGATTTTACAAGTAACTAGATATTTATTTTAAAATGAAATTAATGGTTTTATTTTTAGATTTTTGGTGTTGCATTAGCTATATGTGGCTTTTCTTTTGGAGTACATTCTGTTCGTACACCATCATGGCTTCATTTCAGACATGCTCATGCTATCATTGGTATTATAACATTTATATTAACAATAATTCAATTCCTTGTTGGATTGTATGTTAAGATTGTATTCCTATTTTTGTTTTTGAAAATTTATTTATGCATGACTCTTTTTTTGTTTGTTAAGAATTGGTGTTTGTCTCATTGCAAGAAGTTCGAAAAAACATGGAATTCTTCGTGAATCAACTTATAAAATAAGTCAAGAAGAAATTAATCAAGATACATGGGTTGGCAAACGTTCATGGAGTATTATTCATCGCATATTAGGAGCAATCGTATTATCACTTGGATTTGTCAACATATCATTAGGTGTTTTTCTTGCTGTATTACCATTACCTGTTTGGATTGTTTGGTTTGTGTATATGAGTCTCCTCGTAATTATTCTCGTCATAATGGAAATCTATAAGCTTCTAAAAGATTCTGGCACTCATAAAACAGGTTCATTTAAATCTAAAGGTAAGAAAATAATTTTTTTTACAAATCTTAAAAGAATTCTCTATCATACAATGCAGAAAGAATGCCCGAGTATACGATCTATGATCACAATAGTGAGTTAAATATTTAGATCGTGTTTCATATGTATTTAGAAATACATATATATTATATATTTGTACATAGATATGATAGTTATTTGTTGTTTTGTTCGTTATTATTTTTATTTTGCACTATATAGAACGAAACAGATAGGAGACAAATACTAGAAAAGTTTGTGTACATAAATGTCATTTTAATTGTTGTTTTCAATGTCGTAGAGCGTTATGATCCCAGAGGTACATCACAGGCCTCGTTAAAATATTCAGAAGACCCAACTGAACGACAACCATCCACAATAACACCAACACCACGTCGTAGCTTTAGCCGAGTTCCTCCACCTAATCCATCAACACGCGATAGCTTTGTATATAGACCAATCGATGGCAGTGTTAGTCATGTAACTACTCTTGACGACATGTCACCACTCGGGTCTAGCCAAATTCAACAACGGCAAAGTCGATTTGGTGATGTTAACGCAGCAGCTAGCCTTCTGGAACGTAATCGACAAGATGATAAACAATATACAGTATCACCAAGAAAAAAGAGTAGATCAGCGGAAAGAGATGATGTTGAATATTATGCTGGTCAAACGCAAGACTATGAACAACCATTGGCGTACGTCGAATATTTCACTTATCTATCCACGTTCTCTGAACTGGTGTTTGCTTCATCGACACGCTTAACCTCTATTTTTTGCTCTTAGATTTTGACGCTTCAATATTAACCTTTGATTTTTCATGTCTTTGCACGTTTGACTTTGCTTTTATCATCTATTCAATGCTTCAAGATGATAATTACATCTTTTCTTTTCTTTTTCTTTTATAGACGGCCGCCATCACAGCAGCAAAGCGAGCACAATCTCACTCGAATTCGGCTCCAATAGACATTGGAACGCGCCGAATTCTCATTATCGTAATTCCAACCAAGCTTCTTCATCCACAATTAATTCAGACAGATTTCCAATTTATCGACGAAATTGATGAAGAAAATTTTCCACGATGTCAGGAATGAATTTTACTGTTCAGTATCATTTTGCTCCTATTTCTCAGCGAAAGATCTATATCTTTATGCAGTAGCTTATACTTATTACATATTTGAAAATATTTGTCTTATTTGATTTCCACCAATTTTTTTTTCTAGTTTTAATTTTTCTCAAATTTTATTTACTGTGACAATTTCTTCAGTTTTCTTTCTCTTTCATAACATTCTTCTGTATAAATGTTTTTTCACTTGTATGTGTCTATTTGTATGAATTGTCATGTCGTCGATATGCATACATAAATTTTATATATGTACAATGACATGGTTTCTTTTTCACTTTGATAAAATCTTAATTAGTACTGAAAAAAAAACACAGACTGTTTAATACATATTTCAATGTGTGACTACCATATGAGTCTAATTGCAATTTTTTTTATAATGAAATTTTTTTTTTCATACTTGCTAACACATGAACTTGAAAGTATACAATCAATAGTGGATTGCGGTAGAAGATTAGATTTCTTTATATTTGTTAAAATTGGTGACAATGTCAATATGTTTTGTTGCAATATTATACTTATTATTCTATATTGATAAACGATTACATTCGAAAATCGATCGTTTAAAGTGTTCGATACGCATTGTAATTCAAAATATCAATTGAAAGATTTGTGAAATACCGATAGGCGACTGTATAAGTTGAGCCTTAGATTAACAAGCTAAAAGAAGGAGTATATGAAAGTTTTTAATAAGCCATCAAATTTTACTTTTTGCATATGAACAAAATGTGCTAACATCAATATTTTATCAATAAAATACATATGAATATGATTACATTATAGTTTGATAGTTGAATAAAACACGATTGCATAGCTTTGCAAAAAGTAATGGAGAATAAAAAGCTTACGACACTCGGTATTCCCAGGCGGTCACCCATCCAAGTACTAACCGAGCCCGACGTTGCTTAACTTCAGTGATCGGACGAGAACTGGTGTATTCAACGTGGTATGGCCGTAAGCAGCAGTCACTAATTCATTTAGATACTGAGCAATAGCAATCCTTAAAGTTAAGAAAATCCTCGATCACAAATTGCGTAGAATATACACCAGCAATAGTTCTTTTATTTATTCTTGTTTCTGAATTATTGAGACTCATGGTACTGAGAATTATTAATGCGATGCGAAGTATAGCATTTGTGTAGTCCGTCGCGAGTTATCGAAGTATCAAGAGCGAACTTAGAACATCTGTTTTCCAATCTTGAATCTGCAGTTCCGTTCGTTCATAAATGTGGTTCCAAACTGACGAAAATGAAAGAAATTTGTTGCGAGATAATTAAAGTGACATCATAAACATATGTTAGCCACTATAGTCTACTCATTTACAGCTGATCTAAGATAATGAATCATGAAGATAATTAATCGATCAATCGAAATCGACCCTTAAGAATGTATCGCTAAGTAATTTACTCACTGATGAATTTCATCATGTCGACATAAAAAGTATTTAAGATTTCTCTGAATTGAAGATTTTTCGTGAAGATCTGATTCGAGCTTCGCATCGCATTCGTATTCGAGTGAGACTTGAATACCATCTAGTTAATGAATGATTTGTTTGTGCATGTTGGATTGTTTCATTTACTTATCTGATAATAGCATGAAGAATTTTTTTTCGTATACTCGGTATGTTTGTATTTGGGACTAGTCTACTATGATTCAAGCAAATAAAACATGTAATAGAAAAGTGTTACACAATGAGTAAATGTATTCGAATCAATTATTTTTATATATTGTTAGAATTTGAAATAGGTACATATGTTTCTATCTGTTTTTCATTTTCATCTGCATTGAATCTTTTAAAATCGAATTTTCATGTCGTTTTCCTGACTCGTAATGGTAGAAACGTAGTGATAAAGACGATTAAGCAGAAATCTTCTCATAACCATAAGATCGCTGGGTGTTGAACATAGATAAACCGATCGAGCGGGATGATTCAGAAGAAGAACACACAGTAATATTTCATACTTTTGAAGCAATAGTATGATATACTGCATAGCGCATTGACATATATTGTATCATTTAATTAATATTCATTAATAGTTATACGCCTATTTATGATTTGTTATAAGTTTTCGATATTTTCAAGATTTTTATGTCGGGGACTAAAGTGTTGGCAATATGAAAAGGTCTACAATAGTAGATAATGATGCTTTCGAGAGACACTTCAAAATAACTCATTTTTCATCTCTCGTTTTTTAGTAGATTTCCTGCATTCCATATCTTTAATTATTCTTATGCAAAAAAAAATATAACAGAAAATGGAACACTACAGGCCCATTCTGGTTTTGATTTCATCCTTTTTCAAAAGAAGAAAACGGCAATGACAAGCTCATTTGTTTAAAAACTTTAAAAATAGCTTTCAAATAATAGAATTAAATGTGCCAGTACACAATGACAACACAGCTTGGTTCGAAGTAGAAACTCTCTCTCTCTTATGACATGTATTACAAAATTTTCTTTCAAATACAAATCGGCAGCGAAGATGATCTCTGAGAGATACTGAATTTTCGTTAAGATGCAGAGCGAAAGATTCAACACGTTTAAATTCATATACGCTCACAAAAGGAAATCATATTATTTCATCGATGTAGTTAAATTTTTGACAAGTGATATGTGCTATATTAATAAAGGCTTACTAGTCGTGATCAAGCATCACAATAATAATGCACGCAATTTTTAATTACAGATCAGTTTTTCTTCAGATATTAATTTATGAAACTATTTTTTAGTAATATATGCCTTTTAGTTTGCCGTCATTGTTCGACCTCGCTAACAGCATTATGATTCAATGTTAAAATAACAGTGATTGTCAACGATGCTGATTGTGATCGTTTATTGCCTAGGTGTACAGTAAAATATATTTTATAATTCGTGTACTCTGTATTATAGCAACACAATGGACTTTGCTCTTTAGATTTTTGTCGTGACGTCATTCCCTATTGTTCGTTCTCTATTCTATAAAATTCTCTGTCTTTATCGTTTTTGTTTTATTAATCATCTTTTGTACGTATATTTTTGAAAGTCTCTTGTGTAGAGATCTGCGTATTGTCAGATAGTTTCATTGGTGTTTTTGTGAAATAATTTATGATTAGGGCTTCGGTTTTTCAATTCTTTTTTATAATTTCTCTTGAGTTTTCATTGTGTTTTCGTAAAAAATACTACAATTATTTATGATGGGTATTTTAGTAATAGGACTTGTCCTACTTTTACGTTTCTTCTTCTTCTATGAATAGTTTATGTGTTGCTGAAATAGTAAAATTTCATATTTTCAGCTGGATAGTTTATAATTACTATTCATCAATAAAAAGAAAATATCTATCTATTTATAAATATATATTGAAGTATACATCAAGAATCTCCATTGTGAAGTCTTCTTTTTAATGACGTATGAGTATACTTGGCATATGTAAATGCGTAGTTAAATGTTATTGATCAACACACATTTTTATTCTTTAGTTCACTGAGAAATTGTCGAGTGTCGCTTTCATTCAAATTGATATTCAGCTTTTAGAATCAATATCTATGGCAGATCGTAAACATTTTAGCAACCGATTGTAGCTTATTATGTTATATCGAATATCAATGTAAGACTTGTATTGAAAATATATTATTTATAGATTTGATAATAGTGTCAAGATAAGTTAAATTTTACGTTACTCATTGGATACCCGCTTAGATTGAATCGACAGGATATATAATATATGCATTGACATGTATTCCTAGTTTTTTAATTTTCTCATTAAATACTTTTCTTACAATAGCTTGAATACTTTAGTATCTATTACCTCATTTATAACGTTAGAGTTTAGTGAGATACTTTTCTGTTTCAGTTTATTTTTTATTTGCATTTTATAATCTATATTTCGTTGAACATCGATTCATTTCTCTCAAGTGATTATTTCCTCTTACGGTATAGAGCTCCCTTCATCGAATATCGTATTTGTAAACGCATGCGATGCGATACGTTTTTTTACTTCTTTCTATTTCTCATTGGCTTTCTTTTAAGTTCTCGATTATCTTCTTTTTTGGTCAATTCCTTTTTAATAGACGAGCATGTGAGATCAGTTAATCATGCATTCAACGGAATTGCCTTTTTGCTATTTGTTTGATTGTATAGATGAGTGTTCTATAGAGTAATAATAATATTCATTATATTACGATCGTTGTTAATTTTCTTTTTTTGTTTGTTTTCTTTTCGTATGTTCCCCTATGATTTTCGAGACTAACCATTGAAATTTACTGAATCGGCTAATTATTATGCTTTCTATATCATGAATGACACGATAAGTTATTATTGTCATACCATACTATTGACAACAGCAATAAAAAAATAATAAGCAAGTATGAATGTAGGAATTCATTCATCGAGAGTCAGTTTCAATTTTTTTGCTTGTCGCAAGCTTCTCGTTTCATATTTAGTGTAAGTAAATATTCGCAGTTAATGTTACATCTCATGACTACTTGTGATCACCTTTTAAGTAGAAAATTACATAGTTCAAATGCGTGTAGAGTTCTCTATTCCTTCTTGTGCTTACGTTGTATCATGCAGTTATTTACTGAAAAATAATAAGCCGTGCAAAACCTCTGCATTTCTTTTATTATAGTAACAACTTACCGTCGCTATTCAATAGTTTGATTGTTAGCAAGAGCAATATTTCTGTGAGCTAGCTTTAGGAAAATATTTCCTTTAGAATAATTATTCAAGATGAAAAAAGGCTGTTATTAAGACAGCTTATTCTTCTTGAAAGCAGCCTCTTCTCACACACCTATACTCTAAAAGCTTGATCTCTACTTACCAGATAAATCACTTTTTGTCTTTTGAAAAATAACACGCGAGCTGAATTCG